AGAACCAAGGGAAATTAGGTAGGAATTGATGTATTAAGATATCAGAATTTATATTTTAGGATGGCAGTTCACATTATTCCATTCAAACATTTCTGTACTATACAAAATCGAATTTGAGAAAAAATGGATACTTAACGTCATTAGTTTCACTTTCCCAATGTAAAGAAATAAACAAATTTGGATCAATATTGATTTTACCTAATTTTATTCAAAAACATCTTTTTAGGTACCTACTTTTTTTCATCGTTTTTCCTTTTCTTATAATATATAGTTGAGAGTTTCACTCATCCTGTAGGCAATCGAGTGTAAACGTATTGTCTAGCCATAGTTTCCGAAGTTTCGAACAATTTCCATAGTAGGTATAGGTATTCAACTTTGAAGAATGAACAGACACATGAAGATTCGTTTCTCTTGAATACTTCTTCAAACGATGTCCAATGAAAAAATGAAAATTTGGAATCCATAATGGGTGCATGAATTAAACTACCTAAATTCGAAAATGGTTATTTTTAATCCAAGGGAAAAAAGTCGTAGATTTCAGCTCCAGGTTTTGTTGTTTCCAGACGCGTAGCGGAGGGAGACACCGCGAGCTAAAATCTAATATTCTTCCCTCAGGCATCTTTATCAATCTTTTGTCTAATCTATATCAGTCTAATTCTACCATTTGATTTTGGATGAATGAATGAAAAGTGACATTTTATAACCTGTCAACAGAGATTAAATGTCAAACTTCTTTCGCGTCACAGAACAAAATATATATTTTAATTATGATCTTTTGACTCCGTGTGGACTCACAATTTTAAACTGAAATTGCTTCAACATTCAGCCACTTATTTCAATAATTAACGGTTGAGTTTAAAAACAGCTTAGGCTGACACTCCGCCCTTTCACCAATAATTATTGTAATATCTAATCTCCACTTGGATCCTTGTTTGTATGTACTTTGGTGAATAAAGACGTATTATTATTATTATTATTATTATTATTATATACTTCATAAAAATTGTATATATAGCATGCCTTGAATATAATTATTTTTTTCAGCCTTTACTATTTGATGATCTTCCTGAAATGTTTGTCAAGTTTGTTCTTCGATGTCAGTTCCTTACAGACAATATTTGGAATTCGTTGAAAAATCAGTTGCCGAATTTTTTCACTATTCTTTCAGTTTCCTATACATTACCACGACATCGTGTGCGAAGTAATACGCGAAGTAAAAGCGGGAAGTAGATACTTCGCGCATTGTTGTAACTTATTGAAGATTTTTGTATTTCACCTTCATGGTCCTCAACCGAGTCAACATCCAAGAAATCATTTATTCCTTTTTTGTTGTTCCACAACAATCATGGCATTTTAAGCCAGTTCAACATAATATTTTATATTTAGCTGAGCATATTAGTACTTTCAAACTATATTTTTGTACGTTTGTAGAAAAAAATGTTTTTTTCAACTCAGCTGCGCCTCTTTACACAAATTTTAGCATCTCGCGCACTAAATACAAAAATAACTCTTCTATATAGCTTAAAGAGATAACAGCAATTTTTTTTATTTCTTCGGCTTGTCGTCATCTATCAGACAGAGCTGTCATTTCTTGAAATTTTACATTTCATAACACCTGAGATTTTTTTGAAATAATTACACAATGGAGTCATTCTGATATCAGACACGGAAATAATATTGATGACATTCAAAGTATTTCATTGATTAATCTAGTTAAACAAGAGCAACTTTCTGTTATAGCCGTAGAAAAAATACCCACCTCGACAATCGAACGAAAATCCGCAAAACTGCCAAGTCAACAGTCGGAAATCGCGGAACTGTGCTCCTAGGCACGTGTGATTCGATGCGCGTCTCGTTTCGAAAGGACGACGCCAGGCTGTCTGGTTGGGTCGGACGACGCGACGCTACTGCCTCGACGCGCCCGAGGAGCGTCGGTTACCAGGAAGGTTCGGAGGCGCGCATGTGGAATTGTTTTTTTTTCTAATTTCGACCGTGATTTTTTTTTATGTCTGGTTCCCACGAAAAGGGATATCCTGTAATGTTCAAAGAACATCGGGAGAACCAAGGGAAATAAGGTAGGAATTGGTGTTCTTCTTTAATTTCTGGAGGTTATATGCCTCGGGGAACACCTCCCTTGGCAATGTGTTCCAGAGCCTCGCAGTTCGTTGGATGAACGAGTCTTTGAGGCCCCTACAAATCTCGTGCCTTGGGGCTCCGAAACTCTTAAGATGGCCCTGACTGTCGCATGAAACAATGAGTGTCAGACTGACTCTGACGACAATATAGTTGTTGACTTTTTGATCGTTCCGTACTTAATAAGTAATATGATGGAGTGGAGGTGCATCCACCTGTCTTGTTTTTTCCATTCAGTTCTACGAATTCTATTTCACTTTATCAATGCTTTGTCTCTGTTTGTTTGCTCTTTTAACACAAAACACCCAACAATCAGACATGAAACTCTATTCGTCAGTACCTTATTGGATACCTATCAACTATTAGAATCCGTCTTTTGACTCGGAAGTCTCAGATTATGAGATTATTTAGATGATCAAATGAAATGAAAATATCAAATATCTAAATATAACATCAGGTGGGCACTTCGAAGAATCGAAGACGCGAATTCATTAATGCATGGGAGATACCCTTCAGATTTTTAGCTATTCAGTGGCTTGACATCGGATGGCTGTAGAGCAGGACCGTACTATATATTGGTAGGCGATGACCGTACTCGTACTGAATCACCCGTCAAGGAGATAACAAATTGTACAAAATGAGAGAAAATAATATAGAGGAACGATAAGGCAAAGCACTAACAAAATTCAAAATTTGAGAGCGTTGAAAAATTTTTGACAGTCAAAATGTGTTTGTTCTTTCAAGGATATAATATTATCTTCTTTTAATTGATTACTTAATTTCAAATATCTCCAATAATAAACTCAGAAGAGTGCCTTCCTGGTAAATGTGTAAAACCTCGAGGTCATGGTCAAAATCAATATAGGATTGGTATAAATGAACTGTTTGTGTTGTATAAATCTCTAGGGGAATTCTTGTAGCTGTCAATCAATTTGACATGTTACATGTTCAATAACACGAGTTTGAATTCTCCTCCCAGGACGATTGAGATACATTAAATTGTCTTGCAAGCTGCAGTTTTTGCATTTTTCAGTTTTATGAAGAAATTGATTAGAAACAAGTTAGGTACGCGGTACGCGTTGGATGAAATAAGATTCATTTTGTGAATCTTGTTAATTTTGATTGAAACACTTGACTTTTTTTCGATCGTCTGGGGCTGGGGAGATGGTATGATAACGCCCATTACCCCCTCCCCTCCTTGTATACGCACCGGTTTCAGGAGATTGAAAAGTCTCAAAATCAAAATGAAAAATACAGGGCCGTATTAAAAAAAATGATGATGACAGCTCAAAGACGAAACGTCGGTTTGAAAATCTGATAACGACATCTTGTACAACAGAAAAAGTAGCAATGGGAATGTGTAATTTGTTTTGTTTCATCTATTCAAATAGTCATGAAAAAATTAAAATATAATCGCAAATATTCGGTTTTCTCCAAGAATCTTTGGAAGTATTCGGAATTTTTCAAATTTCGAAACTTTGCCATGATTCAAGTGACCCTATATCTCTTATAGTTTACACCCTGTACTTTATGATTCATCATTTAATTTATTGATTCTCTTCAAGTAAAAAAAGCGCTTATTTATCATCTGATATTTTCATCAGTACTTCAACAAAAAATGTTCTTCAGAAATATCGGCCAAATATCATTCCATAACTAGCAATACCAGTCACACAAAGTTGACAAAGCTCAGTCGGCAAATTCTTTCGCCGTCAATCAACCTTGAGATAATATGTCCAACAAGTCTTTATCAGAACTCGTTTGTCTATAGAACGGGAAAGCTTTGGAATTATTTGGCTCACCTTATTTACTTATTTCATGAATATCTACAACCCGATGCAAAAAATGTAAAACAAGTATGTTTCCATGTTTACTTTTATTGTTTGTTATTGATATGGGAAAGTAAAACAGAACTATATTAAATTTTAGGATGTATTTTTTGGATGGTAAAAAATCACAAATATCTGATATACTCAAACATTTTTGTAGGTGTTAATTTGGTACCTAATTCTACTAGGGTGAGTCATTTTCAGATTCATTACTTTATTTCAAAGTAATCAAAGTCAAAATTTCCTAGCAACATATGTCAAAAGTACAATTGAATCATGATTTCATCTTATGTCTCCTCAAAACACCTATACAGAAAAAAGTGTTTCAAACAGTTGAAAGGCAAATCAGTTTTTGACAAGAGCATAGATCTAAATAAAAATACACACACAAGAGTAAGCCTTATTATATCTGTGTTCAACCCAAATTGAATCATAACATTTTGAAAATCTCCAAAGATAAATTCTTGCACATACCTGAATGTCAAAGTTTTCAAGATATTGGAGAAAAACTAAACAAAGGTAAAAGTATAGAGATACCTATCAATATGTTTGTCAAGGTACCATATCATTTTCATATTTTTCATTTACTTGAATAATTTTCAAAATTCTGTGAGCTAAGAAAATCAACCTGTTGATGGAATCTATTCACCTTGCATTTCACTTCAAAATGAAGAAGGAAATTCAAAAACATTGTCTGTTGGTATCATTATTCTGACACACCTAATCTAATCTAATGAAATCTTAATAATGCTTCAAATCAAAATTTTGCAAAACTGAATGGAAAAAATCATCAGAAATGATATCTCCCTCTAACTAAGTCTAAATTTTGTTTAATTTGTGACTAAAAAGTAAAAACTCAGATGCATACCTGATGATTTTGAATCTATTGAACAGGTTGAACAGGCACAATGGCATTTTTTTCTTTAAGAAAACTGCAGGTACATGATAGGTGTGCCTTTGAATTATATTCATCACAGGATAATTAAATCCAATTATCTACTTAGTGCACTGATAAATTGCCTGAATCTCTGCCTTAATCTATGACTCATTCAAATTCAGGAATATCATCAAAAGAATACCCTGGCACTTCTTTATATGCATAGTAAGCAATTCTAACATGATATGCACCAGGAATAACCATGAGAGCTCCCAATATGACCATAGGCCACATTCTGTTGGCATATTGAACATTGATGTGTCCAGAAATCACCATGCACCCAAAAACTAGAAGTGTAGTACCAACAACTAGCAACATTGTAGCTAACACTATGGCTTTCCATGGTACTTTCTGTGCAGGAACTAAGAACTGGGCATCAGTGAATCCTTGATCACTTGTGGGCAACTTGGAATAATTAACATCATTGTTTTTTGTACCTCTTCTCCTGGATGAAGTCAGATCATCAAGGTAATCTGAAATGCACTGTTGTAAAGGATGAGTGAAGAGTATTAGAAACAAACCAACCTGAAATCGAATATGAACTCATGTTTTCTAGATAGAAAGCAGGTACTTAATTCAGGTAATAGTTTCCATGTTGCATGTTGACTTTCATTTTCACAGAATATTGTTAAAATTTCACTATATAATGAGGTGAAATAATTATTCCAGCTGTTTGAGAAAAAAATAAAAATGCAAGACGCAAAAATTACTAAATTACCAAGAAAACTTCACAGGTTAGGTTATCTCACTTATGTCAGATGGTTCATAACAATCGTGAAGTAGGTAGCAGAAGCTGGCGTACCAAAGCCGAACGTTTCCGATTGACCAGTGGCGTATATTACTTCTCCCTTTGGGCCACTAACATAAATACCGTTGATTATATCTCAATCAACGTAAATACTATCTAGACCACTAATAGCAGAACTTATCTCTGCTAATAGGCATATATCAGCAACCCAAAACTCTCACGCAGGAACCGGGGCCACAGATTAACAAACCTTAGCCTACTCTTACCTACCCAAATTTCGTTGTATTACGATTTCGCGGTAATTCCTTGGACTGGTGAAGGGCGATATACTTTTTATTGTTACTCATTTTATTTCTGAATGGCGTATGGTTCAGACGTACGAATTGTTTTAGTGCTAGTTTTGAATGGAATATTGAAGACAGGTATGTTCGAATAAAAAAAGTAATAGAGGTAATGAGAATGTTCTGAAGTCTGATTCACTCTACAGTGTGAAATTATAATAATGCCATTTCAATGCAGTGTTTCCTGTTGCGATAGCAGCAATTATTCCACAAAAAATAACCTCAATTATGTGACTGTGTTCGGTCCAAAGGAACCTGAGTTGAGAAGAAAATGGTGCTTGGCAATACATAGAGATGATTTTGAAGTGAAAAAATTTTCCCGCGTCTGTATAAAACACTTCGATGAGAAATTCATAATACGCACAGATCAGTACAAAAGGGAAGATGGGACATTAATAATATTCGAAAGATCCCGACCAAGACTGTCAGATGATGCATTCAGATACTATGAGAAATATTTTCATGATTGAATTAATTCTGTGAATTGAATATTGGAATTTTCTTAGCTGTTTGAAAAAGGACAATTCTGAATAGCGTCAATTAATTTTGATATGCGATATTTCTGAAAATAATGATCGTAAATCAGTGAAAATCAATTCATCTTCTGAAAAAGTCTGTTTAGTACATATTTGACCTCTTGATATTTTTTCCTAACTGTAACCGTTTTCCCGAGAAACATCAATGAAACGGGAGAGACAATTTCCACTGCGTTGATTTTGTCCTTACTAGTGTGACGTCACGAAAGCGATGCTCCGTCCCGGTGAGATAGAGTCGACCCTGCAGGAACTCTCAAACTGCTGACAGCGAGTAATGTTTCTTGATGTTCGCAAATATGAATTAAGAGTAAAACTGAGATATATGACAGTTCTTAAATGCGCAGAATTCATCTTCTATCTTTATTACCAGTTTCCCCCTTGCCACAGTCACAGAGTAGATTAAGATAGTAGTCTCACTTACTGTCGGCACCTCTGATGTTCGTTACCCCATTTTGTTTACTTCGCAACAATAAAAGCCACGCGCACCAGGCCATAATTCAACACGTGGACACAAAATATCCAACAATCCTATATAAAAACTCTATACGTTGCTACCTTGGATATTAATTATTAGAATACGTCTTTTGGGACTCGTATGTCGATCTCGGATTATTCAGACGGTGAAATGAAAATAACAAATAGCCAAGCCAACATCAGGTGGGCACTTCGAAGGCGCATATTAATTACTGCATGGGTAATACCCTTCAGATTTTTTGCTAGTGACGACCAAGAATGACATATTGACGTTTAGGTCTTCTGCGCATCCAAAATCGAGACGCTACGATAGTCGATTTGATATGGTTACAAAATATTGATTTCATAGTGAAAAGATATAACTGTTTCTTGTTCGCGGCGTCCATGTCCTCCATCATCTCATCTTTTCTACAGAAATGGTATAACCTTATTTTCAGAGAAAATCGTGTTTTGAAAACTCTTGCATATGCATCAGATGTCATAAGAAGATAAGATAACCAACACATGTATGTTATCTCGAGTACAACGTGGATGTTTTTGGAAAACTTCAGAAAATATTTGCCGTTCTTCTTCAATGTCAATATAACACCATAACGAAGTACTATCATTCACGACACGACATTCCCAAACACCTTGTTTAAGTAATAACTTGCCTTCATACATCGCAAGCGTTGAGGAATTCAGATTTTTTTTGTTGAACCGTCGTGTTCTTAAGATTGATTTTGAACAGTATTCATGGGTGACGTAGTAATTACTATATTTATATCATTCAAGAAAACATTTCATTTTGAAATGAAAGCAGTCAAAATTAATAGTTGCTCATACATGAACAGAAATCTGAAATTTTATATGGCAATTGAGGATTATTATCTTCGAGAAGTGTGAAAAAAAAAATTGTAATGGCAAGTGTAATTTTCAATTGATATTGACAAAATATATCCACCCTGAACAGACCTAAAAAACATTTGTTACCCCAAAGTTCGAACTTTTTTTATCATTTTCACAGTTTTAAGTTCATTAAAATCCCCTACATCGAAAAAATAATCCCTACAATCCATTGAAACGCAAAAATTGCACTCGAATAATTTCCAGTGCAGTTTCAGGTCAGTTTCAAATGCATAATTCTCAATCTCAATCTTGCACTCTCGTACCCTTGAAAGACAATCCTAGCAGGTACAATTCCCCAATGACGTCACTAACCATAGATCATAAAAAGCTACCACACTTTGAGCTCCGAGAAAGATCTGATTTGGTTCGAATTGATCTATTTTCAAATCGAATTTATCACGCTGTCTGGGTTATTTTGCCACATAACACTAACAGTAGAAAATGTCCTATAGACGACCCATGAATCTGTTTCTACATCCCTACACACCCTAGATTTGGTCAGAAATCTCTGCGTGTAGGGAACTTCCCTACGGGTTACCATCAAGTCCTCCACTCGTAATCATCAATTTGAACCGTTCATTTTTTATTTAGGAGTTTTTGAACCGAATTGAACTGTATTACTTGGTGACGTCAGAAGCAACACAGAAAAATGCTTGAAAAATCAACTGAAAGAAACATTCTTCTCTATTTCTTCTCAATTTTAATGTAGGCAACATGAAACTTTCATTATTTGATGTTGGAACCCTGAAGACATAGACAGAAGAGGGAGGACATATTCTTTCTCTCTCAAAGCTAGCTCAACTTATATGAATTCTTTGATATGAGTCCATACTTCAGGAGGTACGCCACTGGTCAATCGATAAAGTTCAGACAGTCTAGATATTTAGCCGTCATTGCTCGATAGCAGAAAAAGGGCGACGTTAAAGAAAAAAGAAGATGCGTAGATGTGTCAAGCAGGATTGTCAAATAATGACAGAAATTGTCAGTTTTAAGGTTTGTTTTTGTTGTTACAAATATTTGAAATATTTTGAAAATTCTTGAGGGTTGTAATTGTTTGGTTTCTGGTGTTTGTTATCTCATGAAAAATGGATTCTATGATAGAAATAAAAATAGACCTCAGGGTTGTTAAAAAAGATTTAATATCTGGAATTCACCAGTGTTCTCAGAGAGGTTTGAATTATAGTGTGAAATGGTTGTCCGAAATCAATCATGCCCTAAAAGAATTACAATTATCTCCAGATGAGCTTCCTCAACATGTGGATGATACACAAGATGAATTAGAGGAATTTTTATTAGCCAAGTCATATTTTGATCTTAAAGAATATGATAGAAGTGCACATTTCCTGAAAGATTGTGTAAAACCAAAACCTCGGTTTCTATACTTTTATTCCAGATATTTGTCTATTGAGAAGAAAAAACTAGACAATATGACTGATACAAATTGTCCTCCTGATCCAACAAAAAATGAATCACTGAAAGATTTGTGCACAGAAATGGGAACTGATTATTTTGATAATAAATTAGATGGTTACTGCATATATCTTTATGGTGTGGTTCTGAAGAAGTTAGATCTGGTATCTAAAGCAATAGAAGTATTTATGAAGGCTGTCAAAGCTGAGCCTATTCTTTGGAGTGCATGGTTTGAATTAGGAAGAATCATTCCAGATAAAAGTGCAATTCATTCTCCTGATTTACCTGACCACTGGATCAAATACTTTTTTATTGCTCACACATATTTGGAGCAGTTGTGCAATGAAGAGTCACTCCAGATGTACAACACTTTTTATTCAATGGGATTACAAAAGAGCACTTACATTCTATCACAAATTGCTTTAGGATACCATAATCGCAGGAGTAAGTTTTTCATTTTCTTTTCACTTGGTATCATTTTCCTTTTGTTTCTGTGTATCAGTGGAAGTTAGAGTATTTTCTGTAGAAGGCATTTGCACTGATTGTTGTGGTACAAAATAATTGAAGTTTGTAATATTATTGAATGGTGGGATGTTACTGATAGCAGACCTTTCATATGCTTGAACTTTTTGTTGATTGAGCTCAATTTTTTCCAAGTTTTTTACTTCCATGTACAAGAATTTGCCAAGATAACCAAAATACTGTGAATACAATAATCCTCCATCCTTGACATTCTTTGTTTTGTACAAAATTGGTGCTACTATATTCACTACTGCATCTCTCACATGTCTGGCCTCCAAGTTCTGCTGCTTGCTTCTTTCTTCCTGGTAGTAACCATGTATTTTTCTTTCAAAAATTATAAACATGCGCTTACTTATGAAACTAATACAAGGAAATAAGTATGTTTTCACAATTTCCTCACCCATACAACCTAAACCCTTAACAGCTCCATATATGGTAGTTAATGGAGACATGTATTCCAATAAAGGTCTCAAGTATATTCTAATAACTCTGCTGGAAATGTTGTTCATATTGCTATTGTATTTCTCACATATTGAAGCAATGACAAAAGCAGAGAAGTCTCTCAAAGTCCAGTGGTTGTCATGGTAGTATTTACAGATTTTTCGAGCTAGAGCACAAGATATAGTGACTGGGATTAAATGGTGTAAGTGTTCAATGAGTTCTAGATGTTGATTACAAATAAGGCTCTTTACCATTCTTACTGCATATATTAGTAATGTCAAATCTGGAAATGAGATGTTCAGATGGACAGTATCCTTGATGAAAATGCAGAGGTATGGAAGCAAGTATTTGATATTGTAGTCTACTGCAAGGACCCTCAAGTTTTCATTTCTGATTTGTTCATTATATCCAAAAATTCCTTCTGTTATGTTAATGAAGAATATTTGTTCTTCTGCTGATAGTGGGTGGTTATCTGGAAAAATCTTGAGATAAATGATGTCAGGTTTTGGAGAAAATTTCTCAGTAGGGATCTTCAATTTATAGTTATAATCATTAGAATCCCTTGTGCCATCTTCTTCAACAGTATGGGTGGGTGGATTCAAGTTTAGAACATTTTCAGAACTATTTTTGTGTGTATTCATGTCATCAACTTTATTTTCAGTATTCATTTTATGAAATTTAATAATTGGACTTGGGAACTATGGCAACCATATATAACAATTGAATAACATTCTTCTTTGTTTCATTTTATTTTACTGACCTCACTATTTTTCGGTTTATGTTGATGAGCAATGATTAGGGCTTTCAGTTCAATTTCTTTCAAGATTGATTGATTTATAGTGTAAATTATTTATTACAATACAAATGTGACAAAGGTTCAACTGAAGAAGCAAACATATTATGAAAATTTCAAGGAACATATTTGCTGTGTTCCAAGCTGTGTTATTCAAATACCCAGTCAAATACCCAGTCAAATACCATGTCTTCATACTTTTCTAATAAGAGATGCATTATTTATCTTCAGATTTCAGGAGGTGTAAACTACAAACCATAGCCATGTTTTTTTAATCTACCATGCCTTCTTACTTTTCTAATAAGAGATGCATTATTCATCTTCAGATTTTGGGAGGTGTAAACTACAAACCATAGCCATTTTTTTGGGTCACTGAATGCTAATCTGGAGTTATCTAACAAGATGTTCTAGTGTGTTTTCCCAAAAAACAACAAAGTCATGGCAATGTCAATGACAATTTTTCCAAAAAATTATATTTCAAATATTGAGTTTGCGAAAACACCTTGAAAAACACATTTGAATGGCATGAAAAATCTTTTGAAGTCTGTAACAAAATAGTCATAGTGTAGTTTTATTGAATGTGAAAAATTCAACACCAGTTTAGTAGCCAAACATAGTTCAATTTTTGATTGTTGGTCACTAGATTCCATGGTACTTACTGTTGTACTTCTGGCTGTAGAATATTTGACAAATATACTTCAATATTCTGTGGTATTTGCCAGGAAAGTAGTTGTTTTCTATTGGATATTTCAACACGGATTTTTCAATTCCTCAAAAACCGAGTCAAAAACCTACTCCTAAACAAGAGGTAATTTGAATGATGAAAAACAGTGATTATAGATTTATATAAAAGACTATCGCTGTCCGGCCCGGATTCGCACGGTTGGTGTATCCATTTAAAAAAAAATCAGACATTTGTTGCAGTCCTTCTGAGTTATGCGCGTATCTTCAGTACAGTGTGTCCAGTTTTCTCAGTTATCTTCGTTGATAGAATTAGAACCTTGCGGTTTTCGCGGTCCTATGCCACTTTTTTGTGAAACTCAAGATGGCATAACTGTTTCCGTTTATGAGATACAGGGCGATTTTGAAAATTTATACTTTTTGAACTCCCTCTATATCTACGAAGTTTCTCAGGGGAAATGTCAAATCAAAATCTTATTCCACAGAAAATTTTACGCAAAATCCAGTGGCGCACTCATTTTTTTTTTCGGGGTATGGTTTTGCAGATACAACTCAAACTTATGATTTTTACAATGGAACACCTTGTATTTTGTGAGCTCATTTAACACATAATTTTTTCCTTGGGCAAAAACAATTCCAACACTAATTTACTAACAAAACACACAACTTAGGTACCTGATAGCAACAAATAAATAGTAATAAAAAGTTCAAAATGTAGAATAAGCACCTGATTAAATATTTACATCCTTCAATGATTTTTAATCCATTAATACATATTAAGAAAGTTTGAGAGATAATAAATTGAACAATTCAATAAATGAGTTACTGAATAATTTCGAAACTCAATTGTTTTAGTAAATTTTTAATCAGGTGCTTATTCTACATTATGAACTTTTTATTACTATGTATTTGTTGCTATCAGGTATCTAAGTTTTGTGTTTTCTCAGTTAATTAGTGTTGTTATTGTTTCCCCCCCCCCCCTTTATGGAATGACCAAATGAAATATTCCTTCAATTGGAACTTTCTTTATATGAAATATCTATTTCTATAACTATTAATTCCAATGTTTTAGTGATTTTTGAACATTTTTGAGAATTTTATATTCATACATTTATATCATTCCGAAATGGAAGAACAAGGAATTGAATGAGCTTATAGAATACAGGGTGTTCATTTAAAAAATCATAAGTTTGAGTCGTATCTCCAAAACTATACCCCGAAAAAAAATGATGAGTGCGCCACTGGATTCTCTATGGGATAAGATTTTAATTTGACATTTTCGTTGAGCAACTTTGTAGGTATAGAGGGGGTCCAAGAAGTATACATTTTCAAAATCGCTCTGCATCTGATTAACGGAAACAGTCTTGCAAAATCTGATTGGGCCATCTTGAGTTTCACAAAAAAGTGACTCAGGACCGCGGAAACCACAAGGTTCTATGTCCAAAAAAGAAAGCATATAAAACTGTCCATTGTGTCCACACTGTACATATTTTTTGGATTTTTTCAAATTTTTTGTGCTTACTCATAGCTACTATTATATTATACTTAAACCTATTTTCATTCTCTCAGTATCTTTTGTTTTTTTTCAATTGTTTCACTTATTGAAAATTTCAACCTAATCAGTCAAGCCATTTAGTAGTTGACGTACCGACAGCAGCACCATCTACCGCGTCCCATAGAAAACCATCGAAATACTCATATGAAATCAGCCGTTTAGAAATTCCTATTGTTGACTATTCTTTGCCCTGTGCCCGTAGGAATGAAGCATTTTCTTGCTTTAATTAAAAAGTAGCCTATGTTCATCAGGGATAATGTCAGCTTTTAATGGTGAAATAATTTTCCAAATCAACAGTAGTGAGCCTATTCAATACAAAGAAACAATCAAATCTTTCCTCTTTATAAAATTGGTATAGAATGGTATAGATTAACAGTCATTCTTAGAATAATCCTCAGATAATATAGTATAACTTCAAACCTGTACTAATAGTTTTGAGTCGTTCATTCTGTTATTTTGAAGAATCGATGAAAAAGGCATGATTGAACTCTCTAAACAATCTACAAATCGTTTTTTTCCTCGTCACAGACAGTTTGGAAAAATAAATTTATTTTCAGAATTGACTGACGCCATAGAAATGTTCCAGAAAATCTTGGAGTTAGATCCTTACAGACTAGATAACCTGGACACATATTCAAATCTGCTCTATGTCCTTGAGAAGAAAAAAGAACTTGCTGACTTGGCACACAAAGTTGTGAACGTGGATAAATACAGAGTTGAAACTTGTTGTGTGATAGGTAGTAACATAATATTTGGGTACCATGTATTCTAGGTCATCACTGTTTATCTCTTCAAGGTAATTATTACAGTTTGACTTCAGACCATGCAAAGGCTGTGTTATATTTTCGAAGAGCATTAAAACTGAATCCTCAATTTTTATCTGCCTGGACACTGATGGGACATGAATTCATGGAGATGAAAAATACTAATGCAGCTATCCAAAGTTATAGACATGCAATTGGTAAGCCATTTTTTCTGGTAATTTGAAAATGTTTATCCAATTCAGTCTCTTGACAGATTGAAATACAAATACCTCATTCATTCATCACTGGAAGCAATTCATAGAAATATAAAATACAGAAGCTCCTCAGAATAGTCAAAATATCATGAAACAAGTACAATAATTATTCAAATTTTAAGTGTTAAGAACAAAAACAATTTGGAAATCAGGAATTATTTTTTTCTGAAATCAATATTCTATGTAATGATAACATAACTACTCAATCAGAGTCCTAGAAGTATCTGAATGAGATAATGATATAATTATAGTTTTATACTTGTTAGCATGAATATCATGTCACAACCTAATAGAAACACCTTGAATAGAATATCATATCGAAAAATGTAACATTTATGTGTTTCAGAGGTTTTTTGCCTTTAAAAATATATCTTAATAGAATACATGAAGTTTGCATTGGAAAAACTATATGTATATATCTGGTTACGGTGGTGGGAACAGAATGACGTTTACAAATAAAACGGGAAACTTCAGAGAGATTTGACATATTTAAGACATAATTATTATAGATGGAATAGGTTATATTTATATATTGGGGCTCCCAATAATTTCAAAACTGTGATACTAGAGTTAAAAATCAAGAAAATGAATCAAAGCATATTTGGAGCAGTGATTTTGATAATCGGAGAAAGTTCTCTGATATCGAGAGAATTTATTTTATCTGACAATGAAGATATGAAACCGTCTTACTTGAAAGTATCATAAACTTGTTGAGCTCAGGATGAAAATATCTTCTATTTTCAAAAAGTTTCACTTTTCGTCAATTTAATTTCATTTTTTGGCAACTGTCAACAGTCCTTTCACGTCATTCATTGTAGTGAGACGGAATAAAAAGTAGCAACCGGAATCGTCAAAGTTGCAAATAAAATGACACAATCAAGTGATTCCGCTGATGGATGATTTACCTTTCAGAAATAAATTCGAGGGATTACCGAGCTTGGTATGGACTTGGACAAACCTATGAAATTCTCAAAATGCCAAATTACTGTTTGCACTACTACAAGCAAGCTCAACAGTTGAAACCAAACGATAGCCGTATGGTGATAGCCTTAGGTGAAGCATATGAGAGATTAGATAAGACTGAAAATGCGTTGAAATGTTATTATAAGGCTTGCAACTTGGGAGATGTAGAAGGCACTGCTTTACTCAAATTGGCAAAGTAAGTTTAAATGCCTCCTAGAAACATGATCCCTTATGTTTAGCGTTCAAGTGTTTTCTGGTGGTTGTTCATGATAATGGTATTCATAGGATCATATTATTAAACTGTGTGTCAGCCAAATGGAATAAATTGGATAATGAATTAAGGGGGTCATGTTGGAAAAAACACTCAAACATGAATATTTTTAGAAGCGCATCCTTTCCAACAAAAACTTTCTATATAGGGTGTGTCATGTAACAGTGGACAATATCAACTTTCTTAATTCAAATACAACACCCTGTATTTTTCTAATTTTTTTAATTCTTCATAGACTTCTAGATGTTTTTCATGTACAGTGTTTATAGACCCATCTTCAACTGTTTAGGACATATTGAGTGTTTTCAGATTCATTTCAAATTATGGTCCTTCGGATTTCGTCAACTGCATATCAAAGAATGATCTGTTTAACATTATCACACAAAATAACAATTCTATAGATGATTGGTTATGACTCGCTTATACACGGTGTTACAAATTCGGGGCTAAGTATGGGGATCTCGGTAACCTTAAGAGATACATAGAAGGTTAAATTAGGGCGAAGTTGCACCATTTCATGCTCAACAAAATGCTGCTTCGAAATTGAAAAAAATTCAGTTATTTCGGGAGATATCCGAAGAAAGGGGAAAATATGCAAAATTGTTTTTATTCATTTCTCAGATTATTTAAAGAGATATTTCAAAATGAATGTCACTTCGACATTGCCACTTGTCCTCCTCTAGAAAATGGAATTGTAAAATTGGAAATCCGAGGTTTCTTCTTCGAGCAGCCATCATCATTTTTTTTTAAATACGGACCTGGACTTTTTATTTAATTTTCCATAGTTTCGGTCTCCTTGATATGATGGTGTATCAAAACATTACTTGAAATGTGTATTTCAATGAAAAAAATAGTCTTAAAAAATATGGACATACTCATCTTTGTCACCACAGCGTTTCTGGTGTCTTTGTGTCTTAACACATTATTCAGTGCGAAGTACCTCCTACATAATTGAAATGCTCATATTCTGAATGCATTATTAGTTATATGAAAACAAAAATGATGAGCAATTGTTTATTATTTAATGAAATTATATTTTCTATTTGAGATTTTTTCTGAATAGAAAGTTGACTCGCGCAAAAATAGTTGAAAAATATGTGTGCTCCGTCGTCAAGAAATGGATAATTCCATTACTTATTGTATTTTGTAGTTTACTAAGATAGTCATCATTGTTTTTTTTTCAATGAATAGTTTTTTCCACAATATAATGAATTTTTTTATAAGGCACGAACTCATCCTGTAATGACTCAATAGAAAATTTGATGAAAAGATCCATTTCTTGTCGACGGACCATAAATTTTTTGTATTCTGAAAAATATCTCTACTCGCTTATGTTCTAGACCAATGAGAAGCGCGTTCAAACAATCCTTATCTCACTGTCCGCTTTATTCTTAACTGGAATACACTGTAGTTCCCTTTTAATCAATCCCAATCATTTCAATAATTATGAATATGGTTTTATGTAGATTGTATGACAAACTCTCAGAGACTGAGAATGCTGCTGCAGCATTCACGGAATTCTGCTTGAGAGAGGACGATCGAGAGATGAGGGCTGTCGAGGAGCAAGCAGAGTTCTACAATGCTCTCCAATATCTGGCAAATTATCATCTCAAGAAGGGTGAACTTGATGATGCCTACACGTACGCCTACAAATGTATGGAGTATGAGGAGGTAAGAGATCGTAGTATGTTTTGAGATAGCAAATTTTGTAAGAACGGGTTTGCATTCTTCAACAACAAATGCTTGAGAATCATATTAGATTGCGGAGTTGTTCATATTGATCATTTAAAAAATATATATTTTTGTGAAATTTGTATATCGCTACTTCAAAGTTGGGAACCAACCCCAGAAGTCGAAACTTGTGCGGGGTTAGGAAGAGCGAGACCCAGCTTATTGTGTAATCCGAACCACTTCTAGGGCATCGAGGTAGCTGCCCATGAATCACACATTTTAAAGAAAAAATGCTCAGCCGATAGCCGGATTCGAACCGACAGTACCTTCGAATCGTGAACGGCTATCTAGCGAATTTCAGCGCATAGACAATCTCGGCCACGGCGGTTGATGAACGTAATATTACAATAGTAAAGTTGAAATTACATACACTTGACTAACCAACCTACTTGATTATCAGCGACTATTTTATTAACATAAAAGTCATTATCAGTAGGTAATTCTAGAGACTTGGATTTCATTCATTATTATTATCATTATTATCTCATACAGTCATGAACTGGTCATGAGAGTACAGCAGACTTTTTCAATGGAAATATCGATCGATATACTCCGGCTTGATGTTTCAATTCCACTCATGACATTGAAGTATGTAGTTTCGACACAGTTCAATCCTTTAAGAAACAGTTATGTATTTCCACTGAAATTTTGTATCCATATCGAATCTGGCAACAGCCGAATCGTGGCATCTGAATTCTGGTTGCGCAGAAGACTAAAACCAAGTCACTGATAAGCTCAAAATCTGAAGGGTACATCCCATGCAGTAATGAATTTGCGCCTTCGGAGTACGAAGCTGATGTTAGGTTAGATGTTCGTTATTTCCATTTCATCGCCTAAATAATCCGAGACTTAGGAGTCCCGAAAGACGTATTCCAATAATTAATATCCAAGATGATAATTGTTGGATATTTTGAGTCCTAGTGTTGGATTAAATCATGATAAAATAGGCAACCAGGTGCGCGTGACATGATTTTGTGGTTGCTCAGTAAACGAAACGGGGTAATGAACATCAATGGTGTCGACAGTAAGTGCGACTACTGTGGTAATAATCGTCAGATATATGAAAGGCACAGTCTCATTCAAACGGTCGAAATTCACCACTCATAACTGATGTCTTCACGACTCAGTGAGTGAAACACATACGTGCCAGATGTCAAAGTACATCTGGAAATAATAAGAGAAATGTTGAAATTCATAAATCATGATTTATTTCTTCTAATGTGTTGAAAGATTCCTAGTTGCTTTTTTCGTACCTAGAAAATATGTTTATCATTTGATTCACCACAAAGGAGATTTAGTGCGAAACAGCTGGACATCTTAGACAACGCAGTGCGTAGGTGTCAAGTCACCAACGGATATTGACCGAATGTTTGTTCACATAGCACGTGGTCTCGCTGATATTAGGTACTCATAAAATGCAATGATACATATTATGGGATAAAAATATGCATTCCGTTCTATTGTCGATAGCGATTACTACTCGGTCGATTTCGAATGATAATTTTTGAACAGCTCAACTATAATTTGCGTCTTTGCCGATCGTCAAGGTTGGGGTAGAAGTAAGCACGTTCTTTTCGAATCAGGCGGTAATTTTCAACAACTTTGAACTGCTCATCGGCAAACAATTTGCAACTGAAACATATACAATCTTTTGGTGTATGTAATAGCACAGTGTAATTGTTGAATGTGAAAAATTCTGTACCAGTTCAATAGCCTATCATCAGAAACATAAATAAACTCATAATTTTATGTATTGGTTGTTCCAGTTATAGGATATAATTGACAAGGTGATGAAAATTTTTGTCGTAAAATTGTGAAGGCATGATTTTTTCTTGAATAAAAACTTCCATTATTTTTGGGTTTTACGGAAGAAATACCCAGTGTAGAACTTATTCTAAAATGCAACCCTTATTCCAGACAAAAGAACAAGGAAAAGCCCTGTTGAAGACCATTGCAGCAAAGAGGGTTGAACAAGAACCCGGACCAGCAAGGATAAATGAATCCAGCACTAACAATATAGATATGGTGTTTTCCCCAAATGTATTATGATAGTTATATGAAATTATGATCTAAATATTGAATATTCCTCTGTGGAAATCAAACAGCACCATGCTCTTGAGAATAAGGATGTTGAAAGTGAGTTATTTATAAGTTCTAAGAGCAACATTTCAAAATATTGTTATTGCGTTTTTCTGTGTTCATAACACAAATTAACTAAAATTATTCCATCTAAAATTTCCTTGGATAATATTGAAACAATATGAAAAATGTGGATGCATTATTTTTGTATCATTCCACTTACCTTTGACTCATTTCAGTGTGAAATATGAAAGTAGCAAACTGGTACTGGTACTGGTGGGGGACGTTTCCACGTCAGCAACTAGTCCCCAATGGGACCTTTTTGCCAACCCCAAGTGTTTTCAATGACTGATGTGGTTCGCTCAAGAGAGCTGGCTAACATCCTTTTCAGGCACCGCCCATCAGCTCTCTTTTCAGAGTTTTTCAGCTGTGTTTTGTAGGCTTGTAATGTACTCACCACAATATGCGCAGTGGCAGGCCTGCTAACTATCATCGTTAACCCCCGAGACCGAGGTCTACTTAAGCAGCTGGCCCGCTCTCACGCTCAGCTGGTAGTTTTTCCACACCCACCTACATACACCGTCCTACTTCTTCTCTGACGCTCACAACCACATCATCATATCTTTCTGCGTGTTCTGTGTAGGCTTTGTTACTAACTCCATGCGCCACTTTAGGAGCAGCACTGTTAATTGGAACGCAACAGCGAATCGTGCAGGACTATCCCCAGCCGATGCTCCGAAACTTTACAATATTTAATTCGTAAATAAAATATTGAAAAAAGTTCCTTGCCCGTGCTGGAAATCGAACCCACGACCTTGCGGTCGTGAGACGGACGCTCTTCCACTGCGCCAATCCCGGCCTTGAAAGTAGCAAATATAGAGGGTGATTTCTTAAAGAAAGGATATAATTAGTCAGAGGGTTGTCCTTATCAAACGAAGTTCAAACAATCTTAAATTGAAGGTAAATTCGAAATAATTTAGAATCAAATTTCATTTCAATTCTAGTAGCATTCTTTGCCGGTGATGACATTATTCTGTCTATTTTGGTATCACCACATTGCAGCCCCTCCCTTTATCAGATTTGAGATGATTGCTAAGCTGGTGTGAATAGAAGATAAAAGTGACTGCTTTGTTTCAATCACCTTCGAAATAATATATTGTACAAGGTGATTCACCATAAATGCCCCCCCCCCTCTAGCTCAGTTATTTTTGAACCGATTTCAAAATTTGGAATATCATCTCAAATGATTTTAGATGAAATTTTTTCTGCTACATCAGGAGATACAGGGTGCTCGGAACAAACGATCTATAGAATACTATTTGATTTTTTTAAATGAAACGCCCTATTTTTCATTGTATTTTTAGATTTTCCCTGAAGAGCTGATTTTATCGATGTATCACACTCGGGGTCAAGCGGGAATGATTACAGAGATATAGGGTGTTCAAAATCGAGATTTTTCAACTTTAGGAATTTTTTGTGAAGAAACTCTTCATTATCGGTCAAAACGGCTTTTATGTCCGTACCACAACTTTTGATTTACTATCTACTGACATTTAATAATTGGAACAGATACAGGGTGATCAGAATTCTGAATCTTGAACCACCCTGTAAATGTTCCAATTAAAAGTCACTAGATAGTAAATCAAAAGTTGAGATAGGGACATGAAAACTGTTTCGACCAATCATGAATAGTTTCGACAGAAAAAAAAACCTAAAATTTGAAAAATCTCGATTCTGAACACCCTATATCTCTGTAAACATTCCCGCTAGACCATAAGTGTGGTATATCGATGAAATCAGCTCTTCAGGAAGAATCTAAAAATACAATTAAATATAGGGTGTTCCATTTCAAAGTAGTACTATGTATCGTTTGTTCCGAGCACCCTGTATTTTCTGATGTAACGAAAAAAAAAATCTGAAAATCTGAAGAGACGGGAGTTATTTTATGCATTCACATAAAATTTTTGGAGACCCTTTGGTATACATGATCCTGTGTCAACATTCCATTCAACGTTTTTGTGGCGGAAAAATATACCATACATGTGTGATAATGTTGTTCAAGACCGGCAAACTTTCATACTTTACTGCATCAAGCAAGCATTGTCCACACTTGTACCATTGATAGCTTGTTCCATATTGCTGACTACAAAAATCATCGTTTTAATAGATAGTTTATCAATCTCTTCAGGTCATTTACATAACATAAGGCAAGTCAAAAAAAGGTTACCCCCTTGATAGGGTAAGGTAGAACACTGCAAAATAAGTTGGGTTTGCTGAGTAAAAAATGTCGTAACGACGGATGTCCTTGAACAAAATGCTTTTTTACACATTTTCTTACGTTTATATCGAAACTACTGGTAACATTGTAATGCAATTTTGTATGAATTGGTTTTTATATATGACTCTCATAAAGGGCGCTAGTTACACGGTTCGTACCGAGGACTTTTAAACATAACTTTTTTGAAGAACTATCACCTTATTTATTGAAAACCGAAAACAACAATGTATTTCTAATGCTGAACTTCATGAATAACGAGAATAACATCAAAACAAAGTTGACTAAAAACATGGATTAAACAGTTTGGTTGTATCTAGAGGAAAAATACTGTGCTAAAGAGGTAAATTCACGTCAACAGTTGCAAGACAAACAGCTGATCCTCAACCATTTAGGAGAATAATGCATCCTTGAGAAAAAAGAGAATCGTCTATTCGTGGAAACGGAGGACATTTTGAACATTTACTCTCTGATTCAATATTTCATGTTTTTAGTAAAATTTATCTCAATCTTGTGCTTGTGATCCTCAATAACTTTAGCAGAAGAATATATAATGTTACTGCTTTTGGATACGAAGAAATAGTTAATTGATCTCAATATTACTCATTTTATATCAGCATCAGCTATTACTCCATTATTTTCGAATCGAAGTATTCCGAAAACAGCACACAATATTGAGTTTTATCAAGATTACGTTTTTGGTGTTAAATTGAATGCTGTTCGAGGTCACATCAAATTTAGGCTGAAAAATCCAACCTCAGCAGTTATCTTTCAAATTAGTCAGTAGGAACCGTGTAACTAGGACCCTCTATGAGAGTCAGATATGAAAACGAATTCATGTGATGGGTTAACTTCCAGAAAATAATATAATAAACATTATTTTCTTCAACAAAACGGATGCCGTTATTTTTTACTGAGTACACTCAACTTACTTGGCAGTGTTCTATTGACCTAGTAAGGGGGTCACCTTGTTTTGAAACACCCTGTATACCTGTATAGGTTAAGTCAGTTTTTTGATCAGGATTTTGTACTAAAATTGACTCGGACCCCCACATAATTTTTATACAGTACGATGCAAATGTATGGAATAAATTCATTATTTCAGAAATGGGCAACATTTGAAAAAATTCCAAAAACACGTGAGTTTTAATTTCTGAAGCCTCATCTCATGATATTCATATGAGAGATGTTACGTCACCGGTGTTGGAGTAAAGACGTAATGGACGATTTTTTCAAATACAAATAGGGGTCATGTGACACCTTGATTGAAAGGTCTACCGATCGTCTATTCAACAGTCAGAATGTTGCATAAGAAGATTGAAATTAAAATAGATTATCATGTGATTAATTGAATCTTGCAGAGGTCTGCTACTGAGAATTGAACATCGAAGGGTCGTCTAGTTAAAAAAATACGTCGAAAAAAAGTTCTAAACTCTAGTTTTTGTTTTTTTTTCGAAAGTCGTCTTGTTTTGAAATGAATTTATTCCATACATTTGCATCATACTGTATATCTAGTTAGAAAATAGGACTTCCCATTCATTCCATTCAAAAGTGTGTAATTTGGCCTACCCTGTACACGATATTTCAATGAAACTCTATATATACTCTTGGTTTTTGTGATCTAATGATAAACTCTCAACATTTTGACAACAAATTATTTATATCATATTTTACTATTCCAAAATACGAGAGTGCACTTGGAGCAGTATACACTGTATTATTCCAGTACCAGTATGTTGCCAAACTTCAAGTGGTGATTCATTGAGTAGTTTTATTAGGATGTATCAATCAATCAATAATTAATTTTTTGTTTCTTCAACATACAGTTTCATAACAAGGGTTTAGTTATCATTGCAAAATTAGTGGTAATTATATTGAAAGTATAATTGGAAATACATATTGTTTGTGACAGCAAAGTTTGATACATCAGTAAATACATACTAGTGTTAGATACCGTTATCGTGGACACGTCAGCGGGGTGGTGACAAAGACATTATATAAGTGTTTGGGGAATGTTAATGTGAATGAGATTATTACTCATTCTATTGGTGCCTTTCAGTAGTAGAGTATCGTGCGGAATATATACCATTCGATTTTCAATATTTTCCTGTGCTTTACGCCTCAGTTTGGTAACGTCTACAACTTCTTCATTCTTCTCCACGTACCGATCTCCTTGACTTCTCAGGGTTATCTCAAACATCAGTTCGGCAGTTATTATCCTCGTGACCAAAGATAGAACATCTTCCGCATTGTAGCTTATTTTTTTTTTAAATATATTTTTTTTATCAAATAATTTCCTTATACTCTGATTTATTTTCAAATTCAAACCTACTAGTACTAGGAGTATTCATGAAGAATCTTTGTTTCGGCTAATCGTTTTTTTTTTGTTTCTCTCGATAGTTTTGTAATTGAGAATGTCTTATTCTTCAAATAGGCACCCAAGGTGTTGATATCCGTAATATTGGCTGCCTCGGCTGCTGACGTTATATTGCTATCATTGATTGAACCCAATACTAAAGAAACTTTATCCTCGCCCGAGAAATTCAAATTTAATTTATCAATTTCAGCAAGGTGCTGAAAAAAAAATTCATACAATGAACAACCATCCGTAGGTTTGTGGTTTGCTATGTCCATAAATAGACTATAAGTGTCCCTTCTAGACTTGAAGGTGCTAACCAACTTTCCCTTCCAATCCTCCCATCCGTAACTTGGCCAACCTATCTCGTTGTTTATCAAACTATCGTACCATATTCTTGCTGTACCCTTTAGTTTACTTAAGGCTTGATATATAACAGTATGTTCTTGCCATGCAAATAACGATGCGTTGTGATCGATCATTTCTAACCATTTAGTTACACTATCTATCATCGGGTCAAATTCAGGAATAATATTTGAAATACCTGGGTGTGTTTTATCCTCGGGTTGAGAAATTGGAGCAGCTCTTTGACTCACCCCTGCCGAACGACTACTTCCTGAATAACTTCCAGAGTTACGCGTCACCTTCTCCCTTTTGTTGTCTCCAGAATATCTCAACGTTGAACGTGATCGTCCTCCATGCCGACCCGATACTTTCTTCTTTCTGCTATCTTCAAAATTTCCCGATGATGAACGTGCTCGTTTTCCATGCCGACCCATGATGAGTAAGGCTGAGTTACTACCACTTCTGATGTTAGGGGCTCAGAGACACTACACTAAAACACTGCTTTGGTAATCGAATGGTATATATTCCGCACGATACTCTACTACTGAAAGGCACCAATAGAATGAGTAATAATCTCATTCACATTAACATTCCCCAAACACTTATATAATGTCTTTGTCACCACCCCGCTGACGTGTCCACGATAACGGTATCTAACACTAGTGTGATGCAATGTATTGCTTACAAACTATATGACGATGTATGTTCATGTTCATCAAGTTTTTGTCTCCAAATTTCCCCAAAATAAGCACCTCTGGATGTTTGGCAACATACTTGAATAACATGAATGTGTTTAAAGTGTCCGGATTCAAACTTCACAAGCGGGAGTAAATGGATACTTTCTCTCACTTGATACATATAGCTTTAATCCGGAAAAACGGAAACGCATTTGATGTGTACAAATTTATTGAAACATAATTTTAAATTAAAACTACATTTTGTTAAATATAGCTGCATCCGAACAAGTGGACACAGCAAAAACTATACATTTGGCAAATAATGTGATAGTTAGCAATTCAATTCGATTGTTCGTTGCACCAACTCATCACTATGCACTTCGTGTCCATTGCACAAATCAGTCGTGGCCCCCCCAAAACAATCAATCGCTCAATAAATAAAACGTGAGTGTTCGAAATTGAAACCCGAAAAAAGAAGAAAAAAACAACAAAATCACTTTGAGAAATACCACTAGATTCTTCAGAAAAAAATAAATTACAGCAATAATAATAGACACCTTAACCCACTAGGTGGGGGGCTATGCAATAAGTGATTTTGCTCTTATCACGACGAAGTCCCATCATTTTCTGAAAATATTTGTTGACACAACGTATTATATCGGGTAATTCAAATTCCAAGGATCACCAGTGGAATTTCGAAAACTATAGGCGATAGGTAGATAGTTAAATTAGGGTGAAGATGCACATTTATTTGACTAAATATATGCCGTCGAGAAAACTGTTGAACTCCGAGAATTTCCGTAGATTCAAAAAGAACATGAATTCTTTTCCTTCTTTCCTGGAGTTACTTGTTGGAGAATATCAAAATTGAGAGCACATTTGCATTGGCACTTTTTTCCTACTATATACAGTGTGACCCATTTAAGATGGAAGCACCCTTATAAAACTTACATTTTTCAACCGATTGGAATGATTTTTGTTAGGTAGATATTCAAAAAGTCTATTAGGACACCAAATATCATGAATAAATCTCCATTTCCAGGGCCAACTAATCTGATTTTTCAAGGTCAAAAATCTAAAAAAATTACTAGCGATTTTTTTAGAAAAAAACTGACTACACCACTGGATTTGTGACATTTTCAAATGGGTAACATGTAAATTACGTTGAAATGCGTCAATCAATAAAAAAGTTATAAAGGAATGAAATTTGAAAAATATGCCGTTTAATCAACCCACCAATTCATGTTCAGGAATTTTATGAAAATTCTGTATACTCCACTGGATTCAGGATGTCTTGAAATATTACTGATCACAGTTTCATCGAAATCTGTTCAGTAATAAAAATTGATGGGTTGATTAAACGGCATATTTTTCAAATTTCATTCCTTTATAACTTTTTTATTGATTGACGCATTTCAACGTAATTTACATGTTACCCATTTGAAAATGTCACAAATCCAGTGGTGTAGTCAGATTCTTTCTAAAAAAATCGCTAGTAATTTTTTTAGATTTTTGACCTTGAAAAATCAGATTAGTTGGCCCTGGAAATGGAGATTTATTCATGATATTTGGATTTATTCATGATATTTGGTGTCCTAATAGACTTTTTGAATATCTACCTAACAAAAAAACAATCATTCCAATCGGTTGAAAAATGTAAGTTTTATAAGGGTACTTCCATCTTAAATGGGTCACACTGTATATCTAAAACTGTCATCATATAGCAGAGTAAAAGTAGCAATGTAAATGTGCTATCAACAAATAACGCCAGAAAAAAAAGTAGAAAGGATTTACCAAAACTTTCTTTTTTTTTATATCTCCCGAAATACTCGGAATTCGGACATTGTATTTTCCCGACGGCATATTTTTAGTCACTTAAATGCGCAACATTCCCATAATTCAACCATCTTATCTCCTATAGTTTCCGAGATCCCAATGGTGGCCCTCAAATTTGAATCACCCAGTATACGAATTTGATAACATTAATGTGGATAAACCACTATTTATCCAGATTGAATGAATAAGATTGAAATTTCGACTTCCTTCAGCACAATTCAGCTAAGAATGAGTATAGCTGGGCGATTTTGTTTTTCCGCGAAAATTCTAAAACAATAACATTTGCATCCAAATTTATTATATGGTTTCATAGTGGAACAGGTACATTTTTGATGATGACATCATTTTAGACATTCTATCCATTGTCATGTTATAAGGGCTTGTGGTAGCTATTAATTTGTCTCATCTTTTCTACGCTGATGAAATCAAATTCCTTGTTCAATTTCTTCGAAAAAACACAAAACCTTCAACTATGCTTGAAACAATTCTATTGAAATATTTGGCTTTGAATACAAATTTGCATATATTTTTTCAAAGTTTTCATCAACAGATAATTACGAAAATAAAATAGAATGTGGAATTGAAAAAAATTAAAATAATCGAAATTTCATTAGTGGGAAAAATTACCGAAGTTACTATATCATTGAAAATTGAGGTTCTTAGAAAGAAAATCTTGTACCAAAATCAATTAAAAAATGAAAAAAAAAGAAATTTTTGAGTTATTCCTGAAAAACTATTTCATTATACTACTTGAGGACCTTACATAATTCTTCATAAAGTCACGAGAACTATATCTTGCAAAAATTAATCAATGAAATATTGCAACGCCTTGTATATTCGATTTGAAAAAGGACCAAGTCTGTCTTGACTTCCAAGTTCTTACTTACTTAACCAGTTTAAAGGTATGTGTATGAAATGTGCCCATTTACAAAGTGCTGAAAGAAGTTGGAAGTTTCATTATTTTCATGTGATACCGATAAAAAGTAGTCAACATCTTCATCACCACTTTCCTGTTCTCCGTTCAAAAAAAAAACAACGTGAGCACCGACATACACTTCCAGAAAATCACGCCTCGCACGACAAGCGCAAAACTCACCGCGTAAATTACAGTATATAGAATCCGTTCAAAGACAAGCCATACCGTTCCGCGTTTTGTTTTCTTTACGACAAGTAGAAAGAGTGCTGTCCCTCGGAGGCGGCGAGCCGCAATTTTTCCCGCATCACCTCGATGGTCGAATAGTCGGGCAGCTTGAGGTAGTTCACGCAAGTCATCACCGACGGCAGGAAGTCGTCGGCGTTCATGTTCGGTTCCAGCGTCTTCCGGACTACCGTCAACGGAGGGGACAGCGCTTTGAAACCTGCAGGAAAAAGAAAAACGTGCGGATAACGAAGAACGATTTATGAACGAAAAAATTAACGAATCAAAATCGAAAATAAATCATTGAAACAAACTAATGAGAAGAAATTATCTTTTGGGATTTGGGTTGATCATGAATTGAAATTGAATTAAAAGCGGGCAAACATCATAATTTTTTTACTAATGGAGCGATTTTCAATTTTTTTTTTTTTAATATAAAGTGGGAGACGGTTTAGTTTGGAGCTGAGAGGCGTCCATTTCTTTTAAAACCATGGCCTACTACCGTTACCACCGATAAAACAAGGCCAGCAGACTCTGACGTAAACAGCTCGTGACGTCGCATACTCAGGCCATCTTCCAAGGCATTCGCGTCGATCGATCGTCAGTTTGTTTTTGTTTAAGAACGGTGGCGTAGGTAATTCGCGTGTGCACGAATTCTCTTGTTGTTTATTCATCAAAATAATTGGCGGAGAAATTACTGTTTTGTGAAATATTTCGTGTTGTGATAGGCGAAATAACAATGCCTTACAAGTGTTGTGTCCCCTTTTGTCGGGGGAATTATGTGGGTGGTCCAAAAGTTCATGCTTTTAGTTTCCCGTTGGACAAGGAACTATCGAGAAAGTGGGTACATGCAATTCACCGCAAGGATTTTACGACTCCATCTAAGTACAGTAAAGTATGTGAATTACATTTTACTAAAGATGATATTATCACTTCATCTACTGCAACCGATTCAAAAACTGGCAAAACTGTAACAATAGATTTGAAAATTCCTAGGCTTAAACAAGATGTTATTCCCACTCAATTTCCCAACTGTCCATCTTATTTATCGAAAGATGTAAAATTACGCACACGTCGTGATGAGAAAAACTTGAGATACTAGAGACTAAAAATTTGGCACAAGCACTTACCAAAAGTAAAACTGAATTCGAAAATTACCAAAAATCATTTTGCTACACAGAATTTCAAGAATTTCTAGTTGTATTAGAGTCTTTTCAGTTGCCCGAAAAGTGGTTCAAAATTATCGATTTGCAAAAAGTCACATTATTCAAATTGTCTTATTCTCCAGGGCCCGTAATTACATATTCGGTTGTGATTGATTTTGTTTTGAATGTGGAATCATTTTTGTATGACCTAGCGATACAAACATCTCTAAAAGCCTATCTGAAAACACCTTTCATCTCTAATAATATCAATCAAATCAAGGAATTACTAATTGAAATAGATAAAAACGAGATACATAATTCGGCAAAATGTCTTGATAATCAGAAAAAGAGGGTTTTGAAACATATTTCGAATGCATTGGACTCTTTGGTTTCTGACTCAATACATTCTCAAATTTCTTTCTGAAAACGGTCATTTGCCTCGTGGCAATGAATGCAGAATTCATTCCAATGATCAAATTGCAACTATTATATTAACATGTACTACAAACACTCTACTTAAAAATTACTGTTTCAAGTCTAACGATCAATTGGGTAAAAAATCCAACAACAGGAAATTGAAAACACTCACTGGCTATGTTTTTAGGTAATAGGAATTCTCCAAGATAAATATAGATAATTAAAATACATTTTCCCCAATTTTCTTTCGATCAATCTCATGATAAGTTTATGTTCTGCGGGCCCTGTATAAGTAGGTGTGAAGTTTACCTCTAATGAGATTGAATCACTACAATTTTTGCCAATATATTTAATTCGAATGGGTTGCTGTAGGTGGATATTTGTGTTTTATTCTGGTTTTTGCTTTGAAACTTCGTTTTTCCATAATAAAATCGATTGGGATGCGAAGAAGGGCTCAGTTGACGGCTGGCATCCTCTTTCAACCGGAAGCCCTTCAAAAAAAAAGCAAAATCGGCTCAATAATGATCAAACTAAAATCGAAATACGCGGTCGCCTTATAGTGCTATAAGCGCTTGTCGTTTCGAGCCGCTGGTTAGGCCTGACTAAGTGACGTCACCCACGGAGCATGCAGGCCTTGTTTTATCGGTGCTAACGCTACTACACCTTTTTCCATTGTAATTCAGAAAGAGTAACTTGTAATTCAGAAAGCATCACTTTTGAGTCATAAATACTATAGACTTAAATATGGGTAGGGAATAGAAATCAACGAATGGTTTATTGTGTGGTGAACATCAATATTTTATATTTATCGACCAATGGGCATATCTTGAAATGCCAGAGCAAATTCCACAATTATTGAAATTCATAATCTCACTTGTATGTGATGAAACAACAATATCTATACCTGTGAAATTCTTTTAAATTGCAATTTATTTGATATTTCCTAGTTACTTTCTATGACAACATGGCTTTGATTGTTGGTAACTTGATTTACGTTGAAGTCTCAAGGAGAATGGATGCATACGGGTTGTTCCTAGTTTCTGAATAATAAGTGATACTTTCTGAATTACAAATTATGCTTTCTGAATTACAATTGACGGTACGGTTTCTGAATTACATATTATGCTTTCTATTTTACAATTAACTAATCTGAATTACAACTTATACTTTCTGAAATACAGCTTATACTTTCTGAATTACAATTGAAAAAGGTGTAGAGCACATTCAGAGGCTGATGAATCCAAAATCCGTATTAGCGATTTTTTGAGAAAAAATCCGCGTACACCACTGGAAAATAGATCTGTACTAAGTTTCATGAGAACATTAACGAATCTACAGAATGTCTTATTTCAAACGCCCCCCCCCCCCCTCCTTATCTCAGCTATTAGACGTACGATCTTTAGCAAATTGGGAACGGTATGAATGACCATCAATGGGGAAGACCACTGAGGGAAGAAATCCGTGCAAACCGCTTTCAATCGACGAATCATGATTTACATTTTATTTATAATCAATATTATGAGTTGAAGTTGAAGGGAATCGAATCTATATCGTTTTGAATTCAGCATATTTCGTTCGATATTTCAAACAGCCAAATATGATGGTGGAGTCGTGACGTATCAGTCCCGAACTGTAGCTATCTCTCTCTCTGATTCCTCGTCATTCTGCAGTGTTGCAGTGCAATTGGTCAGTTCAAGGACAATAGGCGTGTTGGGACTAAGACGTCGCACCAGTCACACCAATGACTTGATGAAATTTCAAATGGCGCAGGAATTGTGTGTTTTGAAATGGACATATACTAATTTATTTTTTTCATCGTCTTAGCATGAATGAACAAATTCAAAATTAATTCACTGATAGTTTTTCAGTATAGAGTTCACGATAATATCGTTTTAAAAAAATCAGTGGTCTTCCCCATTGGATCAGTATTTCAGAGACTGGCCGATTCGACTCGATTCGTGAAATATAATCTGCCTGCACTATCATATCACTCACCTCCGACGGGAAGTCGCGGGCTGCCCGTCAAGAACTGCACGAACATCCGCTGCTCCTCGCGATCGTACGAGCTGAGCACCTCGAACAGGCACCGGATGGCGCGCGAGTCGGCGTTGTAGCCGTGGTCGGGCCGGCAGCACTCCATCAGCGTCTTCACGTCCCAGCCGTGCGAGCAGTCCTTCGGGCTGCCGCAGAACACCGACTCCAGTTCTTCCGGTTGGAACAGCCGCAGGTTGTGCAGCGGGAACACGGACTCGAAACCTTCAATAATGACGATACAGATAATAACATTTTCCTACAACTGTCGAAAAAGAGGACAACCTCATTCACCTCATGAGGTCAATGATTAAATGATATTTCGAAATTATTATCAAGTACATTTACCCTTTATTGGTTACACCTGGTTTCTTAGGACGAAATAGTCATAGCCATCCTAGGCTAATTTGAATACATCGCACATTCGGCTCGCGTTCAGCGATGCTGATCAAATCATGAGATGCGAGCATATTATTATCTAGTACGCGAGGATTTCGTGGCGCTTTCTACCCGCTACCATCTCTATTTCACTGGCACTTGATACGAAATACAAAGTCAGCTGCCTTGATTTGTTCGCTTACTGCCTTGCTGAATCCCGTAGAGGAGCCCATAGACTGCGTTGTTGGTAGGCTGTTTTATTCGACAAACAAGTCTGTTCTAACAAAAATGACGCAAAATACCGAAGTGTGTGGCTGCAAAATGTTCTTTTTCGCTAGCCACATACCACACACTTCGGTTTTGCGTCATTTTTGTTCGAACATACTAGTTCCACAAAAAAGAGCCCACCAACAACACAGTCTATGGGCTCCCTAACAAGATTCAGAAAGGCAAAAAGGAAAAATATTGTATGTAACACGTGCGTAAAGTATTTTTTCAACCCATAGGAATTGCCGCACTCCACCTTCGGCGTATTGCGTTAACATCTCCTACTGCTAAAAGAAACTTTACAAACTTGTTACATAAATAACTATTTTTGTCGATCTCTACAAATAGTTTGAAAAACTGAAACAAAAGCTTTTAAAGATAGCCGAACTGAAAAGAAGTCGAAAATACAATAATAAAAGTGTGTTATAGTTATTTATGTATTAAGGGAATTATGAGGGCCTTAATTACCGATGGCAAAGTTTGCGTCCCGAGGGCCTCTGGCCCGAGGGACAGCAATTGCCTGAGGTTATTGAGGCTCAGTAATTCCCGTGATACATAGATAATTTTATTTCTGACTGGATTCATTCATTAGATACCTTCCCGATTGGAAGTTAGACATGTTTTTCCGTATAGTTTCAATGTCATCAGAACGTCAGATGATGATCTTGACTACCGCGAATAGGAGATTTCTTATTGCTACAGTATTGCGTGGTTGTTGCTATGCATTTCTTATTTAATTTTAGCTAGAGGGAATTATAGCATCTATAACATCCCAAGGGAGTTATGACCCTCATTATAGATATCGTAACTAAGACGATATAAGCTTATAATGTCAGTGTCAGAAATAAAATACACTACTCCGATACGCCGATTGAAAACGAACTTTTCACTAACATTAGTGACATTTGACATTTATCGAAATAATTAACATGGAGAATAAATTCCTTTTGTTGGAAAATAGGAAATAAAATCGTTCAAAATCTTCAATGAAATCCATTTCGATTTGTGTGCAGATTCCGTTAGTTACAGTGCCAACATGAATGGACCAGAGTGAGTCATGACTATCGAGCCATAGCCTAATGACGGATAGAGGAATGGAATTTAAATGAATTTGTTTACCAATGTACTACAATATGCTAGTACAAAATGATGGAATCAAACTTTGTTCGATATTTGGGTACCAAAAATTTCAAGTTGCTCGCACCTCAGAATAAGAAGAACTGATTAAGTCGACATGCTCAACATTTCTTGGTGTGATATATATCAAAACAGGGTGTGACACATAATACAACATTACCTGCACCTGCTTTCATTTCGTTTCTTGTTTTTCAACAAACTACACATCTCATCACCACAGGTTGGGACTCTACTCTTCACGACGAAGGATTGCAAGTTTAGCATCGCACTGGAGGAATGGAAATATACATTATACTAATATTCTTCAGACAGATTCGTACGACACTCGCTTTTCGTGAAACATGACTGAAAAAATACGGCGCTTGTTGCGAAACGGTAGTTATCCCCACAATTCGAATTTCCATTCATTTATCCGTGTTAGGCGTTCAGGATTGTTGTCGTATATACACTCACCGGCAAAAAAAAACCGGCCACCAAAAAATTGACAGAATTGTTCAACCTGTAACTTTTTCAATCCTTGTCCGATTCTTGTGAAATTTCGATCACATCATAGATTTATGTTCCGGAATGTCAGCCTGAATATTGGTTTCCATGAAAAGCTGATGACTTGATCATTATACAGGGAAAAAACAAAGTCACTATTTCACCCTTTATTTCTTAACGCGCTGTGGAAAAATTTAGTGGTTGAAATTGGTTTCATTATGCTTCGGATTAAAGTGTGATCCTTTCTTAACACAACAGTTTTTGAATCATGTCAATATCTTATTTTAAAGAAGATACAAGTGTTTTAAGAAAGTATGGCATTTTTCAAATTTCATTGATACTCGTTTCAACAATTATCAGAACCTACATAAACTTATTGATTAACAACTTGAAGAATTAATATCACATATTTCTACCTCATTTTCAGCACTTACAGAAAAAATCTCAATTACAAACAAAAACAAAACGCAGAATTAAATAAGAGTCAATAACGAGTCATTCAACGAGGCATTCAACCGCCGTGGCATCAAGTAGTCTTGAAGAATTGCCTAAAAATCTCCGTGCAGGGCGAATCGTAGCCATTGAAGAGTCTCTGACATGGCCAAACTAAGGCGAATGAGCCTCTGGAGTTCATCCCCAAAATGCTCTGTAAGTTCTGAATCATTGTTGATAAAAATTTTAAAAATCCATACTTTCTTAAAAGACTTATTGTATTTTCTCTCAAAAATAAGATATTGACTTGAATCTCGAACCATTGTGTTAAGAAGGAACGAAAAAGGATCGCACTTCAATTCAAAACATGATGAATGGTTCTGAATTATTGTTAATAAAAATAAAAAATTCCATACTTTCTTGAAACACTTGTATCTTCTCTTAAACAGTGGTTATCGATGAGAATCCAAAACCATTGTGTTAAGAAGGGATCACACTTCAATCCAAAACAAAATGAAGTTCAGTTTAATCACGCATCTTTGCCACAGGGCGTTAAGAAGTTAATGGTGAAAGAGTCACTTTTATTTTTCCCTGTATAATGATCAAACATCAGCTTTTCTTACTACCATATCCAGGATAACATTCCAAAACACGTATATACGATTTGCTCAAAATTTCACCGAAATCGGACAAGAATTGAAAAAGTTACAGGTCGAACAATTTGGCAAAATTTTTTGGTGGCCGGTTTTTTTTTGCCGGTGAGTGTACTTTCCAATGATTTGTGAATGAATCGAACGAACCTTCGCGCAGCGACTCCATCTGCCTGGCCACGCCCTCGTAGAGCGTCCAATGGGCGGCCAGGTCGACGTAGCGGTGGAGGTTGTGGACGGTGACGGGCGTCGATTTGCCGTTGCGCATCAGCTCGACGTTGTGGCCGGGCAGGACAAAGTCGAGGCCGAGCTCTTCCACGGCGCAACCGTCGAATTGCAACTTCTCCACCTGGAAGCGGATTTTCGACATTTCAGTTTAAAATAGTACAGGCTACTGAAATGGTATTCGAGAAAATCACGAAGCAATAGTGACGAATTTTGAAGTGAAGGTGGTCTACAAACATTTCTCATAGAAATGCAATGTAAATCATCGGTCGTTTTAAAATGCATATTTTGGAAAACTAATCATCAGAAAAAACACACTTTACACAAGATTTATCAATTCATATTGTACTCAAAATGCTTTTACCACTGCCCTTACCAGATCACTGGAGTTATGCAAGTTTTGCTATTTCTTCATTTCTCATCACTTTCTACTCCTTACAGCTACTATTTTATAAAATGAAAATAGAAGGTAAGGATTTCGAATATGTTGGGACTCAATCAATCAATCAGTATGTTGCCGGGGTAGCAACCGGGTGGGACCAAATCCCACCCCAGTCTCTCAAGACTCCCATAGGGGATGACTGCATGTCGCCTCACTTACGACTTATACCGACAGCACCCTTGGAAGAAGCGCGCTAGAGCCATCTCCGTTATGTAACGGCATGTTCTCCTGCTACCATTTTATTATACCAATAGTGAGGTCGTCTGATAAAGACTACTGGCTCTGCAGTGTCAGTGACCGAGCAGAAACGCTGCTCATCCGCCGAGGCAGGCAAGATATCCTTCCACTTCACCCATAGTAGAATTTTTCTTCACCTCCTCTACAGTAGTTCGGTGGTATTTTTTTGGAAACCGCTGCCCCCTGGAGTCCAACTCAATTGATGAGGCATCAGGCCGTGTGTACGACCCGATGGGACTATCCTCATCACCCCAGGTACTCATGTCAACAAGATTCCTCTCGTTACGTTTGATGGGTTGCCGTCGGAAGAGGCTTTGGCCTATTGCTGCTCATGTTGACAAGAATCCTCTCGTTCCGTTGAATGAGTGATCGTTCGAGGACTTTCACACGTTCCTCTACCTCGTTTACAGGAGAGGACCCGGCTTTGCCTACGATGACTGGCGGTCAAGGTATTCTTCAAGTGTAGTTGAGCAATACTGAGCAATACTGAACAATTATTTCGTATTTTTCGGAAACAATCAATAAATCTCAAATAAGATCAAGCCAGTGTTCTATCATAAACATGTGCGCTTCCTAAGCACACTCCAATAAGGAGTCTGTGAAGACTTTGGAATCTAACTGAGGCTGATACCTTGTCAGGATATTTGTGGTTTACCTATGGATGGTCCTGAACTCAAACAAAACCACACAAGATACAAGTTTTCAGAAAAGTAATGCAGAAGTTTGATTCCTGACTCACCGTAGCTCTCCATTTGTGAAATTTTCAACTATAAAGTGATAAGAAACATGCATGTAGCTACTAATGCCATATGAGATTCTCAATTCATAGCAACTCTGCTGGAGTTTTTCACACAATTCTGTATCCCCAAAAGGAAATTTGCGTAAAAACAACAAAATCTGTACATTAGGAAAAGTACTTTAAAAATTTGAGCAATACTTTTTGATAAGACATAAGAGAACCACACGAAATGATTTTTTTTTACCTCTTCGTTTTTCTCATCTTGACTTAGTTTCGGGTTAGAGAGAATCTCGTCTCTTTGTTTGACCAACGACTGCATCTTACGAAGGGTCCTGTAGATTTCTGGTTTCACGTATTTCAGATCGGCCAACGTTAAACAATGCTCTTGTCCTAACAACCAGCGGTAGAACGTCACAGAGAATGGAAGATCCAACTGAAAGAAAATATGATTAATTATTGTGTAGTCCAATATACAGCGTGTCCCTGGATTTGTGAAACGATTCTTTTGAAAGGTACAAAATTATCGATCTAAATTCCCTCTCAACATGAAATATTCAATGTTGAAAAAAGTGTTGTTTATGAGGTCAATATGGTTATATCAAAATAGTAGATAAACCAATTCGTAGACATTAATTAAAGTTAACCCTTCGATACTCTATATTTCAAGAAAAATCCCAATTATGTTCAATTACAAGTATACAAAAAGATTTGATGAGGTTTTCAGAGACTTAAGTTTTGAAAGCTTATATCAGTCTTGGTCTGAATTAGGCAATTCATTAGGCAATCCAACAGATAAATTGGACACACTAAACAAATCAGGAATTTACAAAATTGGTGCATACGTAGATTGCATAGGTTCAGAGAACTCCTGGCCCATTTGAAATATGGTAATTGGGTGAATCGAGTGTGGCCAAACACTTGTTCCATCACAATCATAACACACACATTGATAATTTTGAATTAGTCGAACAAATTGATAATTAATTAGATGCATATGAGAGCCTGGGATTATTTGAGAATGGTAAATGTATGTAATAAGTTATGAATGAGGATCATCGACCTATAAACACACATGGGAGGATATGAACCTTTGCTCCCAAGATATATATGTTTTCATCCACGAACGCATATATTTGAGAGCATTATTAAAATTGTGCTGCAAGCAGTCTATCTCTAGAGTCTCGATCAAAATAAATGTGTTACATGATCTAGGGTCACAAAGGTGTAGTTTGCGCCCACAGAGTATGCTATGGACAATTATTGACAGTATATTTGAATCTGAACGAAAATCAATTTGACACTTCTGTCATATTGAGTTTGTTTATTGTGATATTGCACTTTGGTGTTGCAATTTTCGACTTTGATGGAGTGAGTTTGGAAAATGAGGAAGTGTAAGAGTGTACTGAAGTTTGGAAAGGAAATTGTTATCTGTTTTATAGTAGTGAAAAAGACACTGATTAGGTACTTGGGTAGCACAGATCTTATACGTATATCTCTACCAAGGAAACAAGCTGAAGCCGATTTATTTCACTTCCCACGGGAGGTAAAATTCTGTTTACTCCCGTGGGAGTAACTTAACAGGTTTGTGCTTGTGTTGCGGGAGCAAACGCTTACTTTCGATGCAGTGAGTGGATAAACATTATTCTTATTCCCGTCACTCACCATCCTCGAGTCCATCACCGCCTTGGCCATGAACTTGCCCAAGAACCGGAACTTGCTCTTCACCTTCGTGACCTGCCCCACTTTGGCGCCTCTCGCCACCGGCCCCGGGAATAGCCCGACGGCGCTGTGCACGTACTCGGCGTCGTCGCCGCCGCGCGTCGCGTTCCACAGCTCCAGGCTGGCCTTCTGCAGCTCCTTGGACACCAGCGCGTAGAACTCGAGCGTGGGGCCCAGGCCGGTGCCCACCTCGTTCTCGTACTGCACCTCGAGCAGCGCCTTCGAGGAGGCGAGGTCCTGCATCACCTGAGAATAATAATAATAAATGTTCATTTTTCTACAGGAGTCAAGAAATGACGAGGTTCGCGTATTGATAACAATTTTGAAATTCTATTAATGAAATTAACTCAAATAGGGATAAGAGGTAAAGTTTACTCTTGGTTTGAAAATTATCTATTTGATAGAAAGCAGTTTGTGTATATGGGAGATTCATTGATACAGAATGTAATAACACTATTTATGCAGACGATACGGTACTTTTATATGAAAATAAAAATCCTATCATTTTAGAAAATATAATAAACAGAGACTTGATGAAATTTGAAAATTGGCTGCATTCAAACCTCTTATCAATAAATACTGATAAAACTGAATACATGATTTTTCAACAAAAAAATAAACAAAATATAAATTTAAATCTCAGAATTAAAAATGAATCTTTGAAACGAACTAATGAGAAAAAGTATCTTGGGATTTGGTTTGATGATAAATTGAAGTGGGACAAACATATAAATGTTTTGAAGAAAAAAATATCTCCTATTATTGGAGCCCTGAGAAGATGTCCCAAGCTGAATAAAAAAGTTGCAAATATAATTCTATATTCTCATATACTCAGTCGTATTAACTATTTGATAAATGTTTGGGGATACTGTTCAAAAAACAATTTTAATAAAATATCTGCATTATATAAAAAGACATTGAAAGTACTGTATCGTTTACCATATGATACACCAACAAATCAATTATATAAAATAACTGAATCATTCTCATTAGAAGAAATGTTCAAAATCGAAAGACTGAAAATTACATACAATATCATAAATACAAGATTGAAATCTAATTTTATTTTAACACGAAACAATGAAATTCATAATTATCAAACTAGACAACATGGTTTATTTCATCTTGATATCGCTAATACTTCTATAGGCCAAAAAAGATTCACCCACGCTGCTCTCTTGGAATATAACAAATTACCAGATAATATAAAAAATTGCAGAAATACAATAAAATTCAAATACCATCTTAAAAAATTTATCATTTCTGAACGAAATAGATGACTTTTTTTTTTTTTCAACTTTTGATTCATATTCAAATTGATTTTTGCTCACCAATATGAAATGATTCGTCAAAATTTAATAATTAATGTTTTCAAATATTTTATTATTCATCAGTTTATTATAATTGTATAGTTTTAGGTATTATTGTTAACTATACTTCCTTATACCAGAACTTGATTCTGACTGGAAGTAACATTTTCAATAAATAAATAAATAAATAAATAAATAAAATAATTTTCTTCAATAAGAAACATATCTTGTGGTGTACCCCAGGGATCAATTCTCGGACCTATTTTATTTCTAATCTTTATAAATTCTATCTCAAGATTGAAAATTGAAATCACAAGGGAATTTAAAATTATTTGCCGATGACATAACTCTCATTTATTACGGAAAAAATATACAAGAAATAAAAAACCAAATGGAACAAGATCTCGCTTCAATAACATTATGGTTACAAGATCATAAATTGACACTCAATTTCGATAAATCTTCTTTTATGTTCATCTCGAAAAGAATTATACCTGATAACCAAATAGATCCGTTAAAATTCGGGAATTTTTGTATAAATCCTACAAAAAACTCCAAACTCTTAGGTTTAACTATAGACCAGACTCTATCTTGGTCATCGCATATTCAATTGCTCAGGAAAAAAATATCTCCCATTATTGGTATATTATACAAATTGAGGTCTTTTATACCTCTTAAATACTTGAAATTAATTTATTTCAGTTTGATTTACTCTAAATTGCAGTATCTGATATCGATCTGAGGTACTGCAGCAAAATCTGTTTTGAAACCTCTGAAATATCTTCAAAATAAAGCCATAAAATATATTTATAAACTACCATTTCTGGAATCAACATCTACACTATACAAAGCAAGAGATCTACTAGATATTGACTCTCTCTTCAAAATGAAAGTATGCATTTTCATTCATTTCACTAAAAATAAGAAAAAGCACTCGAATCTTACTTTTAATATACCAATACCAAATACCCATGAGCATCACACCAGACAAAGTGAAAATTTGAAAACTGTTAAAATAAAAACCCAATTCGGGAAAAAATCATTGTATTTTTGTGGAATAAATATTTTTAATAGTCTACCCAACAGAATTGAATCTATTAGATTCGTCACAAAATTTAAGTGTGAACTGAAAAAATATATTTCATCAATTTAACTCTCCCCTTGTATCAATTAATTCTGATTGAACTGTTTATCTTTCATTGTATTGCATATTTGATTTTTTTTTTGTTTCCCTCTATAAACATTGTATGTTTCTTGGGATCAATAAATGTTATTATTATTATTAAGTGACCATAGTGGAAGGAGAAGATGGTGTGCTCAACAGAAAGCTCAAACTCGTCTTGTTCTGCGCATGACGTCAGCTGGGATATAACTGTCATTGTTATTATTTGTTTTTGTGATTGATGCCTCGAACTTCAGATATTATATAAGTACTGAAATTGAATGGAATAATTTCCAAATGCCCACTTGTTTCGTTTCTGGTTATGAAAATTCCAACTAACATACAAAAGGCACAGATATTTTATTCTTCTGCTTTTCCAAGAATGGAGACCTAATAAAACGATGGGAGCTTGCTGCCGACAAAATATAAACTCAAATAACGGTACCTACCTAATATTCCTTATATCCCCATTCCAAAGTATTCACCTATTATATTATCATCACACGTCATTACAGCACGTATTTCTTCAAAACATTTCCATGCAAAATGTTCCCAAACAACTGCGAAAGTACAGTGTGTCCAGTTTTCGATGCTTTTGCGTGATATCTCAGTTATCTTTCGAGATAGAACTTTGCGGTTTTCGCGGTCCTGTACCACTTTTCTGTGAAACTCAAGATGGCCTAATCAGATTTTGCATAACTGTTTGCGTTTATGAGATACAGGGCGATTTTGAAAATTTATACTTTTTGGACCCCCTCTATATCTACGAAGTTTCTCAGCGAAAATGTCAAATTGGAATCTTATCCTATACAGAATTTTGCGCAGAATTCAGTAGCGCACTCAATTTTTTTTTCTGGGTATGGTTTCGGAGATACGACTCAAACTTATGATTTTTCAAATGGAACACCCTGTATTTTATAAGCTCATTAAATTCATTATTTTTCCCCATCAAAATGAAATATGATGAATAGGTATAAAATTTTCAAAAATGCTCCAAAATCACTAAAACATTGAATTTTAATAGTGGGCTATGGATTTTTCATTTAAAAAAAGTTCCAATTGAAGGAATATTTCATTTGATTCCTCCATGAAAAGGACAAAAACAATCGCAACACTAGTTGATTAAGATAACACCAAAATTAGGTACCTGATAGCTACAAATGAATGGTAATAAAAAGTTCATATTCTAGAATAAGCACCTGATTTAATATTCACTAAGACAATTGAATTTCGAAATTAATCAGTAACTTATTCATTGAATTGTTCAAATTGATGTCCACTTTCCCTCAAACGCTTTCTCAATACGTCTTAATGCGTTCAAAATCATTGAAAGATGTCATTGTAATTCCTGGAAAACTGCCTCTGTCGTTGCACGATGTTCTTCAAGATATTTGTGACTCTTACTGTATCAAGACGTATTGAGAAACTGTTCTCAATTGTGTGTTATGGGAAATGGACATCAATTTGAACAATTCAGTAAATAAGTTATTGAATAATTCCGAAATTCAATTGTATTTGTAAATATTTAATCTGGTGCTTATTCTACATTATGAACTTTTTATTACTATTTATTTGTTGCTATCAGGTACGAAATTTTTGTGTTTTCTTAGTTGATTAGTGTTGGTATTGTTTTTGTCCTCTATATGGAAAAATCAAAATGAATATTCCTTCAATTGAAACTTTTTTATGAGAAAAATCCATAGCCCACTATTAAAATTCAATGTTTCAATGATTTCAGAGCATTTTTGAATATTTCATATACATACATTATAAATCATTTTGAAGAGAAAAAAATGAGGAATTTTGTGAGCTTATAAAATACAGGGTGTTCCATTTAAAAAATCATAAGTTTGAGTCGTATCTCCAAAACCATACCCCGAAAAAAAATTTTGAGTGCGCCAATGGATTCTGCGTAAACTTTCATATGGGATGAGATTTAAATTTCTCATTTTTGCTGAGAAACTTCGTAGATATAGAGGGGGTCCAAAAATTATAGATTTTCAAAATCCCCCTGTATCTCATAAACGGAAACAGTTATGTAAAATCTGATTAGGCCATCTTGAGTTTCACAAAAAAGTGGCACACGACCGCGAAACCCGCAAGGTTCTATCTCGAAAGATAACTGAGATATCACACAAAAGCATCGAAAACTGGACACACTGTACGGTTCTTGACTTACACCTCCGAAAAATCACAAATATTTGAAACAAGATGCCATTCCTACAGAACATCTTCCGTCGAATATCAAGTCAGAAATAATTGAAAATGAATTCAAAACTCTTAATTTCTCACAAAATATAAATTGCAGCAAAGATTTGAATAACAAAACGGCAAAAGTTGATACCCCTGTTGTCGATGTCGGAGCAGAAGCAACGTCAACGTCGTTAACTGCTGAATTTTAATCTGTCAGAATCGACACAGTACTGAATCATTCAGATGGGACTGGTAATGCATGATAATTCGTATGTATTTGCTATTTGCGATTGCGAATTACCTCAAGATCACAATTTCCAGATTCAATGAAATGGTAAAATCGAAGGAATAGGTACCTGTTTATATAAGTTGAATTATTTCTAAACAGATCGAGAAACTCATAGAAATTTCAATGAAAATGAATGAATTCATTGCGCACGCCCATGGCAACGGTATCTGTCTGTGACTAGCAGCTGATATTGATATCCCAGATGAAGTCACATAATATGCGCTTAGGCACACCATCTTCTCCTTCCACTATGGAAGTGACACTTTTTTTCAGTTTCCTACGTTCCCATGATACCTTGCAGAAAACAATGACCGAAGTAAAACAGTTATGTAAAATACAGGGTGGGCCAGTAAGGTGCACGATTTTAAAAACACTCTTGCGTTTGAACCTTAGGAGGGGGTTACGCGAGTTGCGGAACGCAACGTGCATTCTGCGTTAAACATTATTACAAAAATGGCGTTTCGTGCGTTATTGTTCGGCGTTTATTTCGGCATGAGTTTGGATTACATTACCTAAATCAGTGTCCGAAGGAGAGTGTGATTCGATGATGGGTCAGAAAGTTCGAAGCAACTGGTTCGGTTCTCAAACAGTAGCCTCCGAGACGCCCAAGGTCAACAAGTACGGAAGACACAATTGAACAAGTTAGAGCTTCAGTTCAACGTAATCTTGGGCTATCGACTCGCAAGCGATCAGCCGAACTTGTGGTATCCAGAACATTTTGTTGGAAAATTTGAACTTGCTCCCGTATAAAATTCAACTTGTGCAAGAATTACATCCAAATGATCCAATTTTACGACGAGCTTTTTTTGGAGCAATGTTGGAACGCTTTCGGAGTTTCAACAATATTCTGTTTTTCGACGAAGCTCATTTTCACTTAAATGGGCATGTGAATAAACATAATTGCCGTTACTGGGCTGCAGAGAACCCACGTGCAAAACATCAAAATCCTCTGCATACGCCGAAAGTAATTGTTTGGGCGGCCATATCAGCGCACGGAATTATCGGACCCTATTTCTTTGAAAATCACCAAGGGCACATCTGCCACTGTGAATTCTGACCGATACATAGCTAAGTTAAGGGATTTTTTTTCCGAAACGGCAAAAAATTTGGTCTATAATCGTGCGACATGGTTTCAACAAGATGGCGCGACATGCCATACATCTAATGCCTCTTTGGCGGTCGTACACGAAATGTTCGCTGGGAAACTGATATCGCGCCGAGGTGACATTGCATGGCCGCCATCCATCCGGATCTAACGTCGCCGGACTTTTTTATGTGGGGATACCCAGCCACGATTAACCAGTTAAAGAACAATATCCGAGAAGAAATGACAGGTATTCCCCGCGCAATGTGCCAGCGAGTTTTTACCAATTTGAGGAATGTTTTCATTTGGATGTTATTTTCAAGAAATGAATTTCCCAGATGTCTATTTTAATTGAAATAAAAATTTGAATGAATTGATGCTTTCTGAAATTCAATTAACGCTTTCTGAAATACAATTGACGATTTCTGAAATAAAATTGACTGTTTCTGAAATACGAGTGACTTTTCTAAAATACAATTGACGCTTTCGAAAATTCAATGACTATTCTGGAATACATTTGATTCTCTCTGAAATTCAAGTGACTATTCTGATATACAATTGACACTTTATGAAATTAAATTGACGCTTTCTGGAATACAACTGGAAAAGGTGTAGTTATGTAAAGTAAAACGTTTCGAAACTTCCGTCAGCTTTGAAATGTCAAATTATATGTCAAAATTGAAAAATATATATTCGCGATAGAAAATAAGCGTGCGCCACCTATCGGAGTTCTTGAAGGCTGTCAAAGCGGCATTATTATTTTGTTTTCATTGGTCACATTTGTTTTTTATTCCTGCTTATTGGTCATATCATCAAAAAAAAAACGTTCAGAATTGTTCAAGTTGCTGCTGTCAGATGGAGCGACGTGTGATTTTCAAAATCTAATACTCATCTAGGAAGGTTATTCCCATATTATTAGACTCTGACAATGTAGTACCCTAACTTGAAAACTAATTATACGGACTGCTCCGTCCAAACTGCAAACTATACGTATTTGGAGCTCTAAAAATAACATACTATTCTGAAGGTTTGTAGTCCACAGGGGTTATCTATTTGGACCTGTTCAATGAATATATTCTGAAGATGGCAGCACCTCCGGTTATACCTGAAGTGGACATCAACTTCGTTATTTTAAATGGAAAGCTATATGTTTCATTGCTTTTCCAGATTTTTCATCTTATTTTATGATGATCTTCATCAGCCTTCCCCAGTCGCGATAGAAAATAACACGTCGCTCCATCTGACGGTAACAACTCGAACACTTCTGAGCGGTTTGTTTTGATGCTATGACCACTAAGCACAAACAAAAAACAAATGTGAACCAATGAAAACGATAGGTGGCGTACGCTAATTTTCTATCGCGAATACCCAAGTCCAAAATTAGACAGATTGAAAAATGATAGATCTGTTCCAAAAATTCAGCGTCACGATAGGTTTTATGTCGCAAGCTATTCTACTAGTGACCTGAATATTGTTCTACTAGACAGTTTCAGTGCAGGTTATGTTATTAATTGAAGAAGCTCTAGTTGGACAAAACATTGTAGGTTTTGAACTGAAATTCTAAATTCAAAAAATGTCACTCTCTTAGCTAATGAAATATTTCAATTTAGAAATGTTAAATTGAAGTATCCAACAGTCACAACCCTACCTGCTCGGCCTGCTTGAGGATGTCATCACGGGATATGGTACGTTTTCTTCGATCCAGGCGCGGCGTTACGCGCTCCTGAGAATCGCTCGAGCTCAGTTCTGGGGACATGTCGAGCAACCTGCAGGAAATAATTATCATAAAAAAATGCTAATGAAAATTGTGACTCGTGTTTTTTTTTTAATCTTAGGTAGTCGTATTAAAGTTTTCATGGGAGAAAGAATTATGTCATGAAAGACATACATTTGCATGTTATGAAATTGAAGAGTAGAAAATACTGAAAATAGTATGAGAAACCATCAACTGGAAGGTGCACATGGTGAAAATTGTGAGTGAATTTCACTAATTTTTGTTATGATGTACTTCCAATGATTTCAATTGAAAAATAACCGATGAATCAGATATTTATAATTGTTGAATTGTTTTGTGTGTTTCACTACAATATTAACCAGTTATATTTTAGTGAAGTATAATATATAGCGGATTTGAATTGATTTTTTGTGCTTCTTTTTATGAAAGTTCTGTAAGAAATAAATATTGTCCATACATAATTTTTTAAATCCATTTCTAGACGTACACTTTTAAATGAATGTGTTTGATATATGTGTTGAACTAGGAAAGAACAGATAATAAATGACTTCAATACGAATTGTTAAATTGTTTTGTGTGTTTCACTACAATATTAACCAGTTATATTCTAGTGAAGTATAATATATAGCGGATTTAAATTAATTTTTTGTGCTTATTTTTATGAAAAATCTGTAAGAAAAACCAAATTTCCATACATAATTTTTTAAATCAATTTGTAGACGTACACTTTCGAATGAATTTGTTTGATGTATGTGTTGAACTAAAAAAGAACAGATATTAAATGACTTTAATACGGTAATCGAAAGGTCCTCGGATCGACCCCCGGTAAAAGCGCATTTTTTTAAAAAATTTTATTCTGAATAAGATCTTTTCTACTCTGTCTAGATCTCTTTTCCACTTATTTGAGAAACAAAGGCAAATTTACGTTGACTCAGGTACCCATGGGCCTGAATGGACGTACGGGAGATGTACAAATGCGCGAAATCTGGACGTCTCCAGTACGTACGAAAAATCTTGGCCGGACGTTCTCACTACGTTTTGGGGACATACTGATGCTATATGGGATATTACTTTAAATATTACTCACCTCTGTAAGGCACGATCTCTGTCGAAAGACGTGGCGTAGAAGAGCAGCTGGCGCGTCTCGAACGGAAAGAGGAACGGACAGGCGGACGCGATCTGCTGCAGCCAGTTGGGCAGGTTGCCCGTCATGATGACGAGCGGGTCCTGCAGCTGTCTGCTCGCCTTGGCCGCGATCTTGCTGTCATCGGATTACAAGTGCATTCAGAAAATTACTACTGACTATCCCGGTCATAACAAAAACATTTTTTCCACCTCCAACTCGAGAAATCAACCATTATTCAAGCATTTCTTCTCATTAGAAGTAACACTTTTTGAACCGAGGTGAATAATGATAAATTAATAAAGCAATTTTACCTAGGTAGATAAAACTGTCAATAGCGTCAATGATATGCAATATACACACGTAGATATCGATGCGTGTGCAATGAAAAATGAAACAATTTTTGAACCAAATATAGTTAAAACTAGAGTTCCTAAATGTACTTGACACTGCTGTTTTGACGTTTTTTGTATTTTAGAGTACGGTCACAATGACAAGCACTGACAATCAGACATAACCACAAATGAATTGATGGAAAAAGCGGGAACTGACCGTACACGGACGTACATGACATAAATTTCAAAGGTTTGACAAATTGAGAGAATTAGGAGAAAGATGCAAGTTTGTGCAGTTTCCAACTGTGAGAACATGGAAAATCAATTCACTCTATTCGAATTTCCATCGGATAACGCAATTCTACAAATATGGAAACAAAATATGATGCAGCCGGCATGGAATATAGGTTCAGGCCACAACATTCAGCGAGGTATTCAAGTTTCTTGGTAGGAAGTTGAAGAATAAAATCGTATTGAGAGAAAGAGCCCAACCCTCAATTTATAAACTGAGCGAGTATCGAAAAGAACCTTATTCCAATTTAGACTCTGGTTATTGCTTGTGATGGAATGATGGAGCAGAGATCACAATAGCCACTATAGAGATCATTATCTTCCTGAATTGACTGACTCAAACTGATTTCACATCCCTGTTCAACAAATAATTCTATAGATCATCTTCGTAAACGAACTCTTATAATAATTTTGTGAAAACATATAGTCACTTTGTGGAATTCTGATGTACCAGATATTGATGTATCTATATCAGAGACTTGAATATATTGTTCGTGTATCACTTCTTCAAAGTTGAAATCCCAAGTCTGAATGTGCATGTTCATGCGTAGTTGAGAAGTGCTAGACGGCTACATAGCTCCTAGTGAATTTTGAACCACTTCTTGGGTACCAAGATACGAGCAAGATATTATCAGAGCACAGAACAAGAACGCTCAACAAGTGCACCATGTATGTTAGGTATTGAAAAGAATCTTCCGATGGCCGGGTTCAACCAACAATCCCCTCAGTTGTTTATTTATTAATCACTTATTACAAGTGAAATTGTTCCATACTAAATAAAAGTATGTTTCTTGAAATTTATCAATTTTTACCCCATTCTAAACTTTTGTGATAAACAAATATTCAACTGAACGAATATACAGGGTGTTTCCTAACTACGGTTCCTAACTGCAGGGGGTGATTTGTTGGGTTATTTCAAGAAGGAAAGTTCCTATGAACATATGTCCGGAGTTGCTTCGTTTCTGAGATACAGGGCGTTGGATTTGAAGAAAAAAAAAACGGTAATTATAAAATATCATGAATATCCTGGAACCGATTTGGTTGAAATTTCGTACTTTTATTTGTCAAATTTTCTGAAACTTCAGCACATCAAGTGTCGATTAAATTTTTGGCGGAAATAATGAAAAACTCATTTCTCCAATGAAGGTGTTCATGATATGCAATACAGTGGCTTTGATTTTTTTTTCTCGAAAACGAAGCTGGATATGAAGAAAGTACAAGAGACCAAAAAGTTGTATTTCGAGTTGTTCAATCTAAACAAAATAAAAATTCACCAAAAAAAGTCAGTGGCGTACTTTTTTTCACAATATTGTTGGCTGTGGTGCCCACTGAGACGCCACTGGCCCCAATGATTTCAATCTAAATAGGGCTAAATAAGCGCCTTATTAGTTCAAATGAAAGTACCAAATTTTAACCAAATCGGTTCTAGGATATTCATGATATTTTATAATTACCGTTTTTTTTTCTTGAACTTCAACGCCCTGTATCTCAGAAACTAAGCAACTCCAGACATATGTTAATGGGAACTTTTCTTCCTAAAATGACCTAATGAATCACCACCTGCAGTTAGGAACCGTAGTTAGGAAACACCCTGTATATACCTACATATAAGAGACTAATTTCATAGGAATACTATATATATTTCGTTGATATATATTATGTACCTACTAACTTGTTATTGACCTCCATTGAGGTCCTTCAGCCTTATCATTCAATATTTCGAGAAGAAATAATTTTCTAATCAATTTATCGTACCCTTTTACCCACTCGAGGAGACGTACTCTGATATACAAAAAACGTCAAAATCAGCAGTGTCAAGTACATTGAGGAACTGTAGTTGAAACTACGAATGTCATTACAGATGAAAGCAAGCTTTGAAGTAATGAAGAAAGTTTAGAATAATAAGATTATTAGTTGGGCAGTTCAGAAAATGTCACCAATCAATACGCGAGTTGTCACTGTCATGGGTGAATTGAACCAAGAATTCAAATAACCAAGACTTTCGGTATGGCCACATTTTTTGACCAATCAAAACGATTTCAGCTATGTCGGTCAATAAGGTATTATTCATTATGTACATCAGTTCAATGATTGTTCAATGGTATCATCTGCGATATCCACAAGGGTAAAATATTTTAATGATAATGATAATGAATACCTACTATATTTTCAATATCTACTTGTGATACAGGCTGATTCACGGTGGATGGCACATTAGACGTTTCTGGTGAACCAGACAACGGATCATTTTGAAAATTCAATGGAGGGCATATTCGGACATTCTCTAGCCAACTAAAATATTTTCGACAATGCGGTGTTGCCGCTTCTATTAGAAAGCAGTAGCAACTTTGATTTTTCAAATAGAACACTCTGTATTTTATTGCATTTTTAGATTCTCCCTGAAGAGCTGATTTCATCGATGTATCATACTTGGGGTCTAGCGGAAATGATTACAGAGATATAGGGTGTGAAAAATCGACATTTTTCAACTTTAGGATTTTTTTGTGTCGAAACTATTCACCATTGGTCAAAACGGCTTACATGTCCCTATCTCAACTTTTGATTAACTATCTACTGATATTTAATTGGGACATATACCGGGTGATCAAGATTCTGAATTCTGCACCACCCTGTATTTGTTTGTATAGCTAACTTCTCATTCGTGTTTGATATACCATTTCGTGTGCTCAAAAATCTGCCTCAGTAGGTATCGGATCATCCTGAAAACCCCCCATCAATTTTATCCGTAACGCATACCTTGAAATTTGGTGAAGCTTCCTTAAATTTTCTTCATGTATTCTCTACACTTTTCACCGTTTCGACGCATGCGAGATAATTTCCTGACATACAACAGTGGAGTTGAAGGGCTTTCCAGGTTGACCCAAATCTACTAGTGTCGTTTTCCAGTAAATATTTCATTGACATTCAAGAATCTCGTATTTATCATATCGCATGTAATAGAACAATAGTGTGACAATTCAAAATTCTAATTTTAGTTTCGAGGAAATTCACTGTATATTCACAGTTTTTGAAGGTTGTGAATTTCCCATTCGTTTATTTTCGTTCATTCCGAAGACAATAACAAGGCAGTCAAATTTCTCTGCCTGTTAATGGTGCTCGTTTACTGAAAACATCGAGAGCTCATTTGTTTCAATAGAATATGGATCAAAATAGGCAATTTTAGGTTTTTTTATGTTCTGGTTCCCACGAAAAGGGATACCCTGTAATGTTCAGTGAACATCGTGAGAACCAAGGGAAATGAGGTAGGAATTGGTGTTCTTCTTATTAAAACTTCAAATCAGACAAATTACAATTTTGACATGATTGTCTAATTTCAAGTTACTAAGTTGTTGTTTTCTTGCTGGTTTGACTTTGGTATTCCACTTTGCACCTCTACAAGAGAAGGTAGTATGTGAAATCTTCAACAGTCCTTTCTCAAGAACACCGTGATTGTGAGGCATCATGCAATAACTTCCAACATCAGATCAGATGAAAAGTTTCGTAGGAGAAAGTTCTCGTCTACCCATTTAAAATACTTGTTCAATAGGAAAATTAAAAATCATCATATCGGATTGCAGACGTCGGCTGCATGTATATGCATCTTAAGTAGCTATTCATTTAGAACGACCATGGCTCACCTGTTTAGGAACTCCGTGGCAGGCACGATCGGCGAGTGCTCTATGGCGGGGTAGAGGTGCGTCCAGTGCGTATTGAGGGCATTGAGGATCCTGAGAAGGCAGAGCACCTCCAACGAGGCGTCCTGTATGGTGACCGTGTCGGGCAGTCGGGTGGTCAAGTAGGGGGCGAGGGGCGATTGGGGTAGGGGCGTTACGCCGTCTGAAAGGAATGAGAATACATCAGTATACGTCCACTTAATTTCTATGAACCGTTGTTATGTTTTCTGATATTTTTCTGTTAGGTACCATGGATTTTTGTTTGCAATGGAGTATAGACTTTTTTCTACTACTGCTATGAAAAGTAACGCATATTTCTCATAGTTAACTTAGTTTCAAAACCATGTAGAGTCCGACCACGATAACTTTGGGACAGCACGTGGTCGCGTATGCATTGAATATGCATATGCGTTGCGTCACATGCTGTCCCAAAGTTAACGTGGTCGGACTTCTATTGCTCATACTGTGAGAAATATTTTTTCTCACGGCACTTTGCCAAGACCACATACCCATGGAGAATCAACAAAAATCGACCAAAACTTGGCTGCTGTTCAGCTTTGAATAGTTGTCACAACTGTCAGAAGAAGTTTTTTTAAATTCTTTAGGGTGGTTCTCAGTGATTTTGATAGAAATCGCATTTCCCATGAAATATTATCCCAACAAGTCATAATAAATAATATGATTTATATACCGAGATGTGACGATTTTGATGAATACACCGCCAGAGACAGAGATAATGGAAGAAGCTGCGAACGTTGGATTTGTTTCCGGAAATTTCAAGAAAAAAGTATGAATTGCCATGAACGAAAAATTCATGGAATCTAAAAAAATACAGAAATTAAATCTTTTTCGGAGTGTACTTTTTTGAAATACTTTGAGGAACTAGGAAAGGAGTCTACTCTTTGGTCACAATATACAATGTGGCATGGTGCCACATTATAAAATGAATATCAATAAGCTTAGCCTCAATTCAACTTATTTTGTATACTGGGAGACAATTTGAAAAAGAGCAGTACTCGATATTACCTCAACTGATGCCATTGTGAGAATTTGGTGAAACACGAAAATTTATACAGGGTGATTCAGGTTTTGAGGTACAAGCTGAAATGGGAAAAGTGACATAAGAGATTTGCAATATGCTGTAATTTTGTTTCAAAACTATTCTTAGTTACGTAGGAAATTAGAAAACACAGTAAGATTCAAGCAACATATTCATGCTAATTTATTACTAGTACTTACCATTCCATAATTCATCACCTTTACGTCTAGAAGTACTCTTTCCGGAAGACCCTTTACCTTTCCTACTCGAATGGTTTGATGAACTGCCGCTACTGCTCTTAGTATTGGATGGTTCGTCTTTCAACGGCCGATAATATATTACATGTGTTTGGACCCAAATACCAGCATTTCCTGAAAGAGTATCCAACATGTATTCATCCATCAATGGAAGCAAAACACCTTCAACTTAAAGCCAAGTAGTAATACGATGTTTTTTATCTCAAAACCTACATTGCATAGTTTCAATATATTCACCATGTGGAAATACACTACAATAGATGCTAATGCCGTTTCTGCTTAACTGCCGCACCGCCTGATACACCGTCGTGTTATAAGGCAGCACATTACCGCCCACGAGGAACTGCAGCTTGTGCCAGTGATCAGGTGACATGTGTCAAAATCGATTTTTTGGTTATCGGACATGCATAATGGGTTAAGTGCAAGATCTGTCAGACGACCGACCCTGGAGGTGAGACATTGAAACAAAACCTTACTTTTCTTATTTGTTTGCAAAGGAATCAAAGGATTGAAATAGTTTCTCACGATTATTTTGGCATACGAATCGTGTTTTTCGGCTATTCATTGATTCAAGCATGCCATCACATCGCGCTGTTGTACAATTCACAAAAAATGCAGCGAGAGACGAAGGAATCCGATTTTTCAGGTAGGTACATTGTGATTTGAAAGTACTACAACTATTGTCACTTACATAATATATAGTGTTTATTATGAAATTTTGTCATTTTTCATTGGAACTCCTTCTGCAATAGGAGGGAATAGAAAAACTCGTGAAGTTTCTAAAAGGAGGCAAGAAGATTGGATTCATGCAATCAAACGGGAGGGCTGGTCTGACATGCTGACGGAATATGATCGTGTGTATTGTAGACACAGTATCAGCTTCTATTGCAGAAGTAGCTAAAGAAAGTCTAATGAGAAATGACAGAATGTTATAATGAAAACTATGTGAGCTCACTATTTACCTGGAAAATCATATTCCTTCGTCTCTCGCTGCATTTTTTGTGCATTGTACAACAGCACAATGTGATGGCATGCTTGAATTAATGAATTGCCAAAAAAAAATCGATTCGTATGCCAAAATATTCTGAAAAACTATTTCAGTCCTTTGATTCCTTTGTAAACAAAGAAAACTGAGGATTTGATGAAATGTTTTACAGAGAAGTGAGGTTTTGATTCAATGTTTTACCTCCAGGGTCGGTCATCGTGCACGCGACTTATAGATCCCAGAGGAAAAAATGTCGATACTATAATATAATGATGAACTCTTTCCCCATTTTACGGACTTTATGGATGACACTGTATGTAGTGATGAGCGGTGGGTATTTACCCCAACACAAAACCGCGGTGAAAACGTATCAAAGTTCGTTGCTCCTTGTTCCTTGCTCCTAACCTTCCTGATATAAGAGTAACGTTTTTTATGAAAAAGCTTTATTCTGATTTTCAAGTTGGCAGTAAATGTTTCAACTTTGAAATATAGATTATGTTGTTTATTGTAGTTTTTTGTCAAGAGTATAATTTCTGTAGTACCAGATCCCATACTACTGTTACCAGAAGAAATTGTTGCTTTTGATGATTTCATGAAAAATTGTTCAACTAAAGATTGTTTTTGGTTGTTTGGTGTAGTCATTGAACTTTTCATTTGAAATTCAGCTTCAATAATTATCTAGAAGTGCTGTCCATCGTCAGTCGTGTCTTACGAAACAGGAACGTCACTTTAACCAGTATCGGTGTCCAACAAACTGACTGACGTACTGACGACTATGTACAGTGTGTTTCAAAAAAACCTAAACCCCTTACTAGGGTAGGTAGAACATTTCAAAATAAGTTGGGTTTGCCCAGTAAAAAAATGTAACGCCATCCGTTTTCAAGATACAAGGTGTTGGAAAAATATTTTGTTTACAATTTTTTCACGATTATGTTGAAACTACTGGCAACATTGTAATAAAATTAAGTGCAAGATCTGTCAGATGACCGACCCTGGAGGTGGGGACATTGAAACAAAACTTCACTTTTCTTATTTGTTTGCAAACGAATCAAATGATTGAAATAGTTTCTCACGATTATTTTGGTATACGGATCGTGTTTTTCGGCTATTCATTAATCCAAGCATGCCATCACATCGTGTTCGTTGTACACTCATAGAGGGCGCTAGTTACACGGTTCGTACCGAGTATTTTTAAACATAACTTTTTTGAGGTTAGATTTTTCACTTCAAATTCAATGTGAACTTGAAGATCATTCAATTTTTCACTAAAAAGGTGCTCCTGGTAAAACTTGATACTGTGTACCATTTTCGGGATATTTCGATTTGTAAATACTGAAGTATAACAATGATGCTAGTTGAAAGTAAGTATAAAAAACTGTTACCTATTCATTGATAACCACGTCAAGAGCTGTAAGAAAGAATTGAACATTACTTCGAAGATCTCATAGCTGATACTCAACCGCTGGGAAGATTGATGTATTCTTCAGAAAAAAGGATCGAATTGTATATTCGTGAAAATGAAGGACATTTTGGACACTAACTGTCACTAGATGATGTTTTAGGTCAAATCTAATTCAATATTTTCTGATGTGATTTTGTTCAAACGGTGAACAGTATCGAGTTTTACCAAGAGCATCATTTTGGTGTGAAATTGAATGGTGTTCAAGTTCACATTGAATTTGGACTGAAAAATCTAACCTCACAAAAGTTGTTCAAAAATATTCGGTACGAACCGTGTAACTAGCGCCCTCTATGAGTGTCAAATATAAAAACAAATTCATCCGGTGTGTCAGCTTTCAGATCACATCCATACAAAATTTCATGACAATGGTGCCAGTAGTTTCCACATAATCGTAAAAAATGTGTAAAAGAAATATTTTTTCAACACCTTGTATCTTGAAATCGGATTCCGTTACATTTTTTCACTTAGCAAACCCAATCTATTTAGCAATGTTCTACCCACCCTGGCAAAGGGGTTATGTTTTTTTGAAACACCCTGTATCCATATTATAACAATAATTATAATGAAAAAAAAAATCGACTAACCCAAAGGCGTCTCGTTATCTGTGTCCGTCTCGCTTTGGTCGTTGCCGTTGTTACTAAACTGCCGCACCGCCTGATACACCGTCATGTTATAAGGCAGCACGTTACCGCCGACGAGGAACTGCAGCTTGTGACGGGCGCCGGTCTGCGCTACGACGACGCCGGCGAGCGTGTCGTCGATGTCGTCGTCCGAGTCGCCGTCGTCGCTGTCGGCGCAGTCCTTGTCGCGCAGCCGACCGTAGCCGCGCACCACCAGGTAGCGCTCGATGGCTTGGACGAGGGCGAGCGGGTCGATTTTGACTGTGCCGCCCTTCCACTGCTTGAGGTTGGAGCAGTCGGGGTGTCTCTGGAGGTTGCACTGTAAGGGAGAAAAGAACGGGTTGGCGAAGGTATGAAGTTTTAAGCGAAACCCCTAGCTCTCCATTTATTTGTCGTCGATATTCACTGTTGTAATAAATTACTTAATTGTAAATGTTCGTCTGGTTTGTTTTAGAACACCCTGTATGTGCGATGGTACCAAAAATGCCAGTAAAGTTCATAGGTACGCAAACGACTCGCAAAAACCCGGGCTCCGCAAAAACACTGCGCTTTTTATATGCTATCCGACAATTCTCTTCACTTCTGAATACAACCCATCCAGAGCGGATGAATGTGATATTATGTTATTGAACCAAAGTGTTTCATAGGCCAACACAATTATTAAAACAGCTTTTGGTTTCCAAGGGAAATTATTTCACTACTCGAAATAATTCTCACCTGTGCCTGCGTTTTTGTAGGTAGGTAACGAAATAATATATTTCTTGTGAGTACTATTTTAGAATTGCTTATTTGTAGTTGTGCTTACGGCGTTACGAGGTGTGCCATTTTTGTCATACTGGGTGTTTTTGGGAAAAATAAATCCATTCGAATCAACTCCGTGCTTATTTCGAGGCCAGTAAATCCGACCAAACAAAGAGTTTCATTGCAAGTTGTATGATCAATCAATCCATTTATTCATCCTGTAGAACTCACAAAGGTTACAGGACAAGTCAAATTGTAGAATCTAAATAATATATATAATTCAATAAATGTTTGGGGACCTTGTTCAAAAAATAATTTCAATAAAATATCAACATTATATAGAAAATAGTCGAAAGTATCGTCTCCCATTTGATACACCAACCAATCAATTGTATGAAATAACAAATACGTATTCTTTAGATGAAATATATGGAACATCATATAATATCATAAATCGAAAATTGAAATCGAATATCATTTTGATACGGAATTCTGAAATTCATAATCATGAAACTAGACAATATAACTTGTTTCATCTTGACGCCGCTATCTCCATAATCGGAAAAAAAAGATTCACTCATTCAGCCTTGACAGAATTCAATAAACTACCTGACAATATAAAAAATTGCAGAAATATAGGCTACATTCAAAAATGAAGTAAAAAACTGATTATTTCTGAGCGAAATGGATAAAATTAATCATGCCATTTTTTTTACAAATGTTATTCTTTGTTTGTCAATTAACAGTTGTTGATATATTTTGAATGATGATATGTTTACCTATAGGTATACAATTATATACTTCCTTATCCCAGAGCCTATTCTGTCTGGAAGTTATTTGTTCAATAAATAAATGAATAATTAAATAAAATCCTATCTTCAAGTTATGAATCCACATCTTTCTTCTATCGATCACTTCCTTGTTTCCCAACTCAGTTTCAAATACAAATTTGGATTGTCCTGATTTTGGAGAGGCATATGAAAGCTATATTCGGGATTTTTTGCTCAAGATAAACAATGGGGTACACAACAATAAAAATTCATGTTTTTAAACGTTTATAAGAGTTCTCAAACAAATTATAGACAAATAAAACACAACTACTTATCAACCACGAGATAGCCACAATGCTCAAAGTGAAATGAAATGTTGAAGAAATACAAAAAGCTCAAAGTCATTTCCACACAATGTTCATAAAATGAACAACAATGGTAGATTTCGGGAGAAAAACAACTACTTTCCTGGCTAATGCTAGAACATTGAATTACATCCTCCTGAAATCTATGCATCGACTCGTATAAACGAATACTGATACAAGTAATTCTTTCTTGAATGCCTATTGATTTCGATTTAGCCAGACCACGGTAGACAACCACAGACCGGTTTCGAGCTCTTTGACTCTCATCAGTGCAGTGTTGTCTCCAGCCAGCAGTCCTAAGACCGCCGACTTAGCGAAGCCTAGCCAAACAAAAATCTGGACTGCTGGCTGGAGACTACACTGCACTGATGAGTCAAAGAGCTCGAAACCGGTCTGTGGTTGTCTAGCGTGGCCTGGCTGAATCGAAATCCATAGGCATTCAGGACGGAATCATTTGTATCAGTATTCGTTTATATGAGTAGATGCATAGATTTCGAGAAGATGTAATTCAATGTTCTGCGTGGCATTAGCCAGGGGCCGTATTCTCGACGAGTGAACTTTTGATGCGTATGCGCACTTCGAGAGTTTCGTACGTTTTGGTATTCTTGACCAGTGAAATATGAGGCGTGTACGTTTTCAAAGCGAGAGTTTACTGCGAGCGCTTTATATCACTCGATTTGTATGTTTTCGTTCGTTTTGTTGACTTGTGACGTGTGTCATTGAATATTTTTATTGTTTATTTATATTGGAGAACCATTATGGACTCTAATTGATCTTTTCTGAGTTTCATATCATCTGAATAAATGTAAATAACATCAAAACATAATGGAAGGGAAATTTGTACAGTTGATGTTGATTGACGTGATGGAAGATGCGGAAAAAATAGATCGGCGAAGATACAGTAGCGTGGAAATCACTCTGATGATTTGGGTTGCAACCAATTTATCCGAATGTTTCGCCTCTCCAAAGAATAGGTTCAATACATAATGAATATTACCTCTGATTTCATTACATGACCTGCACATCGTACTCAATATTTGGATATTTCCACAAGAGTTGGTACCCAACTATCACAGAGGTGATACACATTATGCTGTTTACTGTGTTAGTTTCCTTGCAGTTTTTGCATGAGAATGTTACCAAATACACATGAGCTTAAATTTCAATGTGTCCCAGTCTCAGGTTTCAAGACGTGTGAACAAAATCATTGAGGTTCTGAAACAAAGTTGACATTTTCTGAAGATTTGTTAAATTTCCTGCCAATATTTACCAGTTGAATCTGCTAAAGAATAGAGTATATTCAAATTAATTGGCTTCTATTCAAGTGATTTTTCAAATTTTTTTCTATACAGATTCAACATAAAATATGATTTTCCAGCGGTAATAAGTGTTTGACTGCACATATATATAGCTATTCTCCTCCAAAAGTGCATATGGTTATGAACATCTTGAAAATATCTATATAAATAGAGAAAAGCTATTACAATTAATTTGTGACTACAATTTCCAAAAGTGCTTGGTTATGAACATCTTGAAAATATCTATATAAATAGAGAAAAGCTATTACAATTAATTTGTGACTACAATTTGAAAATTGTTAATGTGAATTCGGTTTCCTGGTAATACAAATGATGCTTTTATATGGAATAGTTCAAATGTCCAAACAATGCCGAGGAGATTACATGATGCTGGATTATTGATAAATATTTATTATCCTTTATAATTATTTATTGCTGTATATTTATGTTTTTCTAATCTAATGAATCTCTATTTACTGGATTATTATCTGTAAATAATAACTTATGTGAATGTTATCATGATTTTTTATCAAATTATTCATTTCCATTTCATCTGTGAATAATTTTTAGATTGATCTGATTCATTCAACACAGCATATGCATAATAAAAAATATCTAAAAAATTTGATTGTTCTCGCGGAATTTTTCAAATATTCACAGAACGTGAATCAACGGACCATTTCATGACTTTCGTGAAATATTACAGTGGTGCCGGATGCTCTGATCGCATCACGATCGCACGTTTTCAAGCGTATACGTTTTGCGAAGCGAATGGTCGTCAAGAATACCACTTCGAAAAAGTACTCGCACATAAACCATTCGTTTTGATGCGTATAAGACAAAATGCTCACTTGTCGAGAATACGGCCCCAGGAAAGTAGTTGTTTTTCTCCCGAAATCAAGCATTGTTGTTCAATTTATGAACATTGTGCGGAAATGACTTTGAGCTTTTTGTATTTATTTTACAAATACTCATGATACAAAACACACGCAAACTGATGTAAACAAAGCAATCAATGGCCTATACGTTAGTTATATCAGACAACGGTAGAGGGCGTACTCCTTAGCAAGATTGATTGTCTTTATTACCCCAAGAAACATAGTTGTTTATAATAGGGATTCATACACAATATACATAATGTTATACATACAATTATGAAATAATGATAAGATATAACAACTAAAAAAAAATGCAAATAATCATGCAATATCAACCTTTTATAAGTAGGTATTCAAATAAGAAATGGAATTATCAAAGTCCCTGAAGCAGATATTTTTTCAAGTTAATTTAGAATCTAGTTGGTTCCTGTATATTCCTCAATTGACTTGGTAATGAGTTGTATGTTCCTGTGTGGAAAATGGATTGTTTGCCGATATCTGACTTATTTGCTATTAGTAAATTTGATTGTCTTGTTCCATGATTATGTAATGAATTAATTTCATTGAAATTTAAATTCGGAATTTTCAATTTATACAGGGTGCCCTTTCGAGCTCCACCATGGGGATCTCAGTTATTAGGAGAGATACGAAGTCGGTTAAATTAGGGCAAAGTTGCGCATTTTGATGCTGAACAATTTTCTGAAAAAAAAGATTTGATGTGTCATTTTTAGTTTTTGAATTATTGGAAAAAAACGGAAATATGTAATTTTCGTTTTTATTTCTTCAAGCGAAAACCAAAATGCCTAGACGTTTTTGACTGGGACATTCTTAAGACACTTTTTCACAAGGAATATAAATCTGTCATCGTAATTTCCATAACGTTCTTGATGCCAAATTTACAACACTCAACTTTGTTTTTTCTTATGGGCGCCATATTGGATTTTCGCATTTTTGAAAAGCCTTTTCTTACCTGATTACAATGATGTATCGCATGATATGATTGAATCCTACATGCTGATCAAATTTGGAAAAAAAACATTTTTGCGAAGAGTGCTTTGGAAAGAACGGCAACAATTTTGTTTAACGAACTGAGTTTTAACAGTTTGAGCAGAACTATTGAATTCTTGAGCTAATTTACAAGAATGCCGTTTACGAATGAAGAAAAGCGTGATATATGCTTCAGATTTATTACGCCTCCCATCGAAATGCGCGAATTACTTCCGAAACGTATCTCCTGCGGTATCCAGAGAGAGAGCAACCAGCTCAGAATTATTTTCTATTGCTCCATAGGAATTTAGCCGATTATGGTTCATTTGTAAAGCCTAGACGAAGGTACAACAATAGAGAGAATGTAAATGAGATGGCAGTTTGGCAAGCGGTGAATGAAATAGAAAAAAATTACCTAGGATTTGAATACCTATTTTTCCTTTAGGTTCAAGATAATCGCTCAATTTCCACAAGGGAAATTGCAACAAATCTTGGCATATCGCATCAAGTGGTGTGGAGGATACTGAACAAACACAAATATCATCCATTCAAAATTCACATCACACAAGTTCTCCATCCCGGAGATGGAGGTCGACGGGTAGAGTTTTGTAGATTTGTAATGAACCAGTTGGAGCAAAATCCAAATTTCTTGCGTAATGTTATATTCACGGATGAATGTAAATTCACAAACATGGGCATATTCAATCGACACAATGAACACATTTGGTCCATTGAGAATCCCCGTGAACATCAAGAACGGCGATCACAAATACGCTTCGGCGTGAATGTATGGGTCGGATTGTTGGACGACACAATAATTGGCCCATACATTTATGAAGAAAATTTGAATGCCGATCGGTATTACAATTTTCTGAGAACATTCCTTACGGAATATGTTGACAACAACATTTGTCTGAACCGGCTAAATACAGTATGGTTCCAGCAAGACGGCGCACCGCCACATAACGCTAGAAGGGTTGCAGAGTGTTTGTCAGAAATGTTTTCCGGCAAGGTGATTTCGAACAATGGAGACATACTTTGGCCAGCGCGATCACCTGATCTTTCCCCGCTAGACTATTATTTATTGGGAACTATGAAAGATTTGATTCACTGTACCCACCGATATTGACGAGCTGAGAAGAACAATTATCACAACTTTCAGGACGAAGATAAGAAGACGGGACATCTCGCGAGCTATTCAGAATCTGAGAAAACGTGTAGAATTGTGTTTATAAGTGGAAGGGGGAGTATTCGAGCATCTTTTATAACTTTGTTTCATTTTGTTTTGCGAAGAATAAACTCCTAGCTTATCATGTCGTTCCTGAATCAAAACGTACGTAGTACGTAAATGAGTTACACGAAAATGTGAACGTTACAGATCCGAATTCTTTTGAACAGTCAACATTCTATTTGATAAACCTAATTGTTGGCGTTCTTTCCAAAGCACTCTTTGCAAAAAACAAAGTTGAGTGTTGTAAATTTGGCATCAAGAATGTTATGGAAATTACGATGACAGATTTAGATTCCTTGTGAAAAAGTATCTTAAGAATGTCCCAGTCAAAAACGTCTAGGCATTTTGGTTTTCGCTTGAAAAAATAAAAACGAAAATTACAAATTTCCGTTTTTTTCCAATAATTCAAAAACTAAAAATGACACATCAAATTTTTTTTTCAGAAAATTGTTCAGCCTCAAAATGCGCAACTTTGCCCTAATTTAACCGACTTCGTATCTCTCATAATAACTGAGATCCCCATGGTGGAGCTCGAAAAACGGGCACCCTGTATAGGACAAATTGAATAAAACAACATATTTCAAGTTTGTATAGTGATGTCAGATCTAATAAATCTCTATATTCGCCTATAGACAATGGTTCGATCACTCACCTTCAACTGGTGCGTATTGAAGAACTTCAGCGCACTAGTACCGCCCCGCCCCGCTCCCGTGCCGGCCGGCAGATCGTGCACTTTGACGGGGAACTGCTCCAGCTGCGAAGCGCACCCGTTCAGCTTCGCCACCAGCGCGCTCATCCACGTCGACGTCAGCGGCGCGGGCGCGTCGGCGTCGAAGGAGGCGGCGCCGTCGAGCGGACAGCCGGCGAACACGTTCAGCATGATGCGCAGGCGCTGGTCTCTGTCGAAGGGGCCGTCGACGTCGGCCAGATAGGAGAGGAGGGCCTGAAACAGGGTCGTGAAATATTGTGATAGTAGTGTTTTCTTTGCTTAGAGACCAAAGAACTCTTAGGGCCGGTTGCATACAGAAAAATTAATCATTCAATCACAATAACTTTTTTTTTCTTTTTTTTTTCGCAATTGCATACCTCGTTAGTCCCAGCACTGGGACCAAACGCCCCATAAGTCGAAAATTGTGCGGGGTTAGATATACATACAAACACAAACATCCATGGCCTAACTAGGATTCGAACCTAGGTCTCGGTGGGAGTCCCCATACGAACTCAGCGCCTTAACGCTCTCGACCACCGAGCCGCCTTTGATGTTATGTTAAATGTCATTTCCGTGGCATAAACAATCTGATGTTAAAATAATCATTCCATTTACTAATGACGAGAAGGGCGTGGCAACAGCGCAAATTTGTCTGCTACTTGCGTTCCGCGCATAGTTTATACGCATTTTAGGTTAGATTTATTTGCTTGGTTTTCATTCAGATTGACAGATGTTACAGAAGAAAATGATGGATAATTCGAAGAAAAAACGAGGGTCAAATTAATGGAGATTGTTAAAAAGTAAGTAAAGTTTTGCATAATACCTAGGTATGATTTTGATATTTCAATTGATATCTTTCATTAAAAAGGTATAAAAATATTATTGAGGGCAAACAATCGGATGCGATATGTCTAAAAAGAAAAAGAGATACATGGATAAAAATCCAGAATGAGTTCAATTCCATTACAACTGGTTCAGAAAACCTGAATCGGGTATTGAAATCATTGTCATCATACATTTCGAATGGATTGTCTCTATTTCGGAAGGTTCTTGGCCTGGGAATTATAGTAGTTCTTCTTCAGATGGTGGAGACAATGAAGAGATAGACATTTTCTGTAATATAATAGTCATTTACTTACATTATTTTGTTTATTTACCTACCCTACCTTTTTGAAATGAAACAAGAACTAAGAACTCCAACCTTTTTTTGCAGATTCTGCAAAAATTCTGTGAAATATTCAAAATAATTTGGCGGAACATTCACAAATCATTTGCTGGTTGTTACTTTAATCAGTGGTCGAGCACTGAGTCGATGAATAAGTTGATGCCATGAATAAGTCGATTTGATGTGACATCTAAAGCTGGCCTTTCTGCAACCGATTTTTTTTCAACTTATCATTCAAAAGTAAAAAAATAAAATAAATAAAATAAATTTATTAAATCCTTCATGATCAAAAAAATGATATAGGATACGTCAGACAACAGATGATACACAAACATTTTAAACATAAATTAGTAACATTACAGTTATACACCAAAGTAGATATAAAATGAATATAAATAAAATAAAGAAATTGGTCCTAATAACTAAGATATTCATCAGTACTATAGAAACAACCTTCAATCAAGAATTCTTTCAGTTCTGCCTTGAAAATATTTTTACTACTTCGGTTTTTTATATCATCCGGTAGATGATTGAACAGTTTTGCTCCCACATATGACGGACAGTTCTCATAGAGACGAGTTGAATGTTTTTGGAGCCGTATCAGTTCACCATGCCTGGTAGGGTATGCATGAAAATCACAATTTCGGTTGTAGTCATGGATATTTGTTTTGAATAATAAAATGCATTTGTATACAGAGTGACCCATTTGAAAGCGGGCCACCCCTGTATCTCACGTAATCGTTGGGTAAGGATCATGAAATTTGCTGGAGCGAGAGATATACCAAAAATGCACTCTATAACCAAGTGGGGTCATCTTCAGTGATATACACTGCTCGCCAACAGCCATGGAACCACCCCAATTTCCTGAAAATGATATTAGGAGCCAAAATAGGTTGAAAATCACTTCGGATTCGGAATCAGGACGCCCAATTCACTAACTATTCATATTTTTCCTTGAAAATTTTCAGTTCTGAAAAATTAAATTTTGTCGCACTTTTCAGGGAAGCACCCCCGTATCTCACGTAATTGACTTCATCTTTGGACTTTCCGTTCCTCCTGCAAATTTTAGAACCCTACCACAATAATTACGTGAGATACGGGGGTGCGCTTCCATGAAAAGTGCGACAAAATGTAATGTTTCAGAACTGAAAATTTTCAAGGAAAAATATGAATAGTTAGTGAATTGGGCGTCCTGATTCCGAATCCGAAGTGATTTTCAACCTATTTTGACTCCTAATATCATTTTCAGGAAATTGGGGTGGTTCCATGGCTGTTGGCGAGCAGTGTATATCACTGAAGATGACCCCACTTGGTTATAGAGTGCATTTTTGGAATATCTCTCGCTCCAGCAAATTTCATGATCCTTACCCAACGATTACGTGAGATATAGGGGTGGCCCGCTTTTAAATGGGTCACTCTGTATATAAATGCATGGAACGCACATGATTTTATTCCGAATAAACTATTGTCTACATGATTCTCTGTAATTTAATCCAAATATCAATCGTATAACCCTTTTCTGAGAGATGAATATTTTATTTAGTTTTGTGCAACAGCCCCACACAGCAATGTTGTAAGAAATATGGGAGTATACAATTGCAAAATATACATTCAAGAGCTGTGCCTTACTGAATGTTGACTTCAACTGTCTAATTGCATAATATCCAGTGTTTACTTTCTTGGTAACTTGATTCATAGTCGACTCCCAGGTCATGTTACTATCGATGTAGGTACCCAGAAATTTCACTTCATTTGATGATTCAATTGTCTCATCGCCTACTCTTACGTTGAAATTATCAATTTTTTTTGTAGCTTTGGAGTAGAACTGCATTAAAACTGTTTTTCTCGAATTTACTACCAAACAATTCTTTATACACCAGCTTGTGAACTCCAAACTTAGCAAATTCAATTTTTCTTGAAGTTCCTCTGGGGTAGCGGCATCCGCGGCAAGCGTAGTATCATCAGCATACAGAACTATATAATCTGTGCTTATATGATTTGGCATATCATTAATAAAAAGGAGAAAGATTAGGGGACCCAATATAGACCCCTGAGGAACTCCTAAGTCCATATCATACGACTGTGATCGACATTCATCAACTTTCACATGTATTTTCCTAGAAGTCAAATACGACTCAAGCCACGAATTGAAAGTACCTCGAAAACCAAGGGAATATAGTTTTTTGCAAATGATACCGGGGTCGATGATGTCAAATGCCTTCGACAAATCAAAGAAAAGTGCACCAACGTATCGTCTTTTGTCAAGTGTCATAAACATACTTGAACAAGCTGCAGAATGCACTTTCCGTTGACCTACCTGGGCGGAATCCGTGTTGAAATTTAGATATGATATCGAATTGATCGAGAAACGCTAGCATCTTCTGATAAACACATCTCTCAAAAATTTTACATAACACTGTAGGAACTGTTACAGGTCTGTAGTTCTCAATTAATGTTGACTCACCTTTTTTTAAAATTGGTGTTATTGACCCAACTTTTAGTTTGTTGGGGAACTCCCCCTTTTCAATAGAAGAATTTATCAAAAATGCCAGTGGTTCGCAAATGAAGTTTCTGATATTTTTGATGATTTTTGTGGAAATGCAATCTACCCCTACTGAGTTCGTATTTTTCAGGTTAGATATAATGTCCAATATATCATTTGGAAGAACAGGGGTAAAATAGAAGGTATGGATTACATGCATAGTTGTGTAATCATTGAAAGATGTCGACTCATGTAAATCAACTGTATTTTTTGCTATAGTCGAAAAGTACGAACCGAAAGCATATCATAAGTTAATCAGATTATCAAGTAGCCATGCCATTAAGTACATGATTGCCCATCATGTCAGTATTTTTGTGCCGTCATAACTAAGGTATGTTCTTTTTTACACCACAATCACAATTGTTTTTTCCTTTATCTATTTTTCTTTTCGTGATTTGATGGTGATTTAGATTGTTTTCAATGAAAAGCTCAGAATTGACGAAAACTAATGTAAATTAAAAAATGATGTGATAAATGTGTTATTGGAGTCCTCTCCAGATCCATGAGGTCTAGCAGTTCTTCTGGTCGTTCTGAGGGTGACATATTGTTCATGTTGGGGAGTATACGAGGTAGGTTGAAAATTCTCAACAACCTATGTACAAAACATTGCATTAAATTATGATGATATGGATAGTCATTGATAAGAATTCTCTGTTCAGTTTCCTGAATGTTTGTACTAATTTCTTGAAATTCATGATGGAAAAGAAAAAAGTCCCTACCATTCGAAATTTCTTCAATTTCTGTTGGTGTCAATAATACAGCTATTTTTTTATTTTCATATTTTGGACTGATCTTGATTAATTCTTCAATATTTTTTTAGGCAAATGGCAAACAGCTTTCAAATCCAATATTTTGTTTTTAGTTTTTGAAGTCATGCTGTCGCTGTCATTTCGGAAGCCACCAAAATACGTCCACCATCTCTGTACATCGGTGGAATGGTTTGCAATTTTGGTTGACACAACAGTAATAAATGGACGTGTGGTTACGTCAAACTGGAATCCACCAAAGAATATATGAACACAGTTGGTGGATTGATGGAGCCACCGGTGAATAAAAGAACGTCCCTCTGCTATTTGTTCTATTTGAGTTATTGTTCATGTGATGTGCAGTTAATTTTTTCGAGGTTTCTTTAAAATCGAACCCGTAACATGTATATCGATTTTTTGATAACTCCTTCAGCCTATGAAAACGCCCAATTTTGCCCACCCTGTACGTTGAAAAGAAACAGAGTGAATCGTCTCACTCACCTTGATCAGCCCCGAATAGTTGACCTCGAACGGTGAGATGTCCGACTCCATGAGTATGTCCCTGAGCTCGAGCAGCGCCTCGCAGCACTTCGCCGTCGGCAGCTTGTCGATGGCCAGCTTCAGACGGGTGATGACGTTCGTGGCCGGGTGCGAGTCGTCCTCGGCGCCCGAATACGATTCGATGAATTTGGAGGCCTGCAAAAATGCGAAAGTGATGTTCGATTGTCGGGTCGCGAAAAGTCATCGCAAACTTCACGTCAATGACTGATAGGTCGTTTTTTTATTATATCTTCTTGAGAAACTACTTTTTGGATATCCCTACAAAATTTCCTATTATATCATCAACAAGAAGTTAAAGAAAATGGCCGCTTGTGAGAAGCAGTAGTTATTTCTCCAGTAAATTATCAGTATTTTGACAGTGTTAATGACCCTCAATTTAGTTGAAATCTATATCAAACTGAGCAGATTGAAATTGTTATCATTCTTACGTACTGTGCGTAAAACATTGTGTTGGCCTTAAGCTGTAAAGTGCATATAAATGATATGAAAGTGATAGTGGAATAAAGATATCTAAGTAAAAAATCAAGCAAAACCCAATCACAAAAACTGTTAACCATAACCGGATAAGGAGTTGAGCTGAAATAGTTTAGAAGGTGCTACCAGTGGCGTATCGGAAAGACTTTTACAATGTCGGGGAAGTGCTTCAAATGTAATGGAGATTGTGTTCTGAAAGACAATAAGGGGGAATCATTTGGTTATCCCTGCGACCAGTGTAAACAAATTGTTTGCAAAAATTGTGCTGGTTTATCAGCCTCTGAGGTAAGAGCTGTGGTGATTCCTACTAGGGTGATGCCCTTCTACTGTCCTCATTGCAGAGTGAACACTATTTCTTCTATTGCTCGGAAATTAAATAAGCTGGAAGAAGAAATCCAAGAAAATTCATCGAATTTCCATGGTAAATTCATTACTTTAGAACAAAGAATAATAAAGATGGAACAGATTCTAGATTCGAACAAATTTATTGAGCAAAGATTATCAAAAATTGAGGAACTTATTGAGTCGAACAAATCATTGAATCACGAAGTCAGTGAAATTAAAAAACGTGTCGAATCTCAAACTCAGTCACAAGTTGACAGTGAAGCTTTATTCGGAGAGATTCAGGATAGAGCAGATAGATCCAAGAATTTGATTGTTTATAACGTCGAAGAATCTCATTCCAAAGACTTTTCTGAGAGAATTGCATTCGACAAACAACAATGTGAAAATGTTCTAGGTATGTTGATTGCTCAAGGCGATGAAATTGAATTTAAAGCATATCGTATTGGTCAGCCCAATAATAAACCCCGTCCCATTAAAGTATGTCTTCGTGATAGCAATACTGCTCTGAGCTGTCTGAAGAATAAAAGAAAATTATTGGCCGAACATACTTCAATTCGGATAAGTGCGGATCAAACGCCAAAACAACGTGAATATTTCAAGAAGATCAAAAAAGAATATAATATGCGAATTGAAAAGGGCGAGCGCAACATTGAACTGAGATTTCACAGAGGAATTCCAGCTATTCAACAAAAAATAGTGAACAAAAAAAAACTAAATAATACCCCATTACAAGTATATTGTCATAATGTGGGCGGTTTAAGAACAAAGCTCAATCAACTTTCAACGGCTGTGGCTTGTTCTGATTATGATATAATAGTATTAATAGAAAGTTGGTTAAATAGTGACATATCCAATCAGGAACTCAGATTAAATAACTATAATGTTTTTCGTTGTGATCGGTCTGAATCAACGAGTGAGAAATCTAGAGGAGGAGGTATACTGATTGCCATTCACGAGCGCATAAGTGCGAGAACATTGACTTTGGCAAATAAGGATAACGAGCATCTGTTTATTCTATGCAAGTATAACAAGAAGGATTTCATTATTGGCGGAGTATATCTGCCGCCCAACTCTTCTGAAGAAAAATATTTATCTCATGGTCAGGCTATAGAGGACTTACGATCTGAATATCCTCTGCTTGATTTCTATGTTTATGGAGATTTTAATTTGCCGGCAGTTACTTGGGTGAACGATAATCTAGGTGCAGCTGCAGCTGGTCATCAAAACGATTGTTCTGCAATATTAGCCCAGTCCTATGCTTTTTTGAATTTCTTTCAACACATTGACATCCCTAATTCTAGAAATGTATTTTTAGATTTATTATTTTCTAATTTACAATCTGTTAATGTGAGTTTAGCAATTATGGATCCACTTTTTCCCAGCACGATACATCATGAGCCATATACCTTCAGCATTCATGCTAATAATATGGGAGTAGAGGCGCTCAAATATGTTGAGCAATATTATGATTTTACGAATGCTGATGTAGTTGGTTTAAATAATTACCTGGCGCCAATAAATTGGTCAGAATTCTTAGACACTAGCAATGTTAATGCAGCTGTTGAATCACTTTATCAAATTTTGTATTTGGCAATAAGACAATTTGTCCCTTTAAAACAATATAAGGTGTCTTCTTTTCCGAAATGGTTCGACGGGAATTTGAGGAAGTTGGTTACTCAAAAGAAAATCGTTCATAAAGAATATAAACAAACAGGCAATATGATATTTTATCAGAGATTTGTTGATCTTAGAATACAATGTAAAAACTTATCAAAAATGTGCCATGAGCAGTATTTGAATAAAATTGAAATCAACTTAGCAAACGATCCTAGTTCCTTCTGGAAATTTGTAAATAACAAAAACTCAGCTTACAATTTTCCCAAAAATATGAATTTGGAAAACGAACTCGCTAGCGATGGTGAGGCTATAACGCAGTTGTTTGCAGACTACTTTTCAACGATTTATGTGAATAATCAGAATGTTGCCCATGAAACTGTTACAAATACTACAAACTACGACATTAAATGCTCTAACTTTTCAGTTTCTACAGTTTATGATAAGATAGTCAAAATTCCTTCGAAGCTCACTTGTGGGCCTGACGGTATACCTAATATTTTTCTTAAACAATGTATATGTTCAATTACAAATCCACTTTGTTTGATTTTCAATTTATCCCTAAACTCTGGTATTTTTCCTGACAGCTGGAAAAACAGTTTCATAATACCTATCTTCACATCAGGTGAGAAAGAAAATATTAAAAATTATAGAGGAGTTTCGAGTCAATCTGCATTACCTAAGCTTTTTGACAGCTTAGTGCATGATCAAATTAGTTTTGCATGTAGAGAAATTATTGATAATAATCAACATGGCTTCATGGCTAAACGATCCACAGTAACGAATCTATTGATTTATCAAAATGACATTATATCAACTTTAGAACGGAAAATGCAAGTGGACTCAATTTACACTGATTTCAGTAAGGCGTTTGATAGAGTAGACCATAATCTGTTATTATTCAAATTAAGTAGTTTGGGGTTTAATGATATTCCAATAAAGTGGATAAAAAGCTTTTTGAAAGGTCGCAAACAGAGGGTTAAAGTAGGATCTTATCTCTCAAATGATATTGATGTGTCATCAGGAGTTCCGCAAGGTTCACACTGTGCACCACTATTATTCAATTTATTTGTCAATGATATAGGTAGTTGCTTCACTCACAGTAAATATCTAATGTTTGCCGATGATTTGAAAATGTATGGACATGTTAACTCATATGTAGATGTATTGAATCTCCAAAGAGACCTAAACAATTTAGTTAATTGGTGTGATCAAAATAAGCTGAATCTCAAAATTGATAAATGTACGTCCATAAGTTTCTATTAAACAAATAAAAAATATGATTCTTCTTATTATATCAATAATAAGGAAATTTTATCAGTAGCGTCATTGAGAGACTTAGGGGTTGTTTTTGATGAAGGTATGACTTTTATAGAGCACATTAATAATGTATCAATAAAGTCGTCCAAGATGTTAGGATACATCCTACGAAACTGTAAGGTTTTTTCTGTCCATACTGTCAGGAAATTGTATATGTCATTGGTGGTCTCTCACCTAGATTATGCTTCTATCATTTGGTCACCTTTCTATCAAATTCACAAATACACTTTAGAACGTACACAAAATAAATTCCTAAGATTCTGTGCTTTCAAGCTTAACGTTGTTATTGAAAATCATGATTATGCATTCATTCGTGGTGAAATGAATTTGCAGAGTTTGAAAAATCGTAGAAAAACCAGATATTTGTTTTATTTTTAAATTAGTTAATGGAATGGTTGTTTGTCCAAAGTTGTTGGAGTTGATCAATTTCAATGTTCCAAACAGAACATTAAGAAATGCTAACCTATTTAGAATGTCTCACCATGCTACTAATTATGGTCTACACTCACCTATTGAGAGAACATTGAGATTGATTAATGAAAATGGTTTGGACATATTTTATGGGTCTTTTGATAGTTTCAAAACACTGGTTAAATCTGTACTTTGAAACATGTAGCTCTTTTCATAAGTTAGATTTAGACTTAAGACTAGTATTAATAATATTTATCTTTCAAAATTTTTTTTATGTAATGGGGTTTCCCGTAAATAAATAAATAAAAAAAATAAATAAAAAAGCTTGAATCTAATTTTATATTGATTAGGAATTCCCAAATTCATGGTCATCACACTAGACAATATAACTTGTTTCAACTTGAAGCTGCAAATTATAAACTTGTACAAAAAAAGTTAACACATGAGGCGATTTCTGAATTCAATAAATTACCAGATGATATCAAAAACAGACCAAATATTAGAAATATGCAGAAGAATGATCAAAGCTGGAAGAATATACTGTCTGTAGGTTAATCGAGGAGGTGGTACATTCATTTTACTTGGTTCTTTGGGATTTTCTCTCCTCGTTTCTATAAAATAAAAGTATTCGTATTATTTCAATATATTTGTAGAGGGACAAATCAGATGATTTGCCCCAAAATGTCACTGCGTTTAACAAATTTTTCTATCAGGGAGTCTAGAAGAAAAATCCAGTAGCTTGTCAGTGACAATTTGTTTGAAAAAATTTTTGAAGGAAAGAAATATAGATATATTGAAAAAATATCGAATTTTTACTTATCTTTGGACGTTTCGGGACCGATTCTGCTCCCGTTCTCAACATGTAAATGCAAATTATTTTTCTTTGAAAGTTGTGCTGCGTATAGTTTGACACTTTCATACGCAGCACAACTTTCAAAGAAAAATAATTTGCATTTACATGTTGAGAACGGGAGCAGAATCGGTCCCGAAACGTCCAAAGATAAGTAAAAATTCGATATTTTTTCAATATATCTATATTTCTTTCCTTCAAAAATTTTTTCAAACAAATTGTCACTGACAAGCTACTGGAATTTTCTTTTAGACTCCCTGATAGAAAAATTTGTTAAACGCAGTGACATTTTGGGGCAAATCATCTGATTTGTCCCTCTACAAATATATTGAAATAATACGAATACTTTTATTTTATAGAAACGAGGAGAGAAAATCCCAAAGAACCAAGTAAAACTGAAAGAATATGAATTTCCTTTTTTTTTTCTTCACCGTTTCTTTTTTTTTTTCTTCTTGTTCACTATAATATGAGTACTGTTATTTGGAGATATCTTAATTATATTCAAATTTTGTTCACTATTTGTAATTTCAATTATACAACAGTCGATAATACTACATGAATGATCTTATACCATGAATTACTGTCTGATTATTCATGTCATTCCAACTAGAAAATTAATTATACTTCATAAATTATTTGTATAAAATGTACTAATGAAGAAAAGAATGTAATGCAATAACTAAAATGAAATAAAAAAATGGTGATTTTACATACAAGTGTGCGGAGAGGATGTTCTGCTTAGAAATTAGTAACTGATGTCAGTTCGGATTTTCAGGCTTGTGATTGCAATTTTCGTTTCATCTTGGTTATAATGCTTGTCAAAGTAATCAGTTTCTACAGGAAAAAAAGGAGTATAAATCTTTTGAAGGAGACTCATCACGTGATTATGTTGAGATTCGTGTTTTTTATGATGATCTTTTGCAATAAAATTGTGGAGGCTGAGTTTGGTCAGGGAGTAGTTTTACTCTGGTCCACTAACAGCATGGGGTCAGCAAAGGATGTTTTTCCTTCCTTTCGAGACCTGGACAAAGTTTTTCTCCGAGCGAATGCGCATGCGTTCATAATGTATCACGTGATTTACTGTGACCAATTAGACAATGAGGTATGCGAATGCCTCGTAATCTCTAGTGTCTCGTTACAGAATGTCTAGTCTAGCCATACTTGTCTTTTGAATAGAATGTCGATTACAACATTTTTAGATTTGCTGTTGAATTTTTCAGGCAGGAATTTGTAACAGCCATCAGAAAACAATTATCTGATCAATACTCTCGAAATTTCTTTTGATATTATCAACAAATCTGACTTTATATTGGTAGAGAATTCTCAAATCCATGAACATCAGACTAGACAATATGACTTGTTTCATCTTGATGCTGCTAATTCTATACTTGACCAAAAAAAGTCTTCTCACGGAGCTATCTCGAAATTCAATAAATTACTTGATGGTATCAAAAGTTGCTCAAATATCACCTAATTCAAAATTAAAGTCAAGAAACATACCCTCTTGCATAGAGAAAATCAAACCTGTCTGAATCTGTCTGATTATTCATGTTATTTCATTGTAAATCTTAATGAATTATATTTATATTTAATACATTGTAATGTTTATAACAAAGAATGAAACGAATATTATTATTATCAAAAAATCTATGATTTGATGAATTTTATATTTCCCGTTTGAATCGAGTTGAGTTTTGATTCTATTTCTACTCTTTTTTTTCAAGTACTTCTTAATTCTAATATTTTTGTGCATTTTTTGTTATACCATGAAATTAATTTTCAAAATAAATGTCTTGGTTACTAGCTTTTCTCTATGTGAAGTTTAATTCACATATATCAAAACATCTTGAAACTCCTCATAACAGCCAAGAGCAAGACAAGAAATAAAGGAGAATAATTCTCTCAATGTGCTACAGGTCGGTTAATTTAATGTTCTATTTTTTTTTTCAATTCTTCGGATGATGTAAACAAAGATAGATTCACGAAAAAAGTTTAGTAGCCTCAGCAAACACACAGGAACAGGCCTTATACTTTCTGAATAATTTTAGGTAACTGTAATAAACACCAAATATGAAGATGACGGATGATTTTACCTGATCTCTAATCCAACTCCTAGTTTTTTCTCTATTTCCAGCAGTAATGTGTGAATTCGAAGCCGATTTTGATAAATTGTTCATCGAGTCCTTACTATAATTCCTATCGTGTGATGAGTTCATACTCCTTCCCCACCTAGCTGGATTCAAACTTTGAAGAAAGCTTGTCTTCGAGCTGGAACCAGAATATCTGGGTCTAGTAGTATTACTGAAACAAAATTATTGAATTTTAGTCGATTTCAAAATATACTATTGAGCTTCCTCCTATATTCAATGACATTATTTCTGCCATTTGTACGAAAATGAATTCCACTGATCTGAAAAATTGTCAAGTATCACAATAGGGAAGTTGCCTGAATTGAAATAATATCATTTTTCTTGGTCTATCGAATTTGATTTCAGAATAGCAAAAAATAAAAACAAAGTTTTGGCTCCTTCACCATTCGGATGACGAACTTCTGAGAACCACGATCACACATCTCTAGCTGGAATTACCCTTGATAATGCAAGAAATAAAATAATGTACTTTCATTTTCATGTTATTCAACAAATATTTGTGACAATGATCTCTGACCTCTCAATAAGAACCATCAGTGGTTCGTTAATAATATCAAGCTAGGTGTTCACGTGATACTAAATCTGCAGCTGCTTCCCAGGTTCAGATTTCCTAACAACCAAAGCCACATAGCCTACTTCATATTAAGTTTCTCCATCATAGTTCACCGCCGCAAGAAATATTTATTGATGCATTTTGAAACTGGAACTAACTACTTGTGAACTTATTTGGTTAAAATTTCCTTATTACAAATGGACAGAAGAACGTACTTTTGACTACTAACGCCCAAGAAAATGCTGAAAAATAATAGAAATGTTCTTACCATTGAAAACAGAACTGAAGATGGATGTTGGCAGCTGTCACTTGTCATTTGCGCACAATGCAAACCGATAAAATAATATGAATTTTCTGTATGATAAAAAATTATCATATTTTGATCATCTCTCGATTGTTAATTTTTGAAATTTCAGTATGAGATTGGTATGGCTGTTTCTAAAAATTTGTTATGGATTCACTCACCTTGGCGTTGAATTTCCTATTGAGGCAGCTTTAGTGAATAGGTCCTGTACCAATGAAGGCGACAGAGGCAAATCGTCATGCCTCGTCTTAGATCTGCTAGTTCCACAAGTCCTTTTCGATACTCTCTTTCTCTTCAGAACGTCGCTCAATCTCACGTGAGATGGACTTGGAGACCTAGTCGATAAATCAAACTATATTCTGTATCAGGATTGTGACTTCATCATGAATAAACTCAATTATAGTATAGTTCAGATAATAATATAATAGATACACTACAATAGTAGCGTTTTATTTATCTGATACCGCCACCGGAATCACTTTGGTGTGTCGTTTTATTTGCAACTTTTCCGATTCCGGTTGCTACTTTCCATTCCGTCTCCCTACAAGGAATGATGTGGAATGACTGTTGACAGTTATCAAAAAAAATTAATTGGATTGAATAAAAACGAAGCTTTTTGAAAGTATAGAAGACATTTCTATCGTGAGGTTCACAAGTTTATGAATCTTTCAAGTAAGGCAGTTTAATACCTCCATTCCCAGATGAAATGAATTATCTCGATCTCGGAGAACTTTATTCATACTGCTCCAAATATGTGTTGAATTATTCTCTTTATTTTTAACCCTAGTTTTATGATTTTAAAATTAATCGGAGCCAAAATCTAGCCCCAATATATAAATGAATTCTAGATCTCATGCAAGGTAATCTGTTTGTCGTTTTATTTGGGAACGTCATTCTGTTTCTACCACCGTTACTAGAATGGAACAAATAAAACGCAACTACTGTTTTACCACTAACCAAAACGATTTTTTATACGTCTCGACATGTGTTTCGCTATGTTAGCAACTTCAGGAGAAGATTGATACATTTTCGATGAATGTGTGATATTTTTCATCTTTCATGTTGAAAACTGGAGCAGATTCGTTTTTCGCAATGTCCAAAGATTAGTAAAAATTCTATATTCCTCTAATATATCTATTTTATATATATTTATTTTCTTCAAACATTATTTAAAAAGTATTACTGACAAGCTATTGGGTATTCCTTTTTGGCTCCCTGAAAGACAAAATTTGTTGAACCCAGTTACATTTTGGAACAAATCATCTGATTTATCCTACTACACGTGTATTGAACTAATACTAGTATTTGAATTATTCGATATTGAAGATGTACTTTCAATACCTGTGGATGAGGGCTAACATATATTTCGCTACTGAAACGTGTAGTCAGAGAATTAGAACTGACAAATAAACTTCTTCTCTTCGTGTCATTTGGCCTCTTCCTACGATATCTTCTTCTCCGTCAATGTAAGAATTGATCGTAAAATTCCACATTCAGAGTAAAAAAACATTAGTTTGCTCAAGTCTTTCCATAACTTGAGTTCTTCGATTTGTACAAATATTCAACATGATTGTTCTCGAATATTATCGGGGGCCAGGTAGCCGTGCGGACAGAGTGTCGGTATTCTAATTCGCATTCGCTTGCCGGTCGTGGGTTCGATTCCCAACGACTGCAGAAATTTTTCTGATGGGCCAAGAAAGTGTTTGGGATCTAACGTTAAAAGGTAAGGCCCCTGTCATTCCTTGCTCGCACAAGACTCTCGAAGACTGATTTTTGACTTTGACATTGACCTCACGTTTTAATAACGCCAACTGGTGAGATTGAAAATGCTAGCACCCATTCAAACGTTTATGAGATGTGACCTCAGTGTCTCCTTGCAATTTGATTGGTTGGAATTCGTGATGGCTGGGAGGCACGTCACTGTTACCAGGTCCCTATAAAATCCTTGGAATGATCTTTTGTGCAAGGTGGAGCAAGGTATGCCATGATTTGGAATTACTATGGATTAGGTAATTGCTTCATTGGTTATTCACTTCTGATCACTTTCAGTTTACCAAGAACCGCGAAATATGTTTCACAATTAGGTAGGATATAATGTGATACAGGCATTTTACAATAAAAGCCTTTCACATGGTTTTCCGTCCTGCTAAATAATTGTTATAATCATCAAATTGAGCAGTATTTTTTTATCTCAAGTACTCGTTCCCGGAAAATATAATTGCTAATGTGGCAACCAGGTCTACAAGAGAAAGAGATCAAGCATCTGGCGCTAACATAATGTTGCCAAGTTAAAATACCTCATTCTCCGCACAACTTCACTGTTCTAATTTCTCAATATTATTGACAAGAAGGCAGTGATGCTTGTATAGAAAATTGAACCAAGTGAGAAATTTAGTATTGATTGATTCAAAATTTGTTAAGGTTAGATGATGTTCTGATAACATAGAAATCAATCATCTGAACAATTATACAATCCAATTGTTCAGTACCACGAATTTTTAGATAGGTAGCTATTATTGAAAAGAAATTTTTTCAGATATATTATGAACATGAAAAAATGGATGTATAATAATATATAAAGAAATACATTGAGAATTCGCATTCTCTATGTGAGGAAAATATTAATCCTTTATCGGTATATTCAACAGCTATAAGCAACTTATACAGAATTTCTTTCCACGTCCTATACGATGAATATCAATTTTCCAAATGAATATCGAACTAATCATAGTTTTTGTCCAAATTGTCAATATTCTCACGTCCACTGTGCTTTCTATTGGCATCTGCGACAGGTGATTGGATTACCAATTCGAATTACTCGCGCACTGACGTCACACGTTTGGCAGCCATGTCCGATCGATCGAATTCGCTTGTTCATTTTGCCGTTCTCATTATTTTTCATACGACAAATTGGATAAAAAAATCACGTGTCTAAATGTTTACTGCTATAGAAGAGGGCGACCCATAGATCGCCTTCGATTTGCAACAAGAGCTATTGCTGCCCACCAACGTATAAAACAATATTGATAATATTGATTTTGTTTTGATAAGAAACTCAGAAATTCATAGTCATCACATGAGACAATTAAACTTATTTCATCTTGATTCTGCTACTTACATACTTGCCAAAAAAGATTTGTCCCCACTGCTATAGTTGAATCTATAGATTACCTCATAATATAAAACATTGCATAATTCAAATATTGAAATTGCATTAAAAAACATGATTTCATTACGAAATTGATTAAAAGTGATACTTTGCCATCAAATGATTGATCCCTGTTGATATTTTATGATTTGGTCGATAGCAATTTTAGATTTTATCGAAACTGTCCACAGGTAACTAATCCTCCAGGTTGGGAAAATAGGATATACAGGGTGGAATGCATCAAACTCCAGATGTGTATTGTACACGTAAACATAATTCGAAAAAGCCCCTATGTTCTTATACGATTCTCATTTGTTTTCGTTCTAAATTGTGACATTTTATGAGATTTCAATCGTATAAACTCGAAAATGAACGCGTCAAACACACTGACACTGACACTAACACATGTCAGAACAACAAAACGGACCAAACAATCGAGTTTGTACGATTAAAGTCTTATAAAATGACTTCAAATTTAGAATGGAAAAAAATGAGAATCCTATAACATACATATATATTTTTTTCAAATTATTTTTACGTGTACAATACACAGCTGGAGTTTGATGCGTTCCTCCCGACTCACCCTGTATAAGCAAGACAAGGTTAGTTTTTTTAATTTTTTTTTATCTCTTGGAGCGCACAAAAAGGAATCCCTATAATGTTCAAAGAACATCGTTCGTTTCTAGGGAGGATAGGGATAGGAGGTAGGTATTGAAATTTTCTTTAAACTTCTGGAGATTATATGTTGTTGGGAATACTTCCTCAGGCAATGAATTCCAGAGCCTAGCCGTTCTATGGATGAAGGAGTTTTGATAAAGATCATTGTACCAGTATATCACCTAACGAAGCTACTGTGTTAGCAAAACATGTCGTGTGTTTGAGAATTTTGTGGAAATCTTATCGTTTGTGAAGTTTTTACATTTACCATGGATTTCCATCAAGTAACGGCCAAGTCAATTGAAAAAGATTTTTTGTTGCTGTCACCTTATGATATTCCATTATTATTGTTTGTAATCAACATCCTTATACCAGAATTTTATATCTGACTAGAAGCTATTTTCTCAATAAACAATACCTGGCATCCGATTCCTGCAGCCTCTGCGTATCCGGCGTCGAAGTATACAGCGTGGATACGGGCGTGCCGCCCAAGGTAGCCGATCCGTTAGCCGTGTGGATGGTCGTTGTGCTATGCGACGACTGCGACGTGCCCGGCTGCGACTCGTTCAGCGTGGAGGAGAAGGAGGCGGAGCTGCAGCTCGTTTTCGGGGGGCTGACTCCCAAAGGGACCTCGAATGAAACACACACAAGGTAAGTTCGATATTTGAGTAGGGAAAATATACTTTCTAAGGCGAAGGTTCATCCAGGCCAAGTAAGGTCAGATTATTTGAAAAAAGTAGTCTCCTTTGTTATGAAGAATAGATATTTCAATTCATTTCATGATGTATATACTAGGTGGGCCAAAAGAAATCACCCTATTGGAAGATGCTCTTATTTTTGCAAATGGCGGCCAATGTCAGATCTGTTTCGACATTTGTGAACTAGACAGATGTAGAATACAAGTGAACAAGCCATGGAGCGATACACTCCCCAAGAAAGCGGAAAAATCCAAGCCAAGCCATCCTCAATCTCGTGGACGATTTTTAGACCAAAATCATAATGAGCGACAAGGCTCATTTCCACCTCAGCGGGTATGTGAACGAGCAGAACTATCGCTTCTGGGGCACTGAAAATCCACGAGTGATGCACGAGGAGCCATTACACCCGCTCAAAGTGACTGCATGGTGCGCTGTTTACTCTGGAGAAGTCATCGAGCCATTTTTTTCGAGGTCGCCGCTGGTCAAACGACAACAGTGGACGGTGCGCGCTATAAGGCCATGTTCACAGAGTTTTTTCTGCCTCAATTTAACGAATTAAGACTGGAGGACATGTGATTCCAACAGGACAAAGCAACGGCACACACTGCGCGAGCCACAACTGATATTCTGAAGGCGGCGTTCCCAGATCGCCTCATCTCTCGTTTTGGCGATTTTCTCTGGCCCGCAAGATCGCCCGATTTAACCGTTTCAGACTTCTTGTGGGATTTTTTGGAGTCTTGTGTTTACGTGAACAAGCCTGAGACCCTGGAAGCCCTCAAGGATAACATTCGACACGAGTGCCAGAATCTGTCGCCCGAAGATCTCGCCGAAGTGATGAAAAATGCCATAAAACGAGCCCGTATATCAATCAGTTGTGGCGGCATCCATTTGGCCGATATCATCTTCTCGACTCGACCAATGAAATTCTAAAGGTTCAAAAAAACATAATCAAAAAACAGAATCGAAGCTTTTCATTTAGAAAAAAAATGAGAGCCAAATAACATCGGATGACTTCTTTTGGCCCACCTTGTAGAAGGCTGAGCTAGCTTAGATTTTTTAGAGAAAGTTGTCTCCTATTTTATGCAGAGGGTATTTTCCTCCTTAATATGTAATCCATATTCCTCAAGGGAATTAAAAAAAAAACCGCCACGGCAATGAATACAATATAACAAAATCTGCTATGAGCGAAAACCTACATAAATATTCGTAACATACGCGCACATAGCAGTTATTTATTCCTTGAATGAATAATTTTATTGTAAATATTTTTTCTGCATAACTGAGCTGATATAAACAGGCGATCTACCCACAAGTGTTAGACAATCCAAAAATCTCAAAACTGAACATAACTCCACATAGGCAATGGTGTTATTAAACGTAAAATAATTATACTTGCTATATTATCAGAAATTAAACACAGTGATCTTTGAGAAATGATAATAGGTGGCCAAAGAAAATTGAACAAATAAAAATAAACAAGTAGTGAAAAATAGGGGTTTGGGAAAAACAGAACATCTTTGAGAATAAGTATTTACGGAAGAAGTGAATTTATAAATAGTATGTAGTAGAAAAGATGTTAGAAGGAATAGTAGCAGATAGGGAGTGAAGACATAGTGCACAGAAGAGAGAAGATTGGAGGAACCGAAGGAATTGGCAAGACACCAGGTATTAGAAACTAAATAAACATTCGATTAATTTATTTTCCTGCAAGCGTACGTGATTAAAAGTTTGCCCACACTAGTGCGGGAAAACATTGATATAATATTCGCGCAAAATATGAGTGGTGGGTGACACAACATGAAAATTTTAGGTTTTTTTTTGCAGTATTTAATAAGTTTCTACAAAATAATCCATCAAAGTGCACTATTATTATTGTGAAAATGAAGAAATATTGAAAAATAATAATTGATTGTTATATAAATGCCCCTATAGCCATCAAGTAATTGATCTGATGTGGGAAACAATTTTTGTCATGTCAATCAAAACACAAAAGTGTAATTCTCAGAGTGACAGAGAGAGTGTTAATGTCATTTTCGATTCAGTGGAATTGCGATGGAAGACTTCCATCTACAAATGCGATACAGATGAGTTATTGCCAATGAAGTCTCAAGAAAGGTATGAGAAGCATTACACGAGCTTTATTGAATGGTGCAATAGTAAAAAAGTTGAAACATCACATAAAGAAGTATTTTGGGCTCATTTCCTAGAAATGCCTGAAACCTAAAGGCCAAACACCATGGGCATGCTGGCTTCTGCAATAAGCTCACCTTACATAATGCTTCAAACGGTACACACAATATATATATCACTAATTAATAGAAGATAGCGAATGAATCACTATTGTTAGTTGTTCCTATTTGCAGGATTAATTGATTGAACAAATCTATCAATTTCCTATGCTTGTAGAAAACATATTGTTCCTAACTCATGCGGAAAGTTTCTCCAATGTCGCAATAAACCACGGGGGTATTCAATTTTCGCCACTCACCTCCGGATCGGCCAGCCGATTGACCTGGTGCAGCACCCCCTCCCTTCGAAAATGCACGCCGAACTCGTCGGGCAGCTTCGTCATGAGGATGTCGGCCATCTGCAGCGCGCCGACCACGATGCGCAGATCGGCGGAGGCCATCATGCCGGCGATGTGGCTGCTGACCACCTGGTTCTTGAGCACGTCGCGCAGCAGCTCCGGGTTGGCATAGTACACCATGCGCAGGAGGGCTCGGAGGCACTTGAATCTCACCGCTGGACCGGCACTGGAATGAAAACATTTTTCTACTCCCGTAATACAACACGCGAATTCAATGTCAGCCACCGATTTATTGATATTCTTCATTTTGACACAGATTTTCATTATGAAACAGATTTCGGTCAATAAGACACGTACTTTCCATTGTAGCCTACTTTTCTCAACCTCCAAATAATTACTACAGAATATAAGAAAATAAGTTACATGTATGCAGACGGCAGCTTTTCATCGGAGAACAGATAAGTGAATTCGCGTTAGAATTAAATGCCCATCAATTCAAGTTTTTTTTTTTTTAGGGCGCCACTCAATTTATTTGAAAAGTTGATAATACTTGGGAAACTGAGAAAGCCAAATATTTACACCTAAATATGTATAAAAAATTCTCTTAGATTGCTGGGACAGACAAGTACATGAATGAAACCAAAAATATCTTCAAAACCTATTTATTACACCCAAATGGACAAGGCACATGTCAATCGCTGTAGAGGCCTTAGAACTTGCAATTAATACACTAAGATAATTACTCAATACTCAAATAAGAAATGAGACAAGAAATCATCATGGTCCACCAGTAAAACAGGATAGTATAAAAATTACAAGGTCTGAAATGCTATGTAAAATGAATTAATATACTAAGATAATTACTCAAAACTCAAATAAGAAATGAGACAAGAAATCATCATAATCCAACAGTAACACGGGATAGTATAAAAATTCAGTTTGATATGGTGTAAAAAGAAATATGAAAAATGACAACCGCTGTCACATGGTACCATGGGAAAGCTTCACAAAAGCCTTCATTTTCATATGATGGTGAATAATGAAATTTATAAAAAACTAAACATGAAAACAGGTGAAAAATTCAGTTTTTCATAAAAACCTGGCGTGGTCCTCTCCAGTGATTCAGATCACCCCGATCACAGTCTACTGGGTGCAAAGGTGAGCAGCATAGGTCACTGCGACAAACACAAAGGAAAAGGTGGCCCTCCGCTGAACTGGTGGGCTAAGCTCCGCTGTCTCTCCTCCTGGTATTCCTCCTGGCGTTACAACGAAGTATAGCTCAGCAGCTCAGCATACGGTGCTGCGCCTGGAGTCCAGAGTACTCCTGGTCTCCACTGGTCAAAATCCCCGAACAAGATGGTAAGATCGTCCTATGGGAGATCTTGACGAGGGAAAGGTGGTGTCCTCAATGGAAACTAGACACAAACAGCCTCCATCCGGTCGTTTCACGACCCTACGAGCATATACCGAGGAGTATGGTCTCCTACGACCCTATTGAAAAAAATAGGCTCACTTAACATCCTGTACATCTCCTACCACGTGGATCACAAAAAGAAAAAATACAGCCAGAATGGCGAGACATACCAATCCAGAAAATAAAATCATGCCAGTTTAAACTGCTTACCTTCTGCGAAGGGTCGAACCAGCACCAAAAAATTGGGGGGCCATGCTGTAGGGCTCCCAGGTGGCAACGGACAATCTCTCAATGATTACACAAAAATGACTTGGCTATTGGCCTTAGAGCTTGTAAAACACTCGAAAATACAAATCCCCAAAATGGGTTTGACTAAAAAGCCAAATTTATAGTGCTTACTGCCGGACCAACAAAACCTTCAGCCTTCTTCTATCATGGCCGCTGAGAAAAAGCCACAAGGCCGGAAGTTTCTCCAACTCCAAAACCCCTCCTTTTTCACTAACTTCCTCCAAAAATCCCTGGTACCATTTTTGCCAACACAATACGTAGAAGGTCACACACAGGAGAAATTATTTTTCACATGGGTTAAACCAATGGCTGTTTGAAAAACTCTTCGACGAACCACGGGCTGTTTCAAAACTCGTCGACGAAACACTGTCGTGAGCCATCCTCTCTAGTCGTCCAAGCCAGCGGCAGTAACAATTGCTGACAAGACATGCGACTGTGAAGTGTGTCAAACTGACAATGACGTCCTGGAGAAAAAACATCAAAAATGTCAAAGGTGTCAAGTGAGCTCATTCTTAACAACAATGAAAATCCTAGAAAATTAATAAACCTCTTCTTCAAAAGGGACACGTCCTAAGGGAACAGTCAACCTAATGATCCCTGAAATAGTCAAGCAAATCCATTCATCCTAGTTGGAGAACACTACAGGTAAGCGATTGTTTTCTTATAAGTCCCCAAAAAAACTAATTAACCTTTTGATTTCAGGCTTTCAGGATTTCAATATCAGAACCTGTTTATTGGATCAGAAAAAGAAGCCTCAGCTTGGATCATCACATCCTACAGGTGTACTGATATCAGAGAGGATGCTAAGAAAATTGATGATAAATTTCCAAAATAAAAGGTGTGTGATATGAATCAACTGCAATTAAAAGTGTTAACTATATCAGGTATTTGCATCATTTATCTGACTGAGTGTTCTCTGTATGTACATAATTGATGATTTATTTACCTGAATATTTCCAAGACCTGTATGAAAATCAAAACCAAAACTATATTCAGAAAATCTAAACGCTACACCATCATGAAACGAATTTTCGGCATACAGAAACACGTACTTGGGTATAGTTCTATGTTTCCATCTCACATGCTCGCGTTGTTTGACATTTAATTTCAATAAATATCACAACGCGCCAAGTTTTAGTTTTAATTTTATTATTTATAGTGTAATAGTGTATACAAGGCTCATGTAATAACTGTAATTTTAAGGTCGACATGTGCTTTCGAGGTCAGATCCAGTAGATTTCAGTGGCCAGACAAGATTGAGGAGTTCAATCAATCAGAATTGAGGATTCGGCTGTCCTTGCCCCAAGGTTCCTGAAGAGTATAAATACTCAACTCATATATCTCTCTTGCGACCGCGCATTTATACCGCTCTTTTGATTATTTCCAATGTCAAGTATTGTGAAGTGATTCTGATGTTGGACATTGTATATATTTGTCACATTTCATTTCTGTTGCATGGTCATTCCCGATATTTATTTAAAAGCTCCATTATTCGTATTTTGGAATTAACGTTTTTTTCCTGTTATTGCATCTGTATTTTCATCATAATCAATATTTTCATTTGATAATATTGATAACTAGTGGTAATATCTCCTTTCTTCTTCCCCATCATTTCTGTCCTGTTCTCTGTATGATATCATTCTGTATTCATGAAAATTTGACATTGATGAAAGGTTAATTAACCTAATTCCGGTCTTGAAAAATAGAAAAGCAGAAAAAAAAGGAAATAAATATGATGTTGATATGTTAATCCGTTTCCATGGTTACGACAGTGTTTCTAATTCCTCAGTTAAAACTGATGAAATAGTTCGTATGAACATTTATCCAAACTTCAAATGAAAACAACAGGAACTTTGTCAAGTAAATCGGTTTCCGTGTTTAGTAACGTGTTTCTGATTCTCGAAACTAATGAAATAGTTCGTAGGAATAATTTTCCAGGCGTAAAATAAAAATACCAGAACTTGTTCACCGACAAAGATTTGTTTTGGTTCCTGCAAAGTGTCTCTTCTCAGAGATAAGACTTGAAGAACGGCTTTTGGTCTACAATCACTCTTGCAACCAGTATTCCAGGTTTTGTAATTGAAGCCTACATTTTCTTGGCCCCTGATCCAGATCTGATCAATAAATTTGACCCCTGGTTTACTGTGGGCACCTCCGTTGCCTTTCTTCATTGTTGCTACCTAGTCCTCCTCACAAACTGTTTGTAGGAGTGGGTGAAGTAAATCACATTCATAGACGCCCGAGTTATCCGAAACAGGTACCAAAAGTCTTTGTCCTAGAATCGCTACTGTGAAGGCCCCAAAAAGGCCCTTACAATTGTTAATGGTATAGTTTTCAAGTAATCCAATCGGCAATGTTTTCGTGGATAATATAAACAATCAATCAATATTCACCTGGACGAATAGACTTCGTAGAGCACGGAGAACAGCGACCGAAAAAAAGTTTTCCATAGCAATCCCGGCTAAGGTGCTCAACATGTTCATTGAATTATAATTTTTTTGTGAAAACAACACCAAGATTTTTGATTTCATACAGTTTACAGTTTAACATTGTTAATGGTATAGATTCCAAAGAACCCGAACAGCAATGTTTTCGTCAGTAATATAAACAATCAAATCAATATTCATCTTGATGAGTAGACTTCGTAGAGCACGGAGAACATCGACCGATAAGACCAAGTTTCGTATAGAATTCCCGACCAAGGTGTTCAAAATGTTCATGAAGTACAAATGTTTATGTAAAAGCAACACCTATATCTTTGATTTCATACATTTTCCAGTTTATAATTGTTGATGGTATAGATTTTAAAGAACCTGAGGGTGGTTATTTTGAATTGTTCTTGGGGTTGTCTGGAATAGATGTTCCGTCTGATTGTTCAGTTTCTTCTTGATGCATAGGACAGTTAATGTTGCTTTTTGTGGAAGAATGTATGCATCAGTTTACACAGTTCATTAAAACTCGACAAAGACCGCACCTGTTATGCAACTTTAGATTTATGCTTCGACTTTTAGACGAATCTATCAATGAGATTTGACATACAACCATCGAAGCTTTGTTCCACCTTGCTCACTAACCCAAGTGAAAAATGGTCCTAAAATTACAGCCATCAAACTGTACAATCACTTACCTCGTACAATTACTCAGATTAGCTGCTTCAAACAGTTCAAATAAAAAATTACAATTTTATTGAAAGAGACCCCTTTTACTTCCTGCAAGAGTTCTTTGAAAACCAATTTTAACATGTTTAATGTATGTAGATGTTATTTTAGTGATGTTATTACTGCTAGTATAACATATAATGTCATTTTGCTATGTCCCATTTTATTCTACTATTGTTCTATGTGAAAACAGTATGATCACAAAAGTTGTAGGTCTCTATAATCAACAACTTTGCTATTCAACTCTTTTCCATAGGGCTCGTAGTTTCGCTGGAAATCAAGATGAACCGTTTTTCACCCTTTCAATGAGTTTCATCCTACTATGATTTTTCTTCACATTTCACCGTTTTCAAAGGCTTCAGAAATGGTCTAATAGTCAATAATGAATAAATAAATATCCACCTGGACGAGTAGACCTCGTAGAGCACGGAGAACAGCGACCGGATGAAGGCAGCGGCCAGCCCACGCTCCTCCCGCAGACAGGCCACCCGCGCGTCCCTCGACGCGGAGAGCGGTCGGCCGGGCGTCGGCGCCGGCTCCACCGGACTGGCGCCGGCGACGGTCGGCGCGAACCGGCGCTGGACGGGGCGCGACGTGCCCGTGTCCTCGTTGATCTGCTGCATCAGGTGGAAGTCGATGGTGTAGATGCGGCCCAGCGTGTTGAGGCTCACCTGGAATTGTGCACAAACAAGATGATCAAAATATTACAGTCTGTATAATATTTCTTTGCGCGTACGTCACAACTTCAAAAAACGAATTAAATCAATTCAAGGTCATATGTTCCAGTGAAGCAGTGCCGTGCTGCTTATGAGATTGGGTTAAAATAAATAATAATATTCAGAACATTTTTGTTCAGTACTCTATGTCATGTATCAGAACTTTGGTATGTATATACGTATGGGTTAGTGTATGACCCGATAAACACATCTATTTAATGCTTTTGTGAGGTATTCTGTGGTCGTGGCAAAGCCGAACACTGTTCCACCTGTTGAGTCGTTTAGGTTCCACAAAACCACCACTACGGTCAGCATGAAGTACAATAAATCGTTTCCCATCATAACCTTCTGGTTTACGAATACTTTTTGTATTTTGATCTTGCCATAATCTCATCTTATTCCCTTTCGCAAATATCCAAGTTTCAGCTAAGAAGACGAATTGTTTAGGGTAACTAGAATTACAATTTTCATAAAACTTTCTGACCAACTCTGCTCTCATTATGGATATGTCCATCTTCTCAGCCAATAACCGTCTGTTGTCTTCTTTTTTATATTTGAATCCTACATTTGTGAGGAGTTTGCTCAATGTGCCTATACTTGCGTCAAGAATATGTTTAGTTCTGAGTTATTTTTTCGAAATTCTGAGAGTGATGTGTTTTTCTGTAAAATAGTCAGTTGAAGGTAGTCAAGAAGTATCAAATGAAATCACTTATTTTCTGCACACATAGTATATATAGATCACATTGCGTACTTCCATTTTCAAATTATCATTTAGATCTACTGTCTTGGGTTTTTTTAGGCCTAAATTTCCCTGGCGTATTCAAACTTTCGTTTCTCTCAGAACGTACTTTAATACTCGAAACTGTCCGCAGACTAATATTGAGGGCATCAGCGACACGCTAAAATTATGTACATCATGATGACATTCTTGAAGTAAAGTTTGACTATTTTTATTATTGATCAGAAATAATTATGATTTACCTGTTTTATGGAAGTAAACGGGATTAAAGGGCCATTATTATCTTTCTCTCTTATGAAATATTGTCTCGATACAAAACTTCGTGATTGCGAATTCAAACGTCTTCCTGGCATGTTGAATATTATTTGACAATGGCCACGCAAAACGATGTCATTTCAGCACCTACTGCACGCCTCTGAATTAGCCGATTCAAATGTGTCTCGACATACGAACACCTCTGTATTCAAGCTTTTAACCCGTTGAGTTCAAAAACGATGTCGTAACTTATGTCAACAAACGTCATGATAGACATTGCTGCTCTATATGCAAGTCTGAAGAGGATAGCAGGATGCGTGTAGGTCTATACTGATTTCAGTCACAAGTAAAGAAATATTATACAGACTGTATTGATCCACATTCAACATTATTCATAATTCAAGAAACTCTTCTGATGGGTAACATGTTATTGACTATTAAAGACTATAGAAAGCTATATGAAGAGTTGGACACTGACCCCATCATGGGAATGCCAACGGATGGCATAATTTCAAAATATAACTTTGAAAAAACTTTCAAAATAAGTATAACGGACAGAGAGGCATGGAAGGAAGGACCTCCTATCAATGCAGACATTGCTGTCTATTCGCGGGAATCAATGTTACCCGGTGGCGCTCGGTTTCCATCGTTCCATGTCAAAGCCACGTCAAAACTGGGGGAAAACAAACTCAATCCTCACTCAATCCCATTAGTGCCATAAGCTTGTGTACTGTGTATTGATAAGAGTGATAACACCTCATGTCATTGACAAGTTTGACAACTACAGCTACAGCATGATGTATGCAATGTAGTCTATGCACTTTACCCATAGACAACAATTTGTTTTCCCCCAGTTTGAAGTTCGTATTATGTAACCTAGATGTCGCCCACTTCGTGAATCTCGCGAATAGAGATATTCCCGGTCATGTGTGAGTGCTGGTACACATCTACCGTGTATTTAAATGGGAATATTGAGAGGTATGGCGTGGCACAATAATGTATTAAATTGACAGAGATTTTTTTTATTTTCTAGAGACATGGCGGATAATACAATGAAATTGGAATAACCATTTAATGTTTCAAATTTTCTTATGAAAATGCAGAATTATAAGCAACAGTAACGTATTTTTACAGAGAAAAGTAACTAAATAAAAGCGTCTGTTATTATATATTTTTTCACATTTTCTTTGTGGAAACATGGCCAGTGACTAGGTATTTGTACCATAGGTGGACACGGCAGTAGAGAAAAATAAATAAACACATTTTGTTTTTTGACTTTTACTTGAAACAAATACAAATGAAGTGATTACGGCTAAAAGAATATGCTGGCCCACTAAACCCGCTACATTTTTTTCTCCAAATTTGCGTGGCAGTCAAAGTGTTGACTGAATTACGTGATAATTCAATAACATCATATTTTTCACACCAACCTCATCGTCCCCCGTAAGATGGGCAGCCTCGATAATCCTGCTATCCACTGCGCCGTACGGATGCCAGAGGGCGCGATCGTCTCTCCACTGCCATATCGGCTGGTCCTTGATGACGCTGGTAGGGCGCTCCAGTAGAGCGTCGACGGCGAATATGCCGTCGGTCGGTAGTTTAGGCATCAGCTCGCCGATGAGGGCGGTTATTTCGAATTGCTCTTGAGGTTGTCTGGAATAGATGTTCGTCTGAATGTTCGGTTTGTTAGTGCGGGGTCGGAGAGTTGATGTCGCTTTTTGTGGAAGAATGTATGCATCAGTTTACACAGTTCATTAAAACTCGACAAAGACCGCACCTGTTATGCAACTTTAGATTTATGCTTCGACTTTTTGACGAATCTATCAATGAGATTTGACATACAACCGTTGAAGCAACAATATTCCATACAAGATAAGGTTTCAAAGAATAACTGATGAATATACACCTTATGTACCGGATATCTCCGTAGCCAACCGCTCTGGTTCCTTGCATCTTCAGAGTTGGTATACAGAGTGTGAGATTTCAACCCGCAACACCCTTCTAATTTAGAATCCGTCGACCGATTTACAAAAACAAAAATTTCATAATATAGTACTCAACGAACTCTATTCGAGAATGCGAACAAATATTAAATATTTAGATTTTCAAGGCCTACTTTGGTTTGTTGAAGGGGGGGGTCAAAATATCAAAAACGACTATTAGGCATTTTTTCATCAAAACTGTGACAAGCCTTTTCGATTCATGCATAGCTGAAATTATCCCAAACATAATTTGAACGCAAAATCTCATATAGAGTGTTAGTTATTCAGTGGCGAATTTTGATATTTTCGATTTTTCGATTCACTCTTTATCAAAATCTAAGGAATTGATATAACCGGTGAAGTAGTCATTCAATGGAGGAACAGATCAAATACTTATATACGAGGTTTCATCGTTGTAACTTCTACAGAAAAATCTATCTTGGTCAACCAAACATTATTAAAATTGAAGTTGACATTTTTTATTATGATCCATATCTATATTTCCTCGAAATATAAATAATGATAACTAATTGGAGGATATAATTCTCTATAGATAATGATTTTCATTGTCATCTCATATTATTATGATATGATCGATATACCTGTGTTACCTGACAACCCAGTAGTTCGCCCAGGTAAATAGTAGACAACCCAACGGCTGCACATTCTATACGTTATATACTTTCAGTCAGGACAAAATTTGTTTATTATCCCGATGTTGCAACATTTAATTAAAAATCATTTTTCGAAAAATAATTGAAAATAGTCTGCCCAGGATTTTTTTAGCGAACCCATTTTTAATATGTTTTCTAATATACTAAATTCATGATAAAATATATTTCGTTCTATTATCAGCTCGGTGAAGGTCGATTTAGGTTCGGATCTTCTACTATAAGCCTGAATCGAATGGGCTAGTCACTGTTTCAACAAAAAATTGCCTAATAGTCGTTTTTGAAATTTTGACCCATTCACAATCAAAAGTATGCCATAAAGATCTGAATATTTCAGATTTGTCCACATTTTCGAATAGAGGTCGTTGAGTAGTAGTGTTTTTGAAAATCGGTCAACGGGTTCCAAATTAGAAGGGTGTTGCGGGTTGAAATCGCACACACTGTATGGTTATTGGTAAATGAAAATATTTACTAGTCATTTTCATTGACAAACTGGTTTCTGTTATATAGGACATTGAATTAACAGGAGTATTCAATTCAATATTCCATTTTGTAGTTTTGCAGGCAGATGTTTGTGGACAGCTGTACCCTACCATTACCATCAATCGACATCTTAAAGACTCTATTGCACGTCAGGCACAACCTGAATAGACCATGTAAAAATTCTGACTGCCATGATTATTTCACAAAAAACTCCAATAACCTTATATCAAAACATATTGTCAAAGTTTGAAAAATCTGCGAGCTATGCTGGAATCAAGTTGTATAACCACCTACATCAAGTAATCAGAGAGATGCCAAAAGGTACATTTAGAAATGTCCTGAAACCATTGCTTGGTAAAGGGGCATCGATAAGTACTATGCATGGAACTGTGATGATTTCTATCAATTGTCTTTGTTTACATATGTTATCAACTAGTTATATTGGTTTGTACATTCTAATTTTGTGTACTGAGATGCATTGTATTTTAGAATTGTAGCTATACTTTGACGTATATATTCACCTATGGTGGTAGCTGTGGAGATATGAATAAAATCAATTCTATACCTGGGTATTCCAGTTCTCTGTCTATCAACGAAAATGACGTTTCGAATGTATTTTATCCAGTTGCTAACCTTGAATAGAATATATCAATCTCGTAAGTATACGTACAGCCCTACGAGAGAAAAATCAATGGAAAATCTTTCAAATACCCATAACCGATAATTTCCAATATCTCTAGAAGTCGGCCTTATCATTTCACTAGCGAATTTTCCAAGCTCATTTGGCCACAAACATGCATACAATGAACACAAACAAAAATATGGATGTCGATGTCAATCGCACAACCAAAGAAACATTACGATTTAAGTAACGGTGTTCACTGATGGATCTTCATCAAATGATGGATTGTTCTAGGTCTCAAATAAGACTATTATTCAGTCACCAATCCATGCAAAGTACTTGACCTAAATGGAATTCCCTGATGAATTTAGCAACACGATGTATCTAACATTCTGATGATTTTGACAGTCCTAAATCGCAATCTAACTGTTAATGAAGGCGATATACGATAAAAAAGGTAAAAAAGGTGTAAAAACTAATGATATTGATTTATGATATGAAAATAAGAAAAAATTACACTCTGCGACTGTCATACATTTTTCAGATTATTCTCAATACTTATATATGGCCCATTCAAGTTGAATAGTAGATATTTCAAAAATTGGAAAATGTAAAATACTTACATACCCTGACAGATCGGTACAAAATGATACAACGAATATTCCACACCAAAATAGGACGACAGAATCAAACTAATCTCTATAGCAAAATGCTATTTACAAGTCGAATGCGTTGAAGTTGACATGTTTTTCAAATATTTTCTTGAACATACTTGTATTTGGTACATTCAAGAATAATTGAATCAATGCAGATTACCACTCAATTTCACAATGTCTTATCTTTATGTTGTTTCTTTTACGGAACAGTTCGATTTTCAAACTAGATTCAAATATGAATTGAAAATTGTTGTATACAAATATTATCATTCAATATTTCCCGAGTCGTAATCACTAGTTGACAATTGAACGGAATATCATCCCATAATATCAGCTGTACCTAAGTACGTGCTACATGAACAACATTCGGAAAATATCCATTGGTGACTCGGCAACTGCGCTGTGCGATCTACTAAATACAAGAAGTGAAGCGATGTAGCCACGTTTTCCAATGAATCTCCTCTTATGGTGTGAATTATCAATAAATGCAAATATCTCATACACATCTATTACCAGTATAAAGGGAATATTATCCAATTAAGAATGAAGCATCTAGGAATAATACCACATATCAGGAGATCAATAAATCATGATTCATAAATATTGACAACCAAGTGTTTCACACGTGATGTCAGTTTAGGAGTGGCAAATTTTGACAGTGACTTCATTTGTGATTTTGAAATCGCAGAACCATTCAGAAAACTTTTGAAAAACAATAAATAATTATATCATCCGAAAGGTATATATTTTCGAGAAGCCATACCTCGGTATCAGTTCGACGTCCTCCTGGTTAACCTCCGCCGACCCAGTCAGCAGGTACACCAAGGTCTCGGCGATGTTCTGCTTGAGCAGGGTCAACGCCAGATCGGGGCAGTTCGCGCACATCACCGACAGCATACGCAGCACCGTTATGAACGTGCCCGTGCTGACTATCGGAGGCGCGACGACGAGCAGCTGCTGCAGGTTGGTCAGCAGCTCGGCGCTCGAGATCTCCTGCAGAAGGGTTCGGAAGAATGTCAGTTTTGATTTGTACTTACATACTACAGAATACTCTTAAATAAACTGGAATACTATGGCATCAGGGGTATGTCTCTTAATTGGTTCAGAACTTATCATTTGAAACGACAATTTCTAGTTAAATTGGAACATAAATCTGGAGACACTTTACAAACTCACTACTCTGAAAGCGCGCCAGTTCTGACGGGGGTGCCTCAAGGTTAAATTCTGGGCCCTACTTTATTTATTATTTAAATTCATGATATTGTCTGTAACTTTCCATCAGTGACATTTTCACTATTTGCGGATGATTGTGATACACGAGAAAAACAGTCAACTACTACAAAATACAGTTCAGGAAATTATGAATGACATTCTCGATTGGTTCCTAGCAAATAAGCTTCCCCTCAACATCAATAAAACACACTCCATACTCCTCAGTCTATATGCTAACACCTCAAACATCGAGATAACTCTATATGAGACACCACTTAATTCACAAGATTCGACCAAATTTTTGGGAATATCAATTGACAAAAAATTATCATGGGCTGAATAAATTAATTGAATAATAGATTATCCAAAGCTACATTCGCCTTACAAACTATCAAACTTAGTACCAATCTGAAAATAGCTAAATCAGTGTACTATGCTCACTTTCATAGTATCTTACACTATGGAATAACTTTCAATATTCATAAGAGAGCCATCCGTTCACTTTTTGGTCTGAGCTCTAGAGATTCATATCGCGATTACTTCAAAAATCACAAAATATTTACACTCACTTCCCTTTATATCTATGAAGTATCTGTGTTGATACATAAAAACAATTCCAAATTGACCCGCTCTTCGGACAAACATTCTTACGCGACACGCAATCAATCACTTACATTGCCAAACTATAGATATAATAGAACAAGAAACGGTCCTCTATATATGGGAATCAAAATTTATAATCATCTCCCAGAATGCATCAAAAGTAGTACAGTTAGGAAATTTAAATCTGAGCTGAAGAAAATCCCACACCGCCACAATGAATTAAAAACGTCAATACCTGATTTGAATACTCCTATCAGTGGTTCCAATTCAATTCATTAACAAGAAGTAAGACGACTGACATTTGCTAAGCCTGTCTTTATCAAATTTGAAGTTGATAGTCAAGGGGGAGGAAGAATCGAAAGCCCGAGCAAAAACTCTATCTCTAGCCTCAAACTGATGCAACTTCTAAAAAAATATGGGGAATATTTGAAAATTAATTAGGTTTGCTCATTGAATTAATTATTGATGATAAATTATTTGAGATTATGAGCAATACTTCTCAAGTAACCGACAGCTCAAGTATTTTCAAAATCTTCTACAATATTTCACTCTCTTGTCTAGATCAACATACAGGGTGTTCCTTAAAGACATGCTAATATTTGGAGGGTGATTCTTTGACTCATTTTAAGGAGAAAACTTCATTATGTCCTAAAAGTCTTAACTTCAGAGATACAGGGTGATGAAGTTTTGAAAAATATTCAGTTTCTTGATAATAACTTAGACAATATTGTATACATCTTCATGAAATTTGGTACACGTCTTTTATGCATCGAGGTGCATTTTAGGATGTACACAAATTTTCATTTTCTCTACCAGTGGCACCGTTACGGGAATTTTATTGTTTATATTTTACTGAAAAGTGAGCAGCGACGAGAATTTTTCAAATTTCGTACAATGATATGAAAGGCTATTCAACTATGTACAAAAAAGATCCTCTTGTTGATACTTGATAGAACGCTTCGTTTCAGAGAAAAAACGGAAAAACGATACCAGACTTCAAATTTTGATATTTTCAACATGGAGAGTTTAGTTCTTGTATCAAAATGCATCATTTTATCACGTGTCTTTTCGGAAATATTCAAGAAATATCATCTTCAGGAGCACCCTTTCAGGAGGTCGTAGCTTCCTTAGGAGGCATTTCTCGACTCATGTTCATTGGAACTTTTCTTCCTATTTTTAGTCGTAGAAGCCGTTGGTGTAGTTTGGCAGGCTAATTTCGAGACACCCTGCATAATCATGCACTTCTTTATACCAGAGCCTATTCTGTCTGGAAGTTATTCTTTCAATAAATAAATAAACCCTACCTGCAGCCGGACCGGCTCCAGCTGAAAGCTGTCCACCAGCCGCGAGAACGCCAGACACACGCTCTCCACGCACTTCTTGTCCTGCTGAGCGAGCCGCGACGCTAGTAGCGGCAGCGAGTCCTGCACGTGCTGGAACTCCTCGGCGGCGAGGTTGAGGCAGCAGTTCGCCGTCACCGAGAGAGCGTTGCGCTGCGCGTTGATGGAGAAGAAGTCGAGGTACATCAGGCAGGCCGACACGCCCCTCTGAAAGGCAGAAAGCACCGATGAACGAATATGCATGATACATATTTCTCCTCGCCTTTTTCAATAATTGAATTTCAGAGAGGTCAAGATGTTTATCAGGAAGTATAATTTTAAAGTCATAATTATGGTGCGCCACTGTTCGTGAGTGTTCTCGAAGGTAGGACTGGAGCAATGTGGAGGAGTCGGCTAGGACTGAAAAAACGGGCAGTGAAGAGATAGACGAATGTGACAGAGCACTAGCAGCGTGCGCTTGGTTCTACTACGTAAATAATGCCGGCTTTATTCGCGAGATTCACGAAGTGGGCAACATCTAGGTTACATAATTCGAACTTCAAACTGGGGGAGAACAAACTGTTGTCTATGGATAAAGTGCATAGACTACATTGCATTCAGCTGCTGTAGCTGTAGTCAAACTTGTCAATGACATAAAGAGTTGGCACCGTTGGTATTGATGATAGTTGAGTTGGTTAATTTTTTTACATTATTACATTTTTATTAGTTTAGTGAACAGTGAATGGGTGAAGAATTGGAGATAGTTCAAACATTTCAAACTAATTATGACGAGCAAATCAATTGACATATAAAATAACAGCTACAAAATGAATACAATACCCAGATTGTCCTGCTTTGCATGAACAAATACAAATCCATTATTCTACAGGAGTTCCTCTGGACCCCAACTTAAATTTTACTTCATGTGGGGAAAATATCATCGCCGAAGTTTGTAGACAAAGTGCAAAAATGTGCCTTCTATTGAAGTCTTCTGCCTCACACAAAATCACATGATTAGCACGGAGAACTGCTTCTCCTTCCACTACTGGTCGGCTTTTTCCATCTAAATAGAGCAAAATATCTGGCAAAAGAACATCTACAACAGGCATTCTTAGCGTTTTCGATCGAATATTGACAATTAATGTTAAGAAATTTAAAAACTTATCACTCTTATCAGTACACAAGCTAATGGCACTAATGGGATTGAGTGAGGATTGAGTTTGTTTTCCCCCAGTTTTTGACGTGGCTTTGACATGGAACGATGAAATCTGAGCGCCACCTGGTAACATGGATTCCCGCGAATATTTCAGAATAATAACAGAAATGTGTTTGTTCAAGTATTGGAGATATTCCAAAAATAACTAAAATATCATCCTATCATCCAGTAGGCTCACAGTTAATTTCCATTTTGTGAATACAATAATTATCAATTTAAGGATATCACTTAACTGGAGTGCCTTGCTGGATTCGATTTGATTTAATGAACTTTCAGGGAAAAAGATTTACGACAGTTACGATTTTCTTGCAAATTCGCTGTTTTGAAGATTGTACTATTCCATTGGAATACAGTTGCTACTTGTTCGTCTATATGATTTTGTGAAGATCTTAATTTAAATTCTAAGTACCTACCAGACTCTGAGATTGATATTAACCCATCATAACTAAGAGATCTAGAATGAATAGAGATGTCTCAATAGGCACTCATTACTAGAAACATTTATTTCATATTAATATTAAATTTCATTCAGAGAGTCATAAAAGAATAAAGGTGTATCCTCTCTTTGGGCTGTAGCTGACATGGCATGGCAAGAGAATTTGAATAGATTTACATTCCATAAGTTTCGAGGCCAGATTATGTGTGGGTTTGATTAATAACGAGATTTTTTTTTGTTCTGGTTCCCACGAAAAGGGATATCCTGTAATGTTCAGAGAACATCGTGAAAACCAAGGGAAATGAGGTAGGAATTGGTGTTCTTCTTAAATTTCTGGAGGTTATATGCCTCGGGGAACGACAAAACTTTGTAAAAATATGGAATGAAGATGAACCCAGAAAGAACCAGTGATGCCCTATTGAAGTAACCAGTTGGGAAACGGGTCACTTTGTGTGACGAAAGCGAGATCCTGCAAAACACAACACATTTCGATATGCAGAATTACCTTAGTATAAGGACGACACTAAAGTCCAAAGCTTTTTGTCAAACTAATGTCGTTCTGAATGAACCCATAAGCACCGCAGTCCGAATCGCACTCAAATCACTTTGAGTGAGCTATGATTGGTTCGATTAACGCTTAGAACGCTTGTAAATATTCACTTTGTCATTATGACGTCATTGATTACGTCATTCCTCGCGCTCAGAGTGCTCACAGTTCAGAGGTGGAGCGGTCTCTAAGCGCTTCTGTCAATAGTGTCACTACTGTCATCTGAAACTTGAGAAAGTAAACATGGGGACAAAACTCCAAAACTGTTGTACAGAATACTGAGACAACTTTCTCTGCATAATTTTCGATAAGAGGTATTAGAATCGATTAATCTCTATAAGTATGAAATTGAACAAAGGCGTTATATTATACAATGGCTGCATAATGAGAGAACAATTGACCAACGTTTCTCCATTTTTACAAGCTCATATGGCATAAACAAATTAATGAATTGATAAAAAAACTAAGGAAGACACTCTATATATTCAGGTTACTAAGAAACATTGTCAAATGGAAATTGATAGTTGGATATCAACTGAGAAATTCCCTTCAACTTCAATGCAACATGCCATTCATATAATTTTCGTTTCTTGATATTATCTAGAAAATGGAAACTCATCAGTGCTGTGAAAAAACATACGTGAGATGATGGCATGAAAGCTAAGAAAGGCAAGGTAGGAACTTCTTATATATTATATAAAACTTGCTTATCGTGAATACCTTCATTTCCGAATATCAATTATAAATAATAAAAACTAATTTTTGTTAGCTTGTCACAGAATTAACACTTAAATGAGTTATTTACAGTTCATAAAATGGCTTTCCTTCTGCTATCCATGACATCTACTTTACTCTTAAAAGAATTACACCATGCTTATTTCTGAAGTTTCAACCCACTATGACATTTTGAATATCAAAATAGTTGCCCTAAGAACACTAAGTTGCATTATAATATATCATATTGCCACCAGTGATTGAATTAACAAAATTTTTAATGTCGCCACAATGAAACCAAATCACAATAAACTAATGTTAGCGAGCTCCTCACAGAATTAACACCGAAATGAGATACTTACAGCTTGTAGAATAGCCTTTGAGTGTCTTCTGGACAACATGTCGAGGGCGGTCAAAGACTGCTCGGCAACGTCCATGCACTGAATAACTTGCAACTTCTCCAAGAATACGGGCACTGCATCGACCACGACGGCCGAAGATCTGGGCAAGGCTTCCATCATGTAGGTCAAAGCACGACAAGCGTGATTCATCTAGAAAAAAGTTGCAATTATTAGAATCTGACATGTTCTGAGCTCCGTTAGTAGTGTTCTTGCTCCTACTAGAAAGCCATCAAATAAGTAATTAGTTTCCTCATGCCCTAGTGTACAAGTAAATACATTAATAAAGTCTTCAAAAAATATAACCAATTGGGTCAGACAAATTATTGTCAATTCTTGAATTACCATAACCATTAATGATTTTCAATCGGAATCTAGCATTCAAAATCTTCACAGCTCTGAATTTATCAGTGGCATATAGAGGAGTTCATCTTGAGGCCTTTTAAAATTAAACATGCGCAACAAGCGAATTTGGTTTTGCTTCAAGGTGAAATGTTAGTAAATCGAATGTTGGGTTTTTCAACAAATTTCTACGTACCGCAAGAAGAATACTTTTAATACAATAACGGTGAATTTGATGAATTATCTTCCATCATAAATGAATATGGACTATAGACACAAGTAATGCATCATCAATATGAAATAATAACCAATGTATACAGGCAGAGAGCACAAAACAATAAATAAAATGGGTAAACATATCTTGAAAGTACAACTAATCGGTATTCCCCTGTTATAATTTTCAAATGAGATTTGAGGCTTGAGAAGCTTCTTTAGGCAAAAGTGGAAGGTTTCGGAAGGGTGCCCACTATCTTCCCAATATACACCACTCAAAATCTCAATGCAATAATACGATAGAACACATCCTAATGAAAAGATTCACATGGTTTTGAAAGCAGAAGTAACTTGTTCAATAATGGTTCTTCTAAATGTGATTATGTTATTGGAATTCTGATTGCTTCAATTGCATTGATTGTCCGGTCAATCCCTTTAAAAAATTGTAATTTTTCTGACGAAGGGTTCTCGAGTATTCAGCCCTATGGAATCACTGTAGTGTACATTTTCTTTGTTACATGACCGAACACTTGATTCGCCAAACTGAAGAGAAAATTTTTTTTTTTGAAGAAATTATTACACTTTTTTTATCTTTTGTTAATGTTAATGTTCTTGGAACATCGTGTCGAATGTTAGAAACCAGATATTTACAGAATATCTTTTCCATAACATATCAGAAACAAGAAAACTACAAAAGTACTCCAAACAAGCCATTTGGTTCAGATTATTCACATATTATTAACAGTAATATACAAGTAATTGTTTCTAAAATGTCAACTCACTATGTCGAAATTGTGTTCCATCCCTAACAGAGTGATAAGGGCAGGAACTACTTGTTTGACAGGAAAGCCGTTCAGTATTTCTTCGTTTCCCATAACTAGTACTTGACACATTTCGATGACTGCTTGAAGTTGTTGACCTTCGTCTCCGGTGGCTTGTAGACCAGGAATTAGGGCTTGGGCTCTTGCTACAGCTGCAACAATCATCACGATGTTTTCATCCAATAAAACCGTTGAATGCATGTTTCAAACATCCATATGAATTGAGATAGTGGAAAAGTAAGGTAGTTTTTCATCAGATTTTGAGTTCTAATTTTTTTTTCTTCTTACATATCCTATGAAATTCACATTAATTATTTCCATTCAATCTCTAAGGAAGAATACATATTGTTACCAATTCCACCATCAGATAATGACAAGAGACTTGGCAGATCATTGATTAAATACAGTTCTGAAATTTAAATCGAATAGTTGTGATAATCAAATATGAATATTTTTCTACACACGCTGCATTCTAGGTGGCAAAGAGGCAAGTTTAAATTTGCTGTTCAGCGTTGATTTGGCGAAACATTGAAAACGAATCTCTTCCAAACCCTCTCTATACATGTTGCCACCATATAAGGCTACAAGAGTACTCCGGCCTTGGCAATCTCCTCTGGCGTGGCATCTTCTCGGTTGAAAAGTCCATTTATTATATGAACCACTCTGTTATTTTCTATCAATCCATTCAATTCGAGTATTGCCTAAGAGAATATTAGGGATGGAAATTTTGGAGATATTCCCTCATTCCACTATACCTATTTTCATGTTATTTTCATTTTTCACATATTTATTGATGGAAATCACAAAGAGGAATCAATACATTAGAAAAAGAAATTATTTCAAACACAGATTTCATATAATATAATCCCCTTCTTCCACAATAAACGGTATTTTGTTCGTAACACAGTGCATTTAAAAATAACACGATTGTGTTTCCTTCTTTGGTAAAATTCATGTGGACATTTCTAAAGAACAACATGGCTATGCTAGTTTAGTTTGGCCCAAAATGTTAATTATTCCCTTCTCCTAAGCGATTCATTTATGACCCCTATCAATACCTACTAGAAAGCAGCTGTGCTCTCGCTAACTGCCTATCTGAAAAGGTTAAGGCAACCTATAAATATAAAATCAAAGCAGATTCTCATCGAAAATTATCTCAATATGATTTGCATTAACTAAAATTATTTATTTCAGTTATTAACAGCCAAATAACAATATTTAATCCTTTTTTTTTCAAATAGCTGTAAGTCCTAACATATGTGTCCAACAATTTTTTTTACATAAAAGTAGGAAATTTTGTCCTCTTCAACTTTGTGTTGAACATCTTTTGTCGTAATAGCCACAGTTTTTGAGTTATTATCAAAAAAATAAATGTTTGCACATAAAATCCGAGATGGCGGTTCGAGCGCATGCACCTCGAGGTAGAAAACTTGGATTCATCATTTGAGCTCCAAGCCTAAGCCTAACAACTTATTAACAAATCGCTACCACCCCACCTTTTGCATTCCAACACCTCTTATTCGATATACCCGATATACCCACGTACTGGACTAAAAGACGCAAATATTTATAGGCACTTCTCAAAATGTGACTCTAGGTAGCAAAGTCTTTTCGAAGGACAATCAATTCTATTTAATTTTCATCTTAAAATGTGTAACATATGGGTAAACCAACATTTCCGATTTCAGCGTTTTGGGAAGCAACCATTGCTACACATCAAGAAACTTCATTTTGAATATACCAATACACAAAACATCAACCTTGAAAAAATATACCTTGTATGACTGCATATCTCTGTATAACAAATACCAAAACACTTGAAAGATATCATTAGCTACGCACAATTCAAAATCGCAATATTGCATAACCGTCTCAGAATCGACATGGGGAGAATGTTCAAATTGTACTATTAATAAAGATTGTTGGAAACAAAATGTAGTGATACCAAGCATCGAAATGGATGTCTTCAAAGGTATGGTTACTCCTGACAAGCTTATGTTGGGCATAGAGAGAAAAGGCATGCTTGTGTTTTGTTTGCATTGAAATCTACCAAGTTATTGGATCCCCATTGGAGAATTGTTTTTATCCTCAGGGATTTTTTATTAATGCCGTCTTTCAGTACGAGTCTCATGCATTTGAGTTGTGACGGTTTGTTCAATTCAAAAACCGAATTTTGCGAAATTTCTAGTTGTGACTGTCCTTTTCTTAGGTAGCGATGTCTTTTCGAAGGGCGATCTAGACATAACGATACTCACAGCTGTTGGACCCCATGCTGCGGTGCAGCATCTGCTGCATTCGAGGCCCGAGCGCCCCGAACAGGTGGGGCGGCAGGCCGCGCGCCTCCAGCAGCGCCTGCAGCCGCCCCACCTCGCTGTCGTCGCTCTCAGAGTCGGGGCCGCCCCCTCCGCCCGCAGGGTGAGGGGCGCCGCCCGCCGACGGGACGGCCTGGGCGGCTTCTTGCGGCGACGGCGGTTCCTCGGAAGCTGCAACAACGAAAAGTTCATTATAGAATTGATGGAATGATGCAGAATATGACATGAAGTACAAAACTCCTGTATTAGATTAATTTTTGGCATAAAGAAAAGGAACAATATCTCACTTAAATTCAAAGAACTGGGTTGGTTAAACATGTATAACAGACGTCACCTTTACATGGTATGTCTATTTCACAAAGTCCTAAAATCCGGATCCCCTCCATACCTACCCTATAAGCTCTCCTTCAGAACTGATATACACAATTTAAATATTCGTCGTCTTACAAAACTGACTGTTCCTAAGCATAAGAAAGACACTTTCAAATGTTCCTTCAGCTATAATGCTGCCGCAGTTATCAACAAAGTGTACACTATAGACTGTTCCCTTTTGACGTAATTCATAAATTCCTTTAAAAGAAATTACAAAAAAAATTTACTGACAAACCAAACAAGCTAACTGACTAACTTTCGAATCACTTTTGAATCCCAACATAAACTAATACCTATGTACATATGATAATATAACTCCATGCTGAACAAACATGAACATTGCGAGGAAAATCAACTAGTTCCATTATCTGCTCCAATTTTAGCAAATCATAGCAAAAGTTGGCAAATTTTTGCAATTTTTAGCAAATTTCAATTTTCTACTTTCTCTACTTTTCATCCTCTATCTTTTCTCTCTTCTCTTTTTTTTTACACTCGTCATCCACTAAGAGTACTTCCATAATATGTGGCGCTGGTGGTAGAACAAAAGTGTAAGGCTGCCGTTTCACATTCTGAACCAGAATGCCTTTTGTTCACAAAGGTACCAACTTGTACGATGTATGAATGTTATTTTTGTTTTCATCTTGGTGAACAATAAAAGTATTATTATTATTATTATTATAGTTTCATATACACCGATAAATATCCAGTTATACAAGTCTCAACACAAAAACATCATATAACTGTGACATGAACTATTTTAACCACGAAATATTATATGATAAACATAAAATGTCAAGGTTTTTAACGTTTTGGAAAGGTAACCTTATATAGATTCAAAATGAAACAAGATTATATTAGTTGAAACAAGAAATTTGAAAGATAATCATTTGATTCCAAAAAGATATCGTTTCACAGTTATACAAGTATTATTTGAGTTCCATTCCTTCTTCATCATTTACCATATTTGCCATACTCGCTCAGCACAATGAATAATCTCCCTCACTTATGAACACTTGTTCCATCAGAATCGTTAGTTCTCTATGCAAGGACATATTGGTCTGCAGCAGCTCGTGAACCCTTTCTATAGGGTGATATTTTTTTTTTCAAAAAAGTGAAGACAGAGTTCTTCTGGAAATTTTAGAGACCAACCAAGTATAAGATTTGTTGAGAAACGATAAAACGGTAATGTATCCGAAATTCTTCCAATTTGGATGAAATTTTGTAATTTCAAACAACCCCACTAATCACTCTAGTGAAAAAAGCATGGATTCACAGTTATATCGGTGATAGATTGTATTGCGTATACAGTATGTCCAAGATAGGGATGTCTTCGTGTCCTTATCTGAGACACGGTGTATTCATAGTAAACTACAAAGAATCAAGATGAAGTGAACGCGTTATTAGACCAGAAACTATATTCTTATACAGGGTGATTCATGAGGACAATCACATAGCCGAATGGTGACTAGGGGAAATTAAGACGAGTTGATGTATACAGGGTGGCCCACGGTCGATGGTACCTTAGACGTATACGGAAAACGGTACATTGGATTATCCTGAAAATTTGGTTACTCTAATAAGCGTTTGTGATCTAACGATTCAGAATATTTTCAGCGATGCAGCGTTGCCACTTTTACCAAAAAGTAGCATCATCTTTGTTATTTCAAATGGAACACCCTGTATTTCATTGCGTTTTTAGATTCTTCTCGAAGAGCTGATTTCATCAATGCATCACACTTGGGGTCTAGCAGGAATTATTACAGAGATATAGGGTGTTCAAAATCGAGATTTTTCAATTTCAGGAATTTTTTGTGTCGAAACTATTCATTATCGATCAAAACGGCTTACATGTCCCTATCTTAACTTTTGATTCACTATCTACTGACATTTAATTGAAACAGATACAGGGTGATCAAAATTCTGAATCTTGAACCATCCTGTATTTTTTCCAATTAAATGTCCGTAGATAGTTAATCAAAAGTTAATACAGGGACATGTAAGCCGTTTTGACCAATGATGAATAGTTTCGACACAAAAAAATACCAAAGTTGAAAAATCTCGATTTTGAACACCCTATATCTCTGTAATAATTCCTGCTAGATCCCAAGTGTGATGCATTGATGAAATCAGCTCTTCGAGAAGAATCTAAAAACGCAATAAAATACAGGGGGTGTTCCATTTTCATAACATAGAGAATGCGAATTCTCAATGTATGTATTTCTTTATACAGACATTCTCAATATTGAGAGTCAGTCGGGAGAACTTCATCAAAACATGCATGCTTATATTTTAAAATACGCTCTCTTCATTTGAAATATTTTCAGCAATGCAGTGTTGCCGCTTCTATCAAAAAGTAGCAACAACTTTGTCATTTCAAATAGAATAGCCTATTATTTTTTTGCATTTTTAGATTATCCCTGAAGAGCTGATTCCATTGAAACATCACAATTGGGGTCTATTGGAAATGATTATAGAGATATAGGGTGTTCAAAATCGGAATTTTTCATTTTTAGGATTTGTTTGTGGTGATCAGAATTCTGAATCTAGAGCCACCCTGTATCTGTTCCGATTAAATATCAGTAAATGGTGAATCAAAGGTTGAGATAGGGATATGTGACCCGTTTTGACCGATAATGAATATTTTCGACACAAAGAAATCCTGGAGTTGAAAAATCTCGATTTTGAATACCCTATATCTCTGTAATCATTTTCGATAGACCCCAAGTGTGATATATAGATGAAATCAGCTCTTAAGAGAGAATATAAAAATGCGATGAAATACAGGGTGTTCCATTCGAAATATCAATGTTGCTACTACTTTCTAGTAGAACCGGCAACACCGCATTGTCGAAAATATCTTAAATGAAGAGAACGTATTCTGAAATATGAGCATGCACATTTTCATGAATTTCTCCTGACTTATTCTCGATATAAAGATAGTGTAAGCTCGTCGTGACATACCCTGTATACAGTGTGTCCACCTTAAGGACTTACCACCCCTGTAAAATTGTTATTATCTGACCGATTTCAAAAAACTTTTATTTTCTAGGACAGGTATTTGAAATGTCCATCCAACAAGAGAGTGATTTTACTCATGAACTGTAATCGTGGCCAACTGCGACCAACTGTATTGACCCATATTTGAGAAAGTACTATTAGGGATTTTTTTTCACGAAAAACAATGATGGATTCTGAATCACGATCACTTGAAAAACACCATTACTGATTTTTATCATCATAAAACACAGGGTGTCCGAAGAAACGAACTATGTTTTTTTTAATGGGTGATCAGAAAAAGTAGTATTGATAATTGATGACACATTATTATTGAGGATCCCTTTGAACATATCTGTACCGATTTTCATCATTCCAAAATACGATGTGTATGAGAAAACAATTAAAAAGAAAAAGTAGGCAATATTTTTTCATCAACTCAAAAAAAATATCAATTCGATTTTTCGAACATCCTGTGTTTAATGATGATGAAAATCGGTACAGGTATGTTCCAAGTGATCCTGATTCATTTTTTTCATTTTGAGTGAAGAATTATCAGGATGAAAAATATTGCTTACCTATCCTTTCTAATTTTTTTCTCAGACACATTGTATATTCAAATGACGAAAATCGGTACAGGTATATTTGAAATAATCCTCAATGATAATTTGTGATTATTTCCTTCTAGAGAAACTACAGAACTACATTTGCTGATCACCTATTTGAAGAAAATGATGATTCGTTTTTTCGGACACCCTGTGTTTTATGATGATGAAAATCGGTACAGGTATATTTCAAGTGGTACTGATTCAGAATCCATCATCAAGTTTCGTGAAAAAAATCCCTAATAGTACTTTCTGGAATATGGGTCATTGAAATTTGTCGCAGTTGGCCACGATAACAGTCCAAGAATTAGATCACTCTCTCTTTGGATGGGCATTTCAAATACCTATCCAACAAAAAAAGGTTTTTTGAAATTGGTCGGATAATAACGATTTTACAGGGGTGGTAAGTTCTTAAGGTGGACACACTGTATATATCCATCCTATGTTCATAATTTATCTGAGAATATTCCTGCTCAATACTTTCACCCAATCAAATCAAACTTGAACGATGGAAACTTCGTGATTAGGTTTTTCAATTCAGAATTTCTTTTCACGTCCTATATGATGAATATCACTTTGTCATACATCCAAAAACGTAACAAAGACGATTGAAATCCTTAATTTCGAGAAAAAATCTTGACAATCTGAGAACAATAAAAAAATTTTGGGAAAACATTTTAAATTATGAGAAAAAAATCACGAAAGTTTGAGAAGAATTTCGAGATTCTGATAAAAAACTAGATTACTATGGCATAAATACACCGTCGTGATTCCTCAATTCCAACAGTATTCAATTAATTTCTTGATTAGCTTTGGTATAAACTACAACACTATGTTCAATTATTGTATAAGCAATATTAATCTCATGTTTTAACTAACGCAGTTTCGTCGACGTAGAGATAAAAATATCAACTAATAATTATTATTACGGAAACATATTCACGTTCAATGCAACAATGTAGATACATTGTATTATGGTATCAACTATAAACATACAATTGAAGGCTAAACAATCAATATCGCATTATCGGTTTATTTCATAAAAACACAGTATCACGTCGTATAGGTAAGAACAAAAGTAAAAGTCATCATGCATTACTTACAAAGCACCATTTGAATTAATATCCCATCAATCGCTGCATAACATTCAACCGAACACCTTTCATCTAGCGCACTCCGACGCTTCAACACAAAACAATA